TTTCGGATTTTGTAACTTGTGGTTTAGAATACAGGATTCAGGGTTTTTACTCTTGCAGGCTCTTGTCGGTTTGCTGTTTGCTCTTGTTCTGGTGGTATTAAGGGTCTTATGGGGTTTCGAACAGGCATTAAGAAAGGGCCTAGGTAATCGGAACAGAGTTTCTGGGAGAGCCCTTCAAGGGTTCGATGTCCCAGATGCCTACAGTTTGAAGGCTCGGAGAATCATGGTTGGGGCATGGAAACTCCTGCGATGCTGACACGCCCCCGGGGTGTGGCAAACAGACCAGGCCTGCAACACACATTCAACCCTTTCAACCGGGGATGGCATACATCCGAAACCACAAAAGGCCTGTGATGCCGATGCATCTGCAAAGCATGCGAAATTCTTTCCCGCAACTATCTGGAAATGTTTAGCTGCGCAGCTCTTTGAGAAAGTGCGCAACCGTTGCGTCGGACTTCTGCTTGCGCATCTGGCGTTTCTTCAGAGTCTGCTCACTGTCAGCAGAATACCTGAGAACTGCCGGAGATTCAAGACCTAGAGAGCTGTACGTATGTATGTATGTATGTATGTACGCGTGTATACATGAATGCATACACAGATACACACGTACGTACGTACATACATACATACATGTCACACATGCATGCATACGGTGCTGGACATGTATGGAGTGTTCTATGGATACACATGACATGTACATGCTTAGGACCTTAGGTTGGATAAGTGGCTCGGGTCCCTGGATCTTCCGAGCTTGGAGTTTCAACTCCAATAGCAAGAAGTCATAGGGACCCTTGGGGGGGGGGGGGGGGGGGGGGGGGGGGGGGGGGGTTTTAATGCCCATAATAAGGACCTAATAAGGCATAGTTAAGAAAGTATAGTCTCCTACCCCCCTTCCCCCAACTCCACTAAGGGTGGGTCCCCATGAAGAACTAGGAGGTGCTTTTAAAGCCTTTCAGAAAAAATATTAGTAGGTAAGATCCTCTTAAGCCCGATAAGAGCAAATATAAAATGTCCCAAAGCCCTCCCAACCCTAAACCCTAAACCCAACGAAAGGACCCTTGGAAACGTAATCAGTACAGCCGGCCGCAGGCTGCAGATGTTGCAGAGATCTATAAGGCCGCAAAGGTTTCCAAGGGCTCTAGGGCTTACCTGGACCCCCAAAGTATGTAGAATAATTGCCTTTTATAGGTTTTAGGCAGCACCATTACAAGTTCCTGACTGAAGGCAATAGGCAATTCGACATTGGGATGGTCCCAACGCGCCGATTCGACAAAGTTGCAAGCTAGAACCACAGCTTGATCCGCTGATGCCGCTGCTGCGGACCGTCGACGATTCCGAAGCGAATGCCTCTCACAGTCGCATGTTTATGATAAGAAGCCAGTGTGCAAGAACACCAATTAGGCATAACACTTCGACAGGAATTAGGGAACGACACATCCATCTACATGATTTTCTCGGTGTCGGGGTATGGGTGACTTGTGAACAGGCAGGAGACCCACCGACCTCTCCACATGTTGTTCTGCTTAGTCCATAAGTGCAATCCTATCCTGAAGCGACTATGAAAAACCAAAACTAAAGAGTTGACTTGTAGTAGCCATGATAGATAATACCCGAAACCCAAAAACCAGACGGATGGTCATACTGTGGGCGATCCCCACAACAGTAGCCTCAAACCCTAAAGCCTTACTTAGTAAACCCTGCTGATTAAAACTAGGGAAACCCTCTCCGAGCGATGCCGAAACGGTCGAACCCAGAGGCCTGGAGTCTTAGATTGCAGGCTTGGGGTTCCGTGGGGCCAAGAGCCGGCAGAGAGCCTTCCCCTAGCAGCCTATAAACCCTAAACCCCTGAACCCTAGAACCCTACTAAAGCACAGGGAACTCCAAAACTCAAGCTCAGAAACTCAGATCTGCCAAACCCTAAACTCATGAACCGAAGAACCCCAAGGCACTATATAACCCCTAAACCCCTCAACCCTAAACCTACTTGGAGGGGCAGGGGACTTAGTAAGCCGTTTAGAAACAAGTAGGGTTATACTTAGGATTCAAGGTAACTATATCTATACTTACAACTTATAACCTACATACTAAGTGCCCTGCCCCTTCAAGTAGAGCCCTAGAGCCCTGAAGCCCTCAACCCTAGTACTTCTCACTAGACTCCCGACCACCACGCCCTGAACCCCCAAAACCCCTAATCCCCACATCGACCCCCAAACTTCGAGGCCCTAAATCCTCTAAATTCCCCGTACATCAGGGATCTTTGGTAAGTCTATGTTGACAGCACTTTCTCCCAAGGGTTTAGGGCCCAGGGTTTAGGTCTATAGGAGTCCGGGGCTTCAAAATAAGGGCCAAGACATCTCTGATATACATAGGCCTACGACTCCTAAACACCCCTCGACCCCTAGCCGAACCCCCGGAGCCCTATTAGGGTTTAGGGTTTAGGGTTTAGGGGTTTAGGGTTTAGGGTTTAGGGTTTAGGGGTTTAGGTGTTTAGGGGTTTAGGGTTTAGGGTTTAGGGGTTTAGGGGTTTAGGGTTTAGTAGGTACTGTCCCTGTTTGGGCATAGCCGAGCATGGTAGCCCACCATATAGTATATGGGTGGTCGTCAAAATCCTGGTCCCTTTTTGGGTACCCTAAATAATAGGTGCCGTATTATAATAAGGACACAAAAACGGACCCTAATTTTGACAACCACCCATAGTATATAGACCTCTGGGCTTCTGTTCTAGGACTTTGGACAACCCCCAAACCCTAAAAACCTGAAACCAAAAAGCCCTAAACCCTAAATTGTACAGACCACAGCTCCAAAACTTAAAATCCTGGAAAGCCGGATAAGGAAAGCCTCGGGTATCGGGCTACGGTCATCCATCACGAAGGAGGGCAGGTCCAAACAATCCATGCAAACCTGGCGGGCGTTCTCTTGGTTAGGGGTTAGGGGCTTAGGGGTTTAGGGTTTAGGGGTTTGGGGTTTAGAACCTGGCGGGCGTTATCTTGGTTGCCATTTTGTGGCCCTGAAAAAATATTCATGAAGAGGTACCTCTATAGAAGCCATGGAGGGGGAATTAACAGTTTTCCCGAAGCGCCACCTATAGTTTAACAGTTAAATGTTGAGGCTTTCGGATTTTAGGGTTTTTAGGAGTTGGAGCTTGAGGCTTTAGGCGTCTAGGAGTTCGGGGTGTTAGAGTTTAACAGCTTGGGGTACTCAGCTTCAGGGTTTCAGGGTTCGGGGTTCCGCGGTTGCAGTTTTAGAGTTTAGGGCACAGGGGTTCCGAGGTTGAGGGCTTAGAGTCTTAGAAATTTGTGTGGGCCACGAGCGTCCATGAGCGCTCAAACTAGGGCACAACCTGAATGTAGGGGCCTTAATGCTCAGCTTGGGGCTTGGGGTTATCGTATGAAGTAACTGTACGATGGAGCCGTAAGGAACACTCTTGCTAATAGTTCATGGTCCTTGTATGAAACTAAACCGTTCTAATGGGTTTAGGGTTGTGGGAGCCTGATGTAGAATAAATGTTACATCTGACCTGAGTTTCCAGCACGCTCTGTGCGGCTTTATGGACAGTGTAGGCTTATATAACTAGTTGGTATTCTAAAGTTTGCGGTTGGCCCAACACCCCACCCCCCAGCAAACCGCTCAAACATGTGGGCGATTTGTCCAGGCTGAAGACGTAGGACGCTGAGCCGCTGCGGTTGAGGCTCTAATCTAACTTTAGGAATACCTTGACCCCAAATATCCTACCTTGTTAAGGACTCCTTATAGAAACATCTGATTAAGGAGCCCTGAAAAGGTAGGTTTCTTAGGATCCAAGTAGTATTGGAAACTATTCCGACCTCTATACCAATTTCCCTCTGGCTCGAGGGCTTCATACCCTCGCGGGACCGTTGAAGTGTCCGACGATGTTGCCCAGAGAGCCCAATACCCCTTCATTTAAGGAATATGCCTTAAACCATAATTAAGGGGATTCAGATTATGATTTAAGCTATATTCCTTAATTCAGGTCCTTAATTAAGGAACATAATTAGCTTAAATCATAATCTGACTCCCCTCATAATTAAGGAGTATTGGGCTCTCTGGGTGAGGGTGGGGGGGACTCCTTCTCTTCTGTCAACTTTGGTGACAACTCGGATGCCCACCAAGCACGAACTGAACACCCCGAGCACGAACCCGTGTTCTGCGTTCAAAAGCAAAAGCCCTAAGCGGCTGCATACCCTTGTTGCGAAATCTAATCTCACTCCTACCACCCTTTCTTGCAAAGCCTTGTGCCTACTACTATACAGCAAGGCGAGATGCTTCTGACGGGCCCCTCCGAGACCTTGAAAAACAAACCCTGGCAACTCCAAGGGGAAACCTCGTCCGGCTTGCATGGGACACGGCAGTTGGGCGCCATGGCTGCGACAGAACTCTCCTACGTCCGTCCTGTGAGCCTTGGTGTCTGAATTGTAGGATTCGCAGGGTTCTGAACAACTCGGGTTCCGGCTCCCTTCGCTGATCATCGGATCCTACTATTCAAAATCCATGTTGGGCCCCCTGTATTTCCCGAAATTGTTCATAAGGCGGTTGGATTTTGAGGCCCAGGGCCTTTAGAAAAAGCGGCCGGTCTGGAGAGACTCAAATCATCATTTAATGTGGTTTTGGGCTTAGGGTTCGGGGTTGTTGGGTGAAGGGTTGAAGGAGAATGCGGCTTAGGATGTAAGGTTTACCCTGAGCAAAGCCACGATCTCAGCCGACTGAGCACTACATCCAAAACGCACCCCTCTTTCTTAAAACGAGGGGGGGACAAAAGAGAACTGCATCTAAACACACTGTCTGTATGCATGTGTATATACCTAACTATTCACTTAAACACATACAAAATCAACATGTGCGTGTGTACATACATATATATATATATACATATATATATATACATACATATATGTGTATATATATATACATACATATACACACTGTATATACTTATGTAAACAGAGCTTGTTCCGGAATCGATGTGAACATCAGAATCCCACCTGGATCTGGCGACAAACGAGCCTCAGGGTGGTGCATGGGGGCTTTAGATGGGTTGCAAAGCTTCGGGCGAATGAAACTCGCCAGTTAGCAGTAGTTAGTAGTAGCTAGTAGTAGTAGTAGTAGTAGTAGTAGTAGTAGTAGTAGTAGTAGTAGCAGTAGTAGTAGCAGGAGTAGCACAAGTAGCAGGAGCAGCAGGAGCAGCATGAGCAGCATGAGCAGCAGGAGTAGCAGGAGTAGCAGTAGCAGTAGCAGTAGCAGTAGCAGTAGCAGTAGCAGTAGCAGTAGCAGTAGTAGTAGTAGTAGTAGTAGTAGTAGCAGCAGTAGTAGTCGTAGCAGTAGTAGCAGTAGTAGCAGTAGTAGCAGAAGTAGTAGTAGTAGTAGTAGTAGTAGTAGTAGTAGTAGTAGTAGTAGTAGTAGTAGTAGTAGTTGTGGTAGTAGTAGTAGTAGTAGTAGAAGTAGTAGTAGTAGTAGTAGTAGTAGTAGTAGTAGTAGCAGTAGCAGTAGCAGTAGCAGTAGTAGTAGTAGTAGTAGTAGTAGTAGTAGTAAAGTAGTAGCAGTAGTAGTAGTAGTAGCAGCAGTGGTAGTAGTAGGTAGTAGTGGTGGTACTAGCTGGTCGCAGTAGTAGTAGTCGCCGTAGTAGCAACTGTAGGGACGCCTCACCGCTCACCGACTACACTCCCTCTACACCTTCTTGGCACCAAATCCTTTCCATTTATTAAGTGCTTGCCTGATGTCCTACAGCTTTTTTGCTGCCTGAAAAATATCTTGTCGGCTTTGCAAATTCGAGCTTTGGATTTCGGAGGATGTGTGCAGGTTGGGGGTAGGGGGATGATACCTTGGTGCGTGCACAATGCAAACTCTCCTCCGCCGAAGTCTGGGATTGAGGGGTGCTGGTGAGCCCCTCTCATGGACAGCTGGCATTTTGGAGAACAATCGTTGAGGATGCGTGCTGCTGTAATTGCTATTGCTTTTTGCTTGTTGCTGTCGTCGCTGGTGCTGTTGTGGTTGGGTTTGCGTTTGTGTTTTCGGTTGCAGTTGTGTTTGTTGTTGTTGTTGTTGCTGTTGTTGTTGTTGTTGTTGCTGCTATTGTTGTTGTTGTTGTTGTTGTTGTTGTTGTTGTTGTTGTTGTTGTTGTTGTGGCTGTTGTTGTTGTGGTTGTGGTTGTTGCTTGTTGTGGTTGGGTCGTTCTTTGGGTTGTTGTTTTTGCTGTCGTTCAATGCTGCTGCTGTTGCTGGCGAAGTTGTTGTTGAGGATGTTGTTCTTGGCAGGCATGTAAGCGAGTGATCAAGTGCGTAAGTAAGTGTGTCAATAGGTAAGCACAGAAGTAACTCAGAAAAAGGAAGTAAGCAAGCAAGTAAGCAAACGCGTACGTGAGCAAGCAAGGAAGGGCGCAAACAAGTAAACAAGCAGTTAATAATTAATAAGTACATAAGTGCGAAAGTCAGCGAGCAAAGAAGCTACCAAGCAAGCAAACCCGAATACGTAGAAATCTCATGCTGGAAATGAGAAGGGTCAAGTGCACCATGACCACCACCTTTACCCTAAACCCTAGACCCTATGAACCCTGAACCCTATGAGCCCTAAACCCTATGAACCCTACACCCTAAATCCTATAAACCCTATAAGCCCCATGAGCCCTATAAACCCTATGAGCCCTAGAAACTATATATAAACCCTATGAACCCTAAACCCACCTTTAATTGGATAACACACAGTCACCTGGACCCCCAAAGTATGTAGAATAATAGGCTTTTATAAGCTTTAGGCCATTTTTTACCTACTTTTGGAGGTCTAGGCAGGAGTCGAGACTGCAGGCAAAGGGGCAAGGCTCCTTCCCAGCGGGTGTCCTTCGAGAACTGCTGCGGCGGTTCGGCTCAAGGTTGTGTTTCAGCGATTACGGTTTAAGGTTTAGGGTTTAGGGCTTTTGGGGCTTTTAGGGATTACGGTTTAATGTTTAGGATTTAGGGCTTTTGGGGCTTTTAGGGTTTAGGGTATTAGGGTATCAGGGTTTATAGGGTAGGGGTATTCGGGTTTCATTAGGGTGTCGGGTATTATTGAGCTTCTGGCGATGAGGAGAGGAAGGCAGAGTATATACAGAAATGGGAGTTTCCGAAAATTAAGGGTACCTTATTTTGGGGTCCTTATAATAAGGATCCTACTATTCAGGCTACTATATTAGGGTCCCCTCTTTTCGGAAACTCCCAAATATCTCAGAACTAGAAGCGGAGCTTGTTGGGCCCAAAAACGCCAGCCATCAATCAACCATGTCGCGAACGAAGCTCGAAGTTTAGTAGATCTACAAAGCTCCTAAACAACAAAAAACCTTCAAGCCTTAATCCCGATAATTTGAGGTCAGGGGCGATGGACGTGGAAGGTGAAAGAATCAAGCCGGGGTTCGGGTATCGACTAGGGAACCACACAACGCATAAGATGATGGGGCCTTTGAAAACAACGCTCAATGGAGGTCTACTTGGAGGGTCGGGGGACTTAGTAAGTAGGTAGTAAGTAGACTTATAAGTACCCTAAACGGGACCCTAATTGGGGTTATGGTACTTGTAAGTCCTTAAAATAACCAGTCACTAAGTCCCCCGACCCTCCAAGTAGGAGGTCTTTAGGGCCCTGCAATGACAGGCGTTCTGCCTTAGTTGGGTGGAGGGGGTCGTATGATCCTCAATGGCCTACTTCGGCTGCGCAGTTAAGAGATCTGTAGGGAGTCTCGTATTCCTGCAACATGTCGTCTGTGGGGTCTGTAGGCTTGGCACTTGGGAATCCTTCACTCCTGGGGCGCAGGGAGGCCTGTTGATGGTTTCCTGGAGCTCACGCACGAATTCAAGGACTTGTCTAGATGCGCTGCAACCAACAACAGCGAGACCTCCACTTCTTAAGCCTAAACCCACAACCCTGGCCCTTTAAGCTAAGCAGGAAGTACATCAGCGCTCACAAGAGCGCAGAGCGACGGTGCAAATCCCGAACAAGAAACGAAAACTCTTTGGAGAGTAGGGTGGCGGCGGCGACTGGTGATGGGCCGAGGAGGGCTTCAGTTAACTGCAGGTGGGACCCATCCTATCCGAGAGTCTGCTTCGGGCTCACCAAATCTCAGGCCAACTATATAGGAGCTAGGATTTGGGTTCAGGGTTTCGGGTTTAGGGATTAGGGTTTAGGGATTAGGGTTTCGGGTTTCGGGATTAGGGTTTAGGATTCGACAGCGTTGAAGAAGCGGCTCCTGGCCAAGTTGTTGAGTCCATTCGCGAAGGGAACCTGCGTTGGCTGGATACACACTCGGGTGGTGTCGAAATTAGGGGTACCTTATTTTGCATGGGTTCCTTATAATTAATATCCTACTATTTAGGGTACTATCTTAGGATCCCCTGCTTTCGGAAACTCCCACTTGTCTCATCTTCGAAGCATGCCTAAAGGCTCCATAGTAGTTCCTTTCTGGGGTTCATATGTAGGCTTAGGGTTTAGGGTCTTAGTGTCTAGGGTTTATAGGGTCTAGGGTAGAGGCTCCATAATAGTTCCTTTTGGGGGCTCATATTTAGAATCCTATAGTAATCCCCACAAGGAACTACTATGGGGCCTATGGGTACCTGACATGCGCAAACCCCTGGACATCAACATATGAATTTGTTGGCCTCCGGATCCTACCAAAGAGTATCTGCATGAAAAAGGTCCCTAATGTTATCGTCTATGGCGCCCCGTCGGAGGCCGTGCTGTGTGAAGCTTACTGCCTGATGTCCTCACTTCAGCAAGATCTAGGTCTCCCCCACCAGACCCGTAACCTGTAACTAAGTCAGAAACATGGAGAAACCATCAACTGCGGGGATGATTCGACGAAGGCCTTGGGTACCCGAAGCCCTAAACCAAGTCCTACACTCTGAACCCAGAACCGTCAAACCCGAAGCTTTCAAAAATGGACTTTGCGGTGAAGGATGTAAGGTGGGGCTTACCCCAGACCGCTCGGGGGCCGGGGCCACGTCTCCAGCCCCTGTCATGCTAGACTCTTGGACTCTGCTAGACCCAGAAGCCCCGATACCCTTCAGTGTCGGGGTTTTTGGGAATTGAAGGCTGGCGTTTTGGGGTTTGGTGTATAAGTTACCAAAAAAGGGTGATGCACCGTTAACTACGTAGTCTACCTCTGCCTCAACAGGAAGTCTTTCTACTTCTTGAAATGTATACCCCGTACACTCTTAGTGGGGTAGGGAAGCCGGAAGGACTGGGATAGTAGACTGGAAAGACGTCCAAACTGGCCTGATTCAGGGTAGGACTGAAACATCGAATAGGGTCTTGGGGTATGCTTGTAGTATCACTTGAACCCTAAACCCCAAACCCTAAACCCTATCCTAAAACCCTAAACCCTAAACCCTAAGTATCACTACATGAAGTCCGTGCCATACTTCCCAAAGGAACCTTAAGCCGAGCAAACAGAGTTTGTAACAGAGCCGATGCAGCCAGATTCGGTTTAGGGTTTAGGGTTTATATAGGGGTTTAGGGTTTAGGGTTTAAGGGTTTAGGGTTTAGGGTTAGGGCACGCTTGTACATCAGATCGGTTGTCTTTTGCAAGTGAGGAGCATCAGAGGGCACATATGTGAGTGTCCAAATACCAGCCTCGTGACTAGTCCCGCATCATAAACCAACATCCCGTCAGTTCGCGCCTAAACCCTCAACGCCTAAACCCTAGCTTTGCTAGACCCTAAATGGGAGCTTCCGAAATTAGGGGACCCTAATGTAGTAGGATCCCATAAGGACCCCCAAATAAGGTACCCCGGTACCCCTAATTTTCGGAAACTCGAAAACCCCGAACTGAGCTGAAGGCTTCCAATCAGACTGCGGACGAAATCACATCACGATCATGTGTGTAGACAGTTGTTTAGGGTTTAGTTATGTGATACTGGTAGCACTCTTTGAATACAAACCTCACACAAAGGCTCACAAAGTTGTTGAAGGAAGCCGAAGTGTTCTGAGCCCTTGGCCGTGGCCATAGATCCTGTGATTTAACGCACCTTTCAATCCAAAACCCTCTTCCCAAACCACGAAGGGACCCTGGAACCCTAAACCGAAAAGCAATCAGTCGGAAGCCTAAGCCTAAGATACGCTAAACGACTCAAGGCCATAAACCCTAAACTTATTGACACCATCGCGCGGAAGCCTGCCCCGCGCTGGGAGGGCATCGTCGCGACGGTGAGACCATTGAGGCTAAGCACCTGCGTCACCTATTCTTGCAACAAACCTCTACAGAAAAGCCTATTTCAAGCCCTAAACCGCTCAAGTCGACGGTTCGGGGTGTCAGTAACCTACTACCGCAGGGGGATCTCTACTATATTGTATATCGGAACATGATTAAGGAACCCTGGTCTTATAATAATCCCCATTATCAGAATCCATATAAAGAGCCCCAATACAGACCACAGGCTTCCTCAGCAGGTTCCTACATCGCTTCTAAAGCTCGGAGACTCGTCCAAGAGCGGTCCCTAACACACCAACTCATAAATCCCCCTACTATTTGCTTAAGAACCCCCAAAAAATAAAAAATATAATCCCTATGGTGGTAATATAAGGATTATTATTTTTATTTTTTGGGGGTTTCTTAAGCAAATAGTAGAACCTTGAACCCTGAACCTGCTACTGACTATGGGCTCGTGGATCTTTGGCCTGCTGAGTATGATGAGTTCTACTGACTTCTATTGTAGATGTGGTTCCCTGCTCCCTAAAGCCTGAAGCTGTGCGCAGTTTGTGGTCAATGGGGTGCGGAGTCAAGATTTCGAAACCTCTAAACAAGAAGCAGGAAGAGACATGCACCTTAAATAGTAAATCCTCAACAAGGCGTCCCCAAAACCAACCAAAGGACCTTCTGTGTCACACCTCTGCTGGCACCTGTCACGTCTGCTTCGGCGGTCGCGCCGCATGGCCACAGCGGGGGAGGACGGGAACGTCGAGAAGTCAGACATTCAGGATCTAGGGTTTTCGCAACGGGATAAGGATCCTAGGCTTCGGGGTCTGGAGTTGAGGGATTAGGGTTTAGGGGCTTAGGGTTAAAATCCCAAGATTTCGGGGTCTGAAGTTGAGGGATTAGGGTTTAGGGTCTTAGGATTAAAATCCACGGTTTTGGGGGGTCTGAAGTTGAGGGGTCAGAGGCCAGTCTGCAATACAAAACTCGTGACTTCCAGATTGTTTGGTAATCTTCTGAAAATTCTTGTGTCATATCTGTTGCTTCGCGCGGCTTCCGGCCAAAAAGCTCAGAGATCCGGGAGGTCATTCATTTTTTGTGTGCCAGGGATTGATGCGGTTGATGACATAAATCCTGCATTACCCATAATCAGGAATATACCATAACTCCCATGGTTTAGGGTCCTTATAGGTAGTGCAGGATTTATATCATCAACCGTAGTTAATGTGTCAGCAAGGATCAGGGGACTTTAGTACTCAGTGTTATCATGAGGGTAACTACATTGCACAACTAGTTATAAACATTGTATACCTACTGAGGGTGCATACAACCATCTACTTACGTTCCTTTCCGAGTCATCAGCACTTTACCACCTCAAGTCTTCGCCCACAGATCAACACCCTGTTACATAGTCTTTAGAAAACCTCAACCATGCGAATTTAGGGTTGTTCTAAGTCGAAAATCTCAACAGCGTGTTCGCATAAAGTCAACACCCTGAAAAACCGCAAGCCTTATAGGCCCGGAACCTTAACCCTACACCCTGGTCCATATGGGCGTGACATCGAAACCTGGCTGATTAAAGCTTCCTCGTGGGCCTCCGAGGTAAGGTTGACGGTTGAAAGTGGGAGGCTTAAGGTCCATAATTCGAAGTCTTGTAAAGGGAAGGCTTTGGGTTTAAGGTCTGGGTTCAGAGCTTGAGGTTCAGGGCTAGGGAGCTAATATCGGGGCCTTAATAATTAGAATAGGGCTTCGGGGACCAATATACTATAGTTATAATAAGGAACCCCCCCAATAGTATTGTTAATTAATTTAGGCCCCTATAGTAGGATGTGAGGTTGGGGGTTTTGGGCTTTGTGGCAGGCCTAAACAGGTTGACTCGGATAGTCGGCACCAGGATGCCTGAACAACGCAATAAGATCCCGTCTGCGGAAGGCCTGGAAGCCAGTTTCGTCGGATTTGCATGGGCTTGGCCGACGCAAGTGCCGGACGCACCAATCTTCAGACGACTTAGGGCTTAGTTCTGCAAGTTGTCAGAATATACCGGTCTTTGGTTTCGATGATCCTGCGGGGGTACATTCGGGACCAACTGTCGGTAATGGAATGCTTTATCTTCATGACGCCGCTCAAAGCGCTGCAGAAGCAATAACACCGCTTTGGGTGCTCACCGTTCGTACTAAAACTTTAAATTTTCAAACACTAAACTAGTCGTCTTGAGGGTCTCCGCTCTTATTCATAATTAGACTATAAGGATATGTTCCAACACGTTTTTGGAATCGTAGGATTAGTTACGCCCACATACAATTCAGAATGCTCTCTATGAAGTCCACCACTCTATCCCTAAAGCCTAAACCCTATCCCTAAACCCTAAACCGCACCCCCCCCCTAAACCCTAAACCCTATTCCTGAACTCTGTCAGCTCCATGAGCAAGCACTCATCCCTGCACCCGCAACTCTGCAACCACAACTTAATCCCACACCTGGAACTGTATTCCCTTGATCCCGGAACTGGTTCTTACACTCTAAACCCAATTCCTACCTTAGACCATCTTAGACCAAGTATCTCTATGCTCTACTTAGACTCCACGCGGAGCCAAAGAAGGGTCTCTCCCAAAGACGTGCGCGAGATTCGCAGCTCGTCATCGAGGAACGTTGTTGTCAAGCTCAAAGACCTAAGATTCGACCGGAGCCCTACGCAAGCTCGGCTCGATGAGGCCTTAGGTTTTGGGGAAAAGCATGGGTTGGATTTGCCTGTGCGCCTGAGGATTTAGGCTGGCAAAGCCTGCCAGTCCTACGCTGACGTTCCGGAAACCAAGCCCAAACAAGGGGTCCAAGTATCACTATGGGACATACTTATAAGGGTATTTTGGGGGTCTAAGTATATACTGTAATGATACTTGGACCCTTTGGGAAGCCCTGCAGCAGCTGGGGATGCTGCGCTGTGTCCGACAGAGGCAAGGCGACGGGCGGCAAACCCGGTAGGGACACCTGGGTTTAGGGTTTCGGGTTGCTCATCCCCTTAAATAAGAGAGATCATGAAGGGATTACTGGATCTGTGTCAGCAGTCTAGGGTCTACGACACTTTCTGGACTTTGGGCTTTTGGCTTTCAAGCGTTTGATTCACGCGTCGGGCTGATGGTGGATGCTGCTGCGCCTCTAGGATGGGAGACATCTTCCGAATAACCCTGCAAACCTAAACCGCAGAGCATGTAGAGTAGAACCTACCTAAACCCTAAACCCTAAACGACCTAACAGCCGTAGGGGCTTCAGTATTAGGGTTGAAGGCCCAAGGCTAAAACGGCCTATGGCTTAAGTTGTTCTCTTCGTCCTTCATGAACTTGCAAGCTGAATGAGTCAGCATACTGAAAATTCAGTTCGAGACTGTGAAGTTCCGTTACAATACGCTGTCTAGCAGTATCCATCATGAAGGTCCTGTTCTCAAGACAGTGTGGGGTAAGCTTTGCTATGTTAAGCAAATCACCCGAAAAAACTGACAATCTGAGACATACAAACGTAGATAGACCCACGAGGAGTTGTTCTGCACACTGGCTCAAGCTAAATTAGCAGATGGCCGGGACGCCCAGGGTTTCTGATAACTATCGAACAAAGCCCACATGCCGCTAAACACATCTAGGAAAGCTAGTCCCCCAGCCAGAGGTCGTAAGCTTTCCCAAAATTTGGGGGAGCGTACCTTCAAGACAGTATATGCCTGATACTTTCCGACAAACCACCCCAGTGCCCCACGACCAGGATCCCCAACACAGGAATCAACAAATCAAAGCAAACAGAACCCGGAAAGCCCGACAAAAACACCTCCAATCTACATTCACCGGCATTCCTAATTGAGGACTCCTATCCTATACATTCACCCAGCCTTAGTCAGGTAAACCTAGTGGAAGCCTCCAGATCATGTAGAGGCCTTAATAATTAGAATAGGGTTCTGGGGCCCAGGATACTATAATTATAATGAGGACCCCAACATAGTATTGGTAAGCTCTTCCAGGTATCCATATCAAAGCCCTGTTATCCCTAAGCCCTAAACCCCAAAACCCTAAAAGCCCTCAACCCTGAAACCCTGAAACCCCTAAAACCCTAGACCCTAAAACCCCTAAACCCTAAAACCCTAGACCCAAAACCCCTAAACCCTAAAAGCCCTAGACCCTAAAACCCCTAAACCCTAAAACCCTAGACCCAAAACCCCTAAACCCTAAAAGCCCTAGACCCGAAAACCCCTAAACCCTAAAAGCCCTAAACCCCTGCCCCGTGTGCCTCTGCGACGGGCTCCCCCAAGTCCAAGCGCCTGACTGTTGGGGCACTCCCGGTTGTGTTTTTAGGGTTTAGGGTTATAAGGGTCCCTGTAAAGGGTCCCTTTAAAGGGATCTATAGGGAGTCTATAAGGGTATAGGGTTTAGGGCTATAAGGGTCCCTTTAAAGGGATCTATAGGGAGTCTATAAGGGTATAGGGTTTAGGGTCTACTTGGAGGTTCTTGGGTAGTTACAAGTGGGGCTATATTATAACTATAGCTATAATCCATATTAAGGGACTTATTATAATTCACTTACATTGTAAGTCCCTTGATATGGATTATAACTATAGTTCCAATATAACCCCCTATACCTAGTTATCCTGCTTATGAACCCTACTTAAAACTTATAACTAAGCATGAACCTCCAAGTAAACCCTAAAAGCCCTGATATAGGGGCCTTTATGATCAGAATAGGGTTCCTTAAGGGTCCCACTTTTCAAGGGTCCACTATAAGGGGTCTATAATAGGCTTCTATAGAAGCCCCGAAGCCCTAAAGACCCTAGGACCCTAAAGAACCTAAGTGCCCTGAAACAACTAAAGCCCTAAGGCCCTAAACCCCAAAAAATGTACACTCAAACCCTAAGAGCCCAAATAGAGGGGCCTTAATGATTAGAACAGGGTTCCTTTGAAGAGGTCTATAAGGGCTACTATAAGGGATCCACAAACGGGTTCTATACAAGAGGGGCCTTAATGATTAGAATAGGGTTCCTTTAAGGGTCCCTTTAAGGGGGCTACAATAGGGGGCTTAATGATTAGAATAGGGTTTTGGGGTCCATCATACTATAGGTATAACAAGGAACCCCCAAGAATAGTACAGGTAATTTGTCAGGCCCCTAAAGTAAAGCCCTAAAGCCCTCAAAACGTAAAGTCAAACCCTAAAGACCCATGCAATCCGAAGGTCTGCAGAAGTAGCAAAGCCGCGTGGGGGCGGAGGGCTTTTTGGGTTTGTCGAGCGGAGGTCTTCCACTGAGGGGTTAGGGTTTAGGGGTGTAGGGTGTAGGGTTTAGGGGTTTAGGGGTTTAGGGGTTAGGGGTTTAGGGTTTAGGGGTTTAGGGGTTTAGGGTTTCGGTGGTATTTCATAATGTACGTATATAGGGACCTCAGACCATAAGACCCCAAATCCTAAGCCCTGAATCTAAGACCCCAAGATTCAACTGCCAGCCTTGCTGACACGATCTTCGCGCTGCAGCGCATGGAGACCTTGCACGAAAGGTTCGGACTCCGCTTAGTCCCTAGGTCAACAACAACACCAGCATCACCTCTTAAACACATCACCGGCCATGAACAGTATCGTATCGCATGTGCGATCCGAAATGGTACGGCTTCAGCCGCCTCAACTTACATTCACGCCCGGACACGAGGAAAGACGAGACACTATGCCTGTTCAGCCCCGCCTAGCAAAAAATACCAGTGAGCAACTTGGCTGTAAAACTGAACGTTCAATCATGCAATGGCTACAGCCCCAGCTGCCGAATTCAAGGAGCCCAGAAAGGAACCCCACAAAACCCCAAACTCTAAGGGGCTCTAGACCTCAAGTCAAAGTGGTGCTAGTCAGGCCATTATGAGGTCTTTACAAGATCTCCAAAAGGGTTACCAGAGGATACAAACAGAGGGGCCTGAATCGTTGGTACGGGGTTTGGACTAGTTCACAGCTTGTAGTAGCAGAAGTACGACGCAGTATGCAGCTATAGCCAGAGCAGTCGTGGTTATACGGGGGCCGCCTTCCGCGACGAGCTCGAGTAGCTAAGGTATCGTCCTCGTTGCAGAACTACTACTAGCAGTGAGGCAGCAGCAGGAACAATCAATATGCGAGATCAGAGCCACCGTAAACACAATAGTTTCATGCTGCATTTGCACGCCAACAAACAAACACCCAATTGCTTTAAAGAAGCAGTCGTGAGCCCTACGACGGGCAGGGGCAGCACACTGAGAAGCCTTGGACGGATGATTCGAAGGGATGCATTCTTTCAGGCTTAAGAACATGCAGAGTTCATGTGTGCATTGGTTCCGGAAGTCGGGAGAAGCGACTTGGCAAGCAAGGGGCCGACACAAGGTTGAAAAACTGAGGATTGAATGTGGTGCCTGAAACTTGATGCAGGTTGCAGTACTTGGGCAACTCGATGCGTCTATGCCTATCATGTACAGTTTCAGCAGTATCAAGGGTCAAGCTCCAAAGAAAAGGAATGATAAGTGAAGCATCCTGTCATGGGACCTAGCTTCTGAAATGATCCCCCTGACTCCTCCGAAAGATCACAGGTGGTTTTAACCACCTGTGATCCCAACTCTTCGTATCCTGCGTGACCCTACGGTCCGACTGTCGATCCCCAACTAATCAAGCACCCTCCACTAAACTGAGCCTCAGATCACAGGCTCGGAACATAAACCTTCGCCCAAAAACGCGCGACACCATGAACCATTGGGGCGCAGGTTGTTAGGTTTTTGGGGTTGCGACCTCTTCCGCCTTGTATCCTTGCGGCATGACTATCGCTACTGTCTCCTAGCGTCCTGGCCAAAAGCAGTAGTTATCCTTTATCTGGCTTGCCACCAAAGTGAACAGTCTCATTGGGAGGTAAAGTTAAAACACCTGCAGTTTCGGGGGATGATTCTCATTGCTCGCACTTTAGGTTGACTTCTGTAGCCTTACCCCATGCTTCAATGCAGCGCACACAGAAAGATCGGTCTTTGCACAGCACGAACAAGGGCTCCCCGCGTTTCATCGAGTTGCGAGTTTCGGAATTTGGCTTTCTAAACCCAGGCTTAGGACCTAACCCCCTAAAGCTCTAGATTGCCGTGTTCGGGCCAAATGGCGCTGCACCGCGCGGTGTCAGCTGCGCAGTTGTCCGCAGGCTAACATCCTGCACGGTCGTAGTCGAGGTGCATGCTCTCCAACTTCCCCGGAACGTGAACCCCACTCGCTTAGCCTGCAAGCAACAATCGTCTGCGCCATCACCAATGTCTTCATCAGCATCATATTTCAGCACGCAGATGCTGGTGCCAAACAATCCCTAAGGGCCCATGTACCTAAATGTATATACATTGGCCTTAAAGTATTCCCTATATGGGTACATTGGGCCCAAAGTATATACTATTTGGGTACATGGACCCTTAGGGAATCGGAAATCTTGGCACTCAGTCCTGGCTTGCTGCAGCTGAAGCAGTAGCACCTCCATGCTGCGTGAGATCCCGGGTCGGCTGTAATTATCCACGGGCATACGGCCATGGTTCGGGGAGTTGAAGATTTAAGCCTTCAACCTGCGGCTTCATGCCTATAATTGTCACAAGGGCTGAACCCCAAACCCTACAGACAACCCCGCAAGACAAGGAAGGAAACCTGAGTGACAAATTTACCGACACCAGTGGATTCGGTGTAGGGTTGTTTCCAAAAGATTTGTGGCAATATGCCGGACTAGAGCGACGAAGATGCTTTCGGCCCGGTGTTTCCGGTATGTCGTACTGTGCTGCAAAACCACTTAAGGCCTCGGCCATCGCGGCTAAACACAAATAGGTGGTTGTCAAAATTGTGGTCCCTTTTTGGGTCCCTGTTATAATACGGCACCTCATACTTAGGGTACCCAAAAAGGACCTTAATCTAGAAAACTACCCAAATATTGCTGGCCATCGAGGCTTCAGAAAGCACCTGGGGAGCTCTCAGAGTCGACGTCCGCCACCCTGATCAACACAAACAGCTTGACCGTGAAGCGATTCTACCCAGGGGCTCCATAGTTTTTTTGGGACTACCTTATAGGATTATACTTATAAACCCCAAAAAGGAACTGCTATGGAGACTCCAGGTACTACCAAGAAGGCCCTCGTCCGCAAGAACTTCATGTGCTTTTCTTGGCGCCCTGCCGCCCCCCCCCCCACCCTGCAAGCATTCATGCCACAGATCAGCGGAAGCCATATACTGGCCGTACAAACGGCTACGTTCAGTAATTAAGGAGTCTCCATGAAGTACGATTGACAATCCAGGGGTACCTTAAATCGTTGCATGATCGATCTGTGGCTATAGTGATAGTAAGGGGCCATGTACAGACAGCATTCTTAGAAAGTGGGCTTCCATGTACCCAGGGGCTCCATAGTAGTTCCTTTTTGTGGCTACCTTACAGGATTATAATTGTAAACCCCAAAAAGGAACTACTATTTGTAGTATCCTTAAGGGAGGGGGGTCCAAGGGGGGTATATAGCCTAGTGAACCCTAATTCTCCCTAGTACTCCCTAGGGTTCCCTTACAGTCCCCTAAGGATTCCTTATACCCTCCCCCCTTGAACCACCCTCCCTTAAGGATCCTATAAACTATGGAGCCTCCAGGCAAAACCCCTGAACCCCGAACCGTGATCTCCCTCCGGAAACCCCGGAACCTGGGAGAAGGCGAACTTCTTCGTGAATCCTGGGATGCGCAGGGTGATACCAAGCAAACGAAGAGCAACTCCTTATCAAGAGATTCTGTATTGCGGTATCATGGGGAACTACAGGCTAAACTTTTTGGTTATATGGGGAGTATATAGGGACTATACTACCCAAAAAAGTAAATGGTTCCCTACTCTACTACTACTTGGATTGGGTGTTGGGTTTAAGGTTTCTGTACGGAGCTGAACGATTCGGGACTTTGAACTAGGTTTAGGGTTCCAGGGTTTGTATTTGGTTTAAGGTTTGTTCAGGGTTCTGTATCATAGAGCCATTTATGAACAGAAACGGAGTTTCGCGGTGGTATACTATGGTTTACATAGAACTATGTCACAAGGAACCCCAAGGAACAATGTTGGTAATGATTCAGGCTTCGAAATATGGTTGTAGGGTTTACTGTTTACAGGTTCTGCACTGCATGGGATGGATGTTCCCTCGGTGAAACCAAAGGTGTAGGGTTAGGGTTCAGGGTTCATCGTTCTGGGTTCGACGGCTGTCATTAAGTGGCTTTATGACTTGTACAAGGGTTCGAGAGGGGTCCTAAAAGTGCTCTGTAACGTCTCTACAGCTGAGCCTTAAACACTTAGTCTTGTGTCGCTAACCTAAAACTGACGTAGTACCTACGGCTTCAACAGGCTTTTTTGATGGTTCCAGTCCCTTCCTAGCTTCGAGCTAGGACAACAAGGCCTCCAATAGAGGGGCCTTTGCAATTTGCAGGGGGCTTCGGGCTCATTACCCCACGGGTCCAAATAGTTCTTGTTTATTGCCTTTGATACGCGACAACGCCTCAAAGTCCTGTTCCAGGGAGTACTCGGACCCTCTGGTTGCGAGTTTACTTAGCTTTTGGGGTTTCAAGGTTTTGGGTTCATCCACAAGCATCGTCACAAGCTTCTCCCGAAACTTAGCCTTAACCCCCACCCTTCCTAAGCAAAAAGAAGACCAGAACCTGAATTGCGAGAACCCGGAGCCCTGAAACCGAACCCCTGCTCTTTCAAACCTTAACGACACTTCCACGCACTCGCAGCTGAAGCTCACCGAAACTCCGAGACTGCCTAAAACCCACCTATAGTCTCCGTTGTAGTTCCTTTTTGGGGTTACCTTTTAGGACCCTCGCTATAATATAATAATGGTTAAACCAAAAAAAGGAGCTACAATGGAGACTATAGGCAACTCATGAACCGAAACAGCCTATACATCCCTAAACACCCAAATGCTGAAGTAGGCTGCATTTTGGGGTCCTGCTGTGTAAAGGTGCCGTTCTACTCTGGTGACCTCGAAAGGGACCTACACACACAAATACTTTTTTGTAGCGAGACACTGTTGTATCAGCCGTTTAGTAACCTTTAGCCGGTGTCCACTAGACGGGTAGCCGAGCTCTCAAGTATCGGGATCGGCATCAATAGTAGTATCTTTCAAGGCCCTACATTCTTGTACCCGAAATTAGTCCCGCCAAGACTCGATTCTAATCATGACCACCCCTATAAAGGAACCCTTGAAGGACCCCCCAGGGGAATTAGCGGAACCCTGAAAGGAACCCTTATAAGATCCCTTAGAGGGACCCTTCAAGGAGCTTTTTTGCTAAGTCTGACAAAAAGCTCCCCGCACTCCAGGAAGGGCAAAGCGCCGAGAAACAGCACCTCGGATGTTCGGCTTTGGTCCGTATTGCGGTACAACTTGGGATCTACAGGGGGGCCTAGAAGTAAAAGGGTATAGGGAGGATGATGGGCTGTCTGTAGATTTCTATCGGACTGTGCGACAAGAAGGTGTCTAGCTTCGGGTCGGATGTCGAAGAGAAAGGATCAAAGATTCCGCGAAGTTGCCTGTAATACAGGGACCTTAACAATTAGAATAGGGTTTGGGGGTATGCTATACTACTATCCTTGTTTATTCTAATGATTAAGGCCCCTACAGTACGTACGGGACCAAATCCTAAACACCCTCATGTTCAGGATGTGGGGCTTCGGCACTGAAGCCTAGAACGCCTTGGCGTGCGAGAGAAGAAGCCCTGCGTCCAATGGCACCGCCAGAAACATGGATTCGGTCGTGCAAGATTTAAGCTCTAAACCCTTAACTCTGAATGTCGGAGGGCTTGTCCACGTGCTGCCGTGAATGACTACTGCCTTCTTGGGGCCCTGAATCCCTACCGGGCTGTGGTTGAGGATATAACTCAGATTTTCATTCCTTCAGGGTGCCATGCATTTTCTGCACATTTCTGTGGTTTGGGCTTGGCCTGCCGTGAACTGACTGCCGATTCCGGGGCTGGCTCCTTTTTCATGGTGTATGGGGAGCCGTCCAAGCTGAACACCTCTGGGACATGCGCAGAACCTAGAAACAGCTGCTGGGCTCTGGAACGCATGCTGCTCAATTTATCGCGTAAACCCTAAACCCGCCCTAAACCCCAAGTTCTTGCATCCACAAAACCAAGCTTCCGCCCAAGACTTCTGCCAAAGTTCCACCCAGATCTCTGATGAACAAGGACGCTCCCAAAGAGCCCAATACGCCTTAATTAAGGAACGTACCTTAAACTATAAGGGGGGCGCATAATATGATTTAAGCTATATTCCTCAATTGAGGGGTATTAGAATCCCCTAAACCCTAAACCCTATAGATCCCTTAAAGGATCCCTTTAATTTAAAGGAACCCTAGGGCTTCTCATGGCTTAACCCAGACTGAGATCCGAAACACCCAAGCCCCTACGACCCAAAACCCCTAACCCCAGAAACCTCGAACCCAAGAAAGCCCTAAACCCACCCTGGAAACTCCAGGAACCCTAGAAACTCCAGAACCCTACAAACTCCAGAACCCTAGAAACTCCAAAAACCCTGGAAACTCCAGAACCCTAGAAACTCCAGAACCCTAGAAACTCCGGAACCCTAGAAACTCCAAAAACCCTAGAAACCCTAAACCCCAAAGCCCCCGATCCCCCACTTTCTGCCCTAAACCCCAAAACCCCAGAAACCCCGAACCCTCGTTTTTTTATTAAGCGCTGTCGGCTGGCGGCAGGAGCCGTGGCCCAAACGAGGCGCCACTTGCCGAAGAGCTTCTCCTAACTTAGGGCTTTAGGGGTTTAGGGGTTTAGGGCTTAGGGTTTAGGGTTTTAGGGCATATGGGGTTTAGGGCTTAGGGCTTATGTTGCAGGGCTTAAGTAGGCTTATAGAGTTTTGGTTAAGAGCTTGTAGGGTTCAGGGGTTTCGGGGTTCTGGGATTTAGGGGTTTGGGGTCTATAGGCTTTTGGGTTCGGGGGTATAGGGTTTATGGAGAAGTTGCCGAAGAGATTCCCCTTGGAGATGTTAAGGCTTACGTTTTCAGGCTTAGGCTTTAGGGCTTATGGGTTAACGAGGAATTGGGTTGAAGGTTGAGGGTTTTATGCTTTGGGGCTTGTAGGGTTTAGGGTTCATGCCGAAGAGTTGCTCTAACATTGGGGGCCTTACCAAGTTCAAAGAGGGTATCTTATAATAGTAAAAGAATGGGTCATAGAAGTAACAGTTCAATGAAGAGAAGATTAGCAACAATACTACAGCGCAGGAATCTAAATAGTAGCAGCCACAACGGTAACATTGCTCATCATGATGATCAGCATCATCGTCATCATCAGAACATGGAGCCCCAAGGAGTAGTATTACTAAGTGAGTTGTCCCTTAAGCCGTTTGGAAATTATTTACCATTATGGTTCTCTACAAAAAAAGTAGGGGAAATTAAACAAATCCCAAAGGACAGCCCAGCTCATTAGTCTTTGAAGCTTCTCCTGGAGATCTAGCGCTTGGAGATCTCGGAACCCAAATCGGGTGGAAAACCGGCTACGGGGTCTCAAGGGTCGAACGGCTTAAGGTTATAAGGTAAAGTAAAGGCTAACCACGGCCTTTACTTTACCTTACAACCCTGAGCCGTTTTGACCTATGCGTACACGAAACTAGACGGTCTAGGCATAATAGCATGCAAGACCCACATGTATATTGCATCATGGCATTCTCCGTTTCATTTGTCTGGTGAGTCCACAGCGACCCGCTGCAGCGCCCGATATGTGCCCTGTCTGCTCTACGTGCTAAACGTATCTGAAACCTCATGTCAGCTTCGATAGCTTAGAGGAATGGTGCACCACTCATGACCGCCACCCCTCCACCGCTACCACTCAGCACTTCGTTAAGCATGGTAGTGCACGATGCTGAAGAACCCCAGTTATGAGGCAGGTTGATATGCGGACCTGATTTGAGGGTATTTTATCCTGAACGCTGCCCTGTGTACACTCATTTTAGTATGCCCTGTTCCTTTGCAATGCTACCGCCGCAGATTCAACAGCGCATCCGAGCCGCTGAGACCATAGCGCCACGAGGTGGCAACGCCTGCAGCGTGCCGTGTTTGGGGCTTCGGGTGTAGATGGGTTTAGGGTTGCGGTCCAGTTCGCAGGCTTGCGAGTTTCCCACAAGGGCAAAAAGCGCTTGAGAGACTCATGTTCTCCCCTGTCGGGCCTTCCGCCGACTTCTGCCCACAGGATCCTCTTACAGTCCAGTTTATCAGGGACAGCGACACTCATTGGGCACTACGGTTGGGTTGTATGCTCAAACATTCCCGTTCGGGAATCCAGCTCTTCTACTCTTGACGAGTCATTCTATCCGTTGTATCCTACACATTTGGTTCCCGTCTTGTTTTGCGAAGTATAGTGGACGATATTCAGTCATGGACGTAGAATCATCCAATGGGCATGTGTGGCATATGTGTATGTAGGATGTAGAGTAATGAATACGCTGATTGCATGCTGGGGTAGAGCCTGGTTGATCGTAGGAGCAAGAGGTATTGCCAAGTTCCTGTCCCACTACGCTTGGAAAGCAAACCGATTTTCCTGGAAGACGACCTCAAACCCCTGAATCCCAAACTGTCCCAACCCTGATGTGTCTGTAGACTTGCAGACCTCCAGGCCCTAAACTCTGAACTTCTTAACCACTGGGGCCGTCCCACCCTGAGATTTAGACTAGGGCGCCTTACAATTTTACAACCCCCTATCACAGGAGCTTCTAGCCCAACATCAACCAGCAAAAAAAACCCTAAACCCTAAACCCCTAAACCCTAAACCCTAAACCCCTAAACCCTAAACCCTAAAACCCTAAACCCTAAACCCTAAACCCTAAACCCTAAACCCCTGGACCACCGGGAACCCAAAGCACCCCATCGTAAAACCCTAAGCCTTGATAACCCCTCCCTTCTGGCAACCGCAGTCTCCATTGAACCCCAGCCACATCCTAATGTCAGGGTTTAGGGTTTAGGGTTTAGGGGTTTAGGGTTTAGGGTAATATTAAATTCCACAACCAAATAACTAACTCCTGAACCCGAAAAATTGAAGTGTTGAACCCACCAAATCCTGAACCTTCAATCGTAAAAGCGACTGTCGGAAGGCACCTCGGCCGGGGAGATGGACTCGAGCTGCGAAAGGCAGGCCAGAATGTCGCCCTTGCATATACATACAGTAGAAGCCTAAAAGTTGGAAACCCAATAGCCTCTATCCTTAAGAGTAATGTAGAGGGAATCCCAGCACTATTTGGCCTTAATGCGGTTTCCATCTTTATGGGGTTTACTGTAAACTCATACTTCAATGAATAGCTGGTTTCGTATACATATCTATGTACACATAAACGCAAACGTTGATACCCGTACACATGCACGTACAAATCTGCATAATATATGAGTATGATATAAGTACAAGTACATGAACGTGCACATACACATACTCATGTGCATAAGCATGTCCATGCATATATCTATATATACACACATAGCTTATACATATCCGTGCACATTTACATACACATACACATGTACATAATGCATGCACATATATGTATACATATACATACACACATCATACATGAACACAATCACACAAACACACAAACAAACACACGCATCTACACACGTACATGCAAACAAACAGACAATAAGTCAAACACACACTTAAGTACACACAATGCGTAGATATGTGCATGTATGCATACATACATACATGCATACAGACATGCTTTGTAAAAAACACCAGCTTCGAAATACTGGCACACGATATAATATGCGTCCCCTGATAGTTTAAGGTATATTCCTTAATTAAGGGGTATTGGGCTCTCTGGGTTTGTTCCTGTTTGGGATTAGCTTGTAGGATCCTAAATATGAACCCAGAATAAAACCACCATGGAGCCTAGGGGTAACCCCCAAACCCCACAGGAACCCCCAAACCCTGCGCCCCTAAACTCGAAACCCTATCCAGTACTATACCCCTAACCCTAAACCCCTGAACCTTTAGCCGATTTCCCAACATCATCGACTTCGGCTTGGTGGCCCGTTGCTTGTACGAGAGGGGCCCGAAACCTCCTTGGATGCTCTCTCCATGCATCAGTGAGGTTGGGCTTTAGGGACTGTGGAGTCTCTGGGTTTCGGCCATTTATGCCCAGAGAGCCCAATACCCCCCTAATTAAGGAATATACCTTAAATTATAAGGGGGCGCATAATATAATTTAAGCTATATTCCTTAATTAAGGGGTATTGGGCTCTCTGGGCGTAGGTTCGAATTAGTCCATAGAATTTTCCACGATTCTGCTGGCTGGTGCTTCAAGGGTTTACGAGCTTCCTATTACAAGAGCCCCTCTACGGGTTCCTTCAAGGGGTCTATAGTATGATGGCGCCGCCAGCAGCCTCACAGCTGTCGCCGTGCATCTCGGTCTTGAGGGGTTCCGACTACCGGGCTCGAATTCAGAGGGTTCAACGCACCTGAAAGCATACAAAAACGTACACCCCCAAAGCCGAAGCCTATTGTTAAGTTCTCAATATCCCCCCCCCCGCCTAAACCCTAAACCCTAAACCCTAAACCCTAAATCCTAAACCCTAAACCCTAACCCCCCCCCCCCTTTAAAAGGGTCCTGGTAGAGGCCGAAGCCTCCATGCAAAGAGCGAACCATTTTTGGCTCTCTGTGACTCTCCAGGGAGCCCAATACCCCCTAATTAAGGAATATACCTTAAATTATAAGGGGGCGCATAATCAAACTTAAGCTATATTCCTTAATCAAGGGGTATTTTGCTCTCTGTGACTCTCCAAGGTACAAGGCAGTCCCAAGCTTTCAAAGGCACTGCCGCAGCAGTCACGCATACCGAGTTCCTCTCTGCTCATTCCATCATCAGCAGGGTTTAGAGGTTCTAAGATACAGAAGTCAAGGGTAGCTTTGGACTGAAGCCGTTGCGATGCATCCGCCCCATTCATGACCGGGTAAGGCCAGAGGACAACACCTGAAATGGTTTCAGGGTTTGCATTGCAGGGTTTAGGCAAAAGCTGAAATATCTAGTGCTATATCATCAAGCTACCTAAACCTCGAACCCCAACATCCCGAACCTCATCATCCCCTGAATTCCTAAGCCAGAAGCCGTGAACATAACCATCCTCATGCCCTGAAGCTAGCTTACAGGGAGTCGAATCGCAGCACTTGTCATATAGGAGGTGCTTGTGAAGCCGTTGAAAAATGCTAGTAGGTAAGATCCTCCTAAACCCAATAGGAGCAAATATAAATGTCCCACAGCTCTACCTAGTCATCATTCCGAGGTTCGCTGAAGTCCCTAATCCTACTGTACCCTCAAGCATACACAGACATCAAAGCCCTTTACATGCAACTTGTCGGTGCCAAGTCGCTGTTCGTCCCCGCCGTGAGACGGAAAAGATGTGCCTTCCCAACATCTTTGGACTGCACATGCCAAACCATGATGAGATTCACGGCTTATGGGACAAAATGGCATGAAGAATAACGTGCACATCAATACAGGCGCACACATATGGATAATGGTGCATATAATATGATGATACGTAGGATGACGATGACGATGCATCACAATAAGAAGAAGAGGATGATGATGACGAACTGGCACTGGCAAGGGAAGACAAAGCAAATATATGAAACCCATTACGTTGCATCTGAAAATTTGAGCTAGTATGATAGACAAGAAGCATCGTCAGCAATATGCCATGTCTTGTCTTCTGATACGTGCTCCACAAGCCCTCAACCAGAACCTCAAGCATGCATGCTCGCTAGCTGCTGGACGTAAGGGTTCTTGATATGCACCCAATCGAAATTCAATCCGCACATATGTGACCTAAAAACCTATAGACCCCAACATGAAGCCTCAAAACCTAGTAAACCTGGAACGCCACAAAGCTTAAAACTCAAAAACCTCAACCACGAATATATCCACTCGAGCCCGAAGCCCCAAACCCCAACAACCCTACAGTAAAAGCCAGAAAGTTGGAATATGGTTATTCTAAACCCTTTGTGGTAAATTATAAGGTATCCTACCCTGAAACCCATATTCCCACTTTCTGGAGTTCCCACTATAAACTCTGAAGCCGAAAAACCCTTTTTGCATCCAGGCCTATTGCGACTGCCGGGTACCCTTTGCAGCCAGCAGTGCTGCAGATTTGCCTGGCCCTCAGTTTCCTTTCTTCAGCCGAAAAACCCTAAACCTGAAAACCTTAAGCCTCCGAACCAGAGTGTGCGAGACTTCCCCGGTGCCTTCAGGGCGAAACCCCCAGCCAGCGCTAGCCCTGGCACATGGTTGATGAGTCAAGAGACTCGTCGCAGGCTAAGGCTGTGCTGCTGGCTTTTTAGTGAGCAGGGCTCCCTGTGGACAACAGACGAGTGTCTCTCCATTTCGGTTTGCCAGGCGGATCGGATTGTGCGTGCAAGTCTTTGCGAGGATGAATCATGATCTGTGATGGTAGCGTTGCGGCTGTTACAGTTCGATGAAGCCAGCACTACCGATAGTACGACGAGTTCCGCGGTTAGTCAAACGACAAACCTACCGGACAGTTGCAGCTCACAATTCCTTCTGTCACTCCACATTGTACAGTAGTACCGAATCGTCTCTCAAGGCGAAAGCTCGAAACCAGTGTAAGAGAACAAGCACCCTCCTTTCGAACCGGAATACCCACAACTTCGGGACTAAGACAAGTTATATCCACATGTACTAGCACATGTACTAGAAGGTGTCGCATTCGAACTCTCACAGATACAGGGAACTCCATAAAGTTGGAATATGGTTTCAGGGTAGGATACCCTGTAATTTACCATAGAAGGGTTAGGATAGTCATATGAAGCTGGAAGTGGCCAACATACCCAAATTTTGCCGGATAAGCAGCCCTTTGGACTCATATTCGGATTGGCTCCTTTGAGTACATAGAACCTGCGTTCCCTATAGGACAAGAACCTCCGTGCAGCCAGCTCAGACTCCCTAAGCCCTAAGAAACCCCTAAACCCTTAAATCCTTGACCCTAAACCTTTAATCCTAAACCTTTAATCCTAAATCCTATACACCCTAAACCCTAAACCCCTAAATCCGAAGCCTTTAATCCTAAACCTTTAATCCTACCCCCTAAACCCCTAAAAACTCTAATTCCTAAACCCTACACCGTTGGCACCTGGTGGTCGCGGAGATGCGGGCTCCCTCCGCAAGAAGCGCGCCACTTCACCTTGCAGGAGTCGCCGCGGATTCATTGAGGCTTACAGGTTTTAAAACTCAGTGAGTTTAGGGTTTAGGGCTTATAGGGCTTGATTAGTTTAGTGCTTTAGTGCTTTAGGGTTTTTAGGGTATTCGAGGTTTAGGGTTTAGGCTTTCGGCTCCCAGGTGCTAGGGCTCAGGGCTTCGTTGCTTTAGTTCCGGTGTGGGCCGTGTACCTGTAGCGGACAGGGGCTACCTTTTTAGGGTTCCTTATTATGGTTTCTAGAAAAAAAACCTTAAAACGGAAGGTCACCTTTTTAGGATTCCTTATTATGGTTTCTATATATAGTTCCTTAAAGCGGAAGGTCTTTCGGCTACAGGTAGGCTTTACGAGTTTACGGGTTTGGGCTTGAGTTTTAGAGATTAGGGTCTCGTACAACCTGTCTGCCTCCGTCATGAACAGTATCTGAAACACCTAAGCCATACCATACATCTTCGGCTCCGAAATGCAGCAAAACCTTCAAACCCTCCGATGGTACAGCCGTGATCATAAACTTGGATCATGAAGCACAGACATGAAGCGCTCAAACACGGATAGCTCTGGGCCGATTCTATGCCTTCAGGTGGGGGTTGCCGAAAGTGGGGGACCCTAATATAGTACCCTAAATAGTAGGATCCTTATTCTTAGGACCCCAAAATATGGCATCCCTATTTTCGGAAATTTGCAGGTGGCCAGCACGAACACGAACCAAATGCTGGCCTTCCAGACCCTGCAGCTCGTCCTGAAAGTCCTCAGCTATTTTGGGAGTTTCCGAACATGAGGGGTACCGTAGGGTTCCTTTGAAGAGTTCCTATGAGGGTACTACAAGGCTCCTTTTAAAGGCTAAGGGTTTAGAGTTCTCGAAAATTAGCGGTACCTTATTTTGGGGTCCTTTATAACAAGGATCCGACTCCTTAGGGTACTATATTTGGTTCCCCTCTTTTCGGAAGCTCCTGTTTGAGGCGTTGACAACTTCTTCTCATGCAGCACCATAGCAATCGCAGACCCGGGATATCCTATGACTCTAGTTACGTAACTCATCGGGCAGTGGGCGACAAAGTATAGAATAAGTAACCTACTATGTATTTAGTTGATGGGAGCCCGAGGGTTATTTCTTACTACCCCTAATGGGCCACGGAAATGGATGTTTATACCTTCCGGTTCCTACTAAACTATAAGAACCCAAAAAGGTTAAAGGTTAGGTATTGGGGATCTAGAACTTTGAACTGAGAATGGGGGTTTGATATATGTCAGCCATGCTACTCCTTATGGGGTTTCCTCGGTATACCTGTAACGAACATGATGTACCCAAGACACTGTACTGTAGGCCCTTAATCACTAGAATAGGGCTGAGGGCACACTATTCTGTACTTCTAATAAGGAATACCCAAAAATGCCCTTAAACCCTAAACCCACAAAATAGTATAGGCTATAGGTGATTAATACGGCCCCTATATGATCCTAACCTTTAAGGTTAAGACTCATCCCCCGGAGCTTTGGTGCTTTCGGCTTCGAGGCTTGAGGGTGTATCGGGGATCAGAACTGGGATCGAAAATCGCGGGCCTGCGGCGCGGTTCTGATCACTTTGTCTGTCTTTCATGGTGATGGAGAGAAAGATGATGACGATGATGACAGTCTGCAAACACTCGGATTTTAGGCACACCTCACCGCCAGTCAAACATCTCTTTGGAACTCTTGCACATCCACGGTTCGAAGGATCCGTGTCGAAGCCCGAAGACCGAACCCCTCTGTAAGAACTCTTCGTCTTTCAAAGCGCAACGGAACCCCTTGCTTTGGAAATCTGGAACCCCCGTATCAACCCTTAAGACTCTCAGTTCTAAACCCTGAACCCTAAACCCTCAAACCCTAAATTAGAAGTAGAAGCAGTTCCGGGAAAGACTCCATCGGAGCGCTGTTGCCGCCCCTCATCCGGACGAGCCTCAAGGAAGCTGCCACGCATTTCAAGGTCAATTAGGGTTGTTCAGCTTAGGGTTTAGGGTGTAGGGTTTAAGGTTGGGTTAAATTATTTTCGGTTTAGGGTTGAGGAGTGCAGGCTCACGGTTTAAGGCTCTAATTAGTGTTTAATGAACAGATTTAATTGTGGGTTTTAGTATTCGGTGTTAAGACGTGCCTAGACTAGATTCAGCTCTGTAGAATCCCATCGTCAGTGCCGTTGTGAACAAACGGCATGTGACGATCCTCTTTGAAGCACTAGCTGAATGCGTTCTCTGCACATACCAGCCCTACCAAGCCCCATGCTTTCCGATCAAAACTCCTAGAACTCAATGCAACCTCTGAATAGATACCAATCCGAACACTCAGTACATTCCTTGAACTGTTATTTGGGGGTTCCGAAAATTAGGGGTACCTTACTTCGGGGCCCTTACAATAAGGATCCTACTATGTAGCTTCCCTAAGCATGATTGCATTCGGGGATTATTCTGCTTCCGCTACAGCCACCTATATGTTGCTACGAGCAATCGCGCTGCAGCTGAGGGGCTCGACTATCCTCGGTTGATTGGGATCTTCGTCCCACTCCTCGCATGGTGCTTAATATAGGGGCCTTAAAAATTAGAAGAGGGTTTTGATGCCCATTTGCTATACTTATAATAAGGACTCCCCAACATCTTCTTCCCACTCCTTGGTGCCTGCACCATTCGCTTCCGTCTAGGAGGTACGGAGACCCTGCAATGCAGCCCACTTGTTCTACCCGACGACGAGTTTGGCTAATCCCAAAAGACCCAAAACCCTAATCCCTGGGCCGCCTTTTTATGTGAAAACACCGTATATTCCAAAGTACATCGCTTGCATGTTCTTACTATCCTATCCAACAAACAGGTTTATGTCGCAAGAACATGCGGCTACAGTGGACTGTAAGGCTCTAGTTGCCCATGCAGTTTATACTTCCGGAAGGGGTCGCCTTACAGGAATCCAACTACCCCCTTCATAAGAAGGCTACCCGGCTACCCTTTTCTAAACTGCAGCTCAAGCCAAAGACCCCAAAACAAGGGGCACAACTCGTCTCATAACCTCTAAGCCCTAAACCCAGAATCCCTCAGAGACCGTCTAAGAAAACCTCAAAGATCGCAGAAGCAGTGTCTAGACTCGGAGCATCTCAACGAAAGCGAACTTCAGGAGATTGATTTTAGGGTTCAGGGTTTTTTTTTAAGGGCTCCTTTTCGATCTGCAGATGCGTCTCAAAGGGTTCAGGGCTTGGGCTTAAGGTTTCGAGAATTGCACCAGGCCCTCGGCAGCAGCTTTGCCTTCTCAAGGGTTCGGCTGCTTTTACGTTTTGGACCGCTATTCCTACTTGTCGGGTATCATACCTTTAAGGTTATATGGGGGTTATATAGGGGCGGTATCATGGGGAACTAAAGGTTAAACTTTTTGGTTATATGGGGTTATATAGGGACTATCCTACCCAAAAAAGGTTAAAGGTCACCTACTCTATTACTAGGTACTTTCGCAGGCTCAGCCCTGACGCCGAAGCTTCGAAAGGCCTGGATGCTGCTCGAAGCATCCGCCTCCCACTCAACCTCGCAGCAGCAAACGAAACAGATAATATGTTTTTTGTTTTTGATCCCTCTTTCAGACAGTAGGGTTTACGTTTTAGAGTATAGGGTTTCGATTCGTTGCCTTTCGAGTTTCGGGGTTCCAACCTTGCAGGGCTTGTAGCTGTAGCGCCTATTGCCTATACTGCCTATACATACCCTAGTCTTATCCAGCCTATGTACTGATATCCCTGGGTCTCATGGAAATGCATCAAAAGCACCGCAACACTAAGAAATCTGATGGAACGCACATTTGTTGGGACTTCAGAAAGGTTGAGGGGTTAACCATCGGCCATTGTGCTCAGACAGATGTCTGATTCATTAATTTCAGTGCTTCTTTGTAGATTCCATTATAAGTATATAAACCTGCAATGAAGAGTCATGAGGGTAGAGGGTTTAGGTGTCACTCATCTAACTCTGTACAGAAGCACAAACCTGAGCCGGCGGACCCCTCCCTTTCAACCAGAATTCCTCACAGTGTACTGGTGATTTGTTGAAGTGGGGTCCCTTCTTTCAGGGGTCCGTCCTTAAACCCGGAACTCCCAAACTGAAAGCTCAAAAACTTGAAAAGGTACACAGCCGGATCAGCCTTCCACCCCCTGTAAACCCCAGGCGGGAAACCTGCATCAGTACACCAATTCAGGGTGATTTTTGGAGGGATTTCTGTATAAATACATTCGAAAACCTACGCAACACCATTCTTCCTCGTTTAAATCCTAAACCCCTAGACCCCTAAACCCCTTTCAGTCCCTGTCTTACAGCGAAGGGTACACCGGCTCAGGGAACCTCGAGCTGCCGGCGCGCTTCCCGAACCTCCGGAGCCTGGTAACACGTTTCGGTTTAGGGTTTGGGGTCCAGGGTCTAGGAATCTAGGTTTAAGCTTTTTTTTGTTGAGGGCTCTTTTGGGAAATGTGTGCTTATCGAAAGCCCCTTTGGGCGAGCTATTGGGTGCCATATTAAGCATTTAGGGCCAAATTTAGGGTTCAGGGTTTAGGGTGCAGGGCTTAGGGTAGCTATGAAGGGGATCAGGGCGGCGAGCACAACCCGAAGAGCCCAACCTTGACATCGTTTCGTTTAGGGTCGGGGGTGTGGGGGGTCTTACTCGTTAACATATGGGCTCAACCAAAACCTTTAGCTGAGTTTGGCAGGTGTACTAGAGACCGTGTTGTTCAGCATCAAGAAACCTTCGACAAGGTCAATCCAGTATGACAACAAGAACAATGACACCATTAGCAGCTATTATTAGCAATAAATATCTTGTGACGTACCCTTGGGGCTGACAGGAATCCTGGCATGAAGGAAGTCCCAAACATCCTGTCAAGCATGGACAGTCGAACGTGGCACGCCCAAAGACTTAAAGCAAAAGCCCTAGTCTACCTATGAAGGGGCCTGAATGATTAGAATAGGGTTTTGGCCCCTTTATACTATATATATATATATGTATGTACATATATATATATATACTTATATACATAATATATATATATATATATATATAGTTATATAAATATATATATATATATATATATATATATATTTATAAGGGGGAATCCCCAAACTCCGTTTCGGACTCATGCGCAAAAATCGAGCGCCTCTTCCTCGTCGTCGACGTCCTCGTGAGCTCCTTCTTCCTCACTCTCCTCCCACTCCTGGTTTGGGGTTTAGGGTTTAGGGTTTAGGGTTCAGGGTTTAGGGTTTAGGGGGCTTCCGCGGGGAATTCCCGGGAAAAGGCCGGAGAGATAAGGCTTTTGAGGCGCGGTGTTTAGGCCCAACCCCACCCCTGAAAGCCGGAACTCCATCAGCACTCGGTGTTTCGGCGGTTAGGATTTGGCCTGTTGAACTCTGGAAGCTGCGACGCCTCACAGCGTTCGAGTCGGGCCAGGGATTGAAAACATACTGATGTGCTTTGCAAGTCCTAAGATCCACGGAGCGTCTAAGATGGTACCTTGCGCTCACAATGCAGCAACGAAGATGCTAAACCATCCCGTAAACCCTAAACCCCTACCCCTAAGCCCCAACATGTGCCCGAAGACACTGCCACTTTGGGACTCCCCAAAACTCCCCACATGGGAGTTTCCGAGAATAGGGGACCCTGGTAAATAGCAGGATCCATATTATAAGGACCCTAAGATAATTGGTACCCCTAATTTTCGGAAACTCACCACGTCAAACAAGCGGTTCGGAAGCCTCGAAACCGGCTTCTTCCAACTCCTTCGGCTCTGCAGCAACTTTGCTGTTCATTATGGCTGTTGCCTACAAAATGCTATCATTATTACTGTTGCTATCATATTATAAACTCTTACTGTTTTGCTATTGTATATATATATATACACACAGCAGGCATCAGGGTCTGTTACAAGTTATAATCGGTTCTTTTATTGGGGCTTTAGGGTGATGCTTGATGTTGGGTGGGAGCCTGCGGGGTTGAGGGTTGAGGGTTAGCCTAATGGTTCAGGGGTTAGCGTGTTGGGGTTTGGGTTTGGGTTCAGGAGTGGTAGTTCAAATCAATGCTTCTTGTTGCAGGCCGGGATTTAATTTAATGCAGTGGTCGTGCGTCGTTCAAAGGATGTCGGCATGACACGCAAATACATTTGATACGAACCGAAGTATCGACGAGAGACTACGGGCTTATAACGAGCTGCAATCTAAATGAAGCTCGCAAACTAAAATCCTGAAAAGTTCGACTTGTTTTTCCTATACCCACATACAGGAGTAAGGGTAACTTAGAACCAAGCCGCAGAACGCCCAATTTCAGTTTCCTAAGCCCCGAAACCCAAACCTAGATCCCAGACCCTGAACCCTGCACGCCTTCACCAACATCCCACACACCTCAAGCAGGAAGGGCAACCATCTCGGCTGTAGAGGCAACTTCTAAGGTTCCCAAACCCAAAGTCAACAAAGGGGTCTGAATCCTTGCCTCAACATGCGGTGATTGTCCGTATCTCTTCAGCCTAGTATAAGATATACTGAAACCCTATTCTAATTATCAACGCCCCGTATACTATACAAGAGACATCTACCCATAGGCTCCACAGTAGCTCATTTTTGGGATTACCTTGTAGGGTTCTAAGTATGAACCCCAAACAGGAATTACTCTGGGGCCTATACTCTAAACCCTAAGCCTACACATTAACCCTAAACCCTAGCCCTAAATACTTTGGGGCCTAGGGGTAGCAGCAGCTTTGAAGGCCGGGCCCGTTCCGCTCCGCCTGCTCCAAGGCCTCATCGATGGCATCCAAGGGATCCCAACCCAAGGAGAACATATCCTGCAGCTTAGGGTTTAGGGTTTAGGCTTGAAGGTTTAGGGTTTAGGGCTGAAGGTTTAGGGTTGAAGGTTTAGAGTTTAGGGTTGAAAGTTTAGGGTTGAGGGTTTAGGGTTGAGGGTTTACGGATGAGGGTTTAGGTTGCGACACCCAGGATTTCAGGGGTTTATCGGGTTCACGGTTTAGCGTTTGGGATGTGCAGCTTGCGACAGGTCGGATTTTCCGGGGTTTGTAGGAGTAGGGATATCGGCGATATAGGTTCATAAGGGTGGGCCGGGAAAATTAGTTTTGGGCAGTCGAGGGTCTTACAGCTATGCAAGGATTTGTTAGTTGTGGCAGCAATATACCTAAGGGAAAGAAAAGGCTGAAGAACTGTTTGCACAAGCTGGCAGCAGTTCATACGCTTCTATAAACCGTCCGTGCATCTGCATGTCGTATGGCTCCTGCTGCTAGGCCAAGAACAAGCCCTAAACACCAGCAGCAGTCTTGCTGCCAGTTTGGTCTTGGTTGCGAGTCTTTGAGCATCGATTTTCCAGTCATGAACCGGAACCAGCCCGGATCTTCTTGAGCATTCGACCCTCCTGCAACCGTCTTGCAGCGAAAAATCCCGCCATCTTGACACAGGCCTTGGCTGCCATGCGAGTTGCCGTCAATAGTCCTCACAACTCAATAGTCCTCACAACTCGTCACAAAGTATGAAAGACGGACACATGGAATCTTATTCTCCTCCTACTGCGACGATATGTTCCTCAATATGACGGCGCGTCCTGTGTTTCTCGGGCGGCAGCCCCGTAAAAGCCATACGATTATACCCTAAACTCCCACACCCAACCCTAAACCCTAAACCCTTATTGGGAACTTGCCTCCTCTTGGGGCCTCCGCTGCTCTTCACACCCAAGGGCTGACCTCGCGAGCAGTTTCAAGCGAATCAGGTTTCAGGAGGTTTGTTGTGAAATGGTCAAGTAACAGAGTAAGTACAGTACGGTTCTGGCATAGAACCGGACCTGAAACACGCAACCATTGTAAACTTCAACATGGATTTGAGAGTCTCTTTGGCTGGGTGTTGCCAATTTTCAAGCCCCGCAAACTTACAAGTGCATGCACGACTTCACATCATGCTCTCGCAATTTGAGCCATGCACCCGTGCATGGCTACAGGTGTAATTAGCCCAGAGACTCCAATATCCCTTAAGTAAGGATTATTCCTTAAATTATAGTAGGATCCCTAGTATGACTTAGGGAATATCCTTAATTAAGGGATATTGGAGTCTCTGGGAGGGCTTGCGGCTTGTGGTTTTTCCTTTTCAAGCCTTGAAGGCGCTGCGGGGCGAAGTTATGAGCTCGGGTCGGAGGTTTTGGGGTTGGGGGGGTTCGGGATTTAGGGATTTTGGGCTTTGATAGTCCGTCAACAACAATGGTGCAGTCAAGCTGCAGCAGCCACGATGAGTCGTCCTTCAATTGCCGTGGAGTTCCGGTGTGATTGCAGGAGGTGTATAGGAGGGTAAGGCCTCGGGTCTCGGTGAATTTCATAAGGCCCTAGCTGCTGAGTCTCCTGGCAATTCTGGTCGGATTATCAAAAACGCCAAAAGATTAAAGCTCGTGGGAGTTTCCGAACATAGGGGACCCTAATGTAGTACCCCCAAATGATGGGATCCTTATTCTAAGGACCCCAAAGTAAGGTACCCCTGACAGTTGCATCTAGTAGGGCCCCCAATCTTGAACTTAAGTGCTAGGAACTCTGGGACCGGAAACAAGGACCGCTACTGTTAAGACTCCGAATACAAAGCTCATGGAGCTTAGTGAATATGGTCAGAAGAGGCTAGAGACTATGGAGCTTAAAGATTGGACTTGTCATAAGGAAATCGCAAACCAAGCTCGCGCCAACATCTCTACACAAACCGTGCTGCCGCACGAGCCCTAATCTCTAAACCCCTAAGCCCTACCCTGGCTTACCTTGATCCATCTTGGCAGGGCCCCTTTGCATTTCACACTAGGGCTTTGTGATGAGCTACCATAAGTAAGTTGTTGGTGGAAAGTTTAAAGCAAGCCTTACAACTTACAACCATACAGCAATAAACCACTGAGAACTACCTGAGGATCGTCGCCAAACTCCACCACCAGGAGCCGCTTGGGCAGCACCTGCCCAGGCCATGTTCAGGGCTTCTGCACTTCAGGACGTCAAACTTGGCGTTAAGGATGTTACTATAAGGGATCCTATCAGGGATCCTATAAGGGATCCTATAAGGGATCTTATAAGGGATCCTATAAGGGATCTTATTCTTGATTCTGGTTAGTGCTTTAGGATGAATCACGGGCCTAAGGTGTTAGAGTTCGCGGAAAGTTTTTTTGGCCTTCTTGGTGCTCTCAAACACGTGGCGCACCTGTACCCAAAGGTTGGCCTTCTGTTTTCTTTTTTGCTTGACTTGTGGGCCTCTAGGAAAAAAGTCCCTGAGTTGACCTTTGGGTGTCTATGGTGCTGGTGTGTTCCTTCCTGGTCTTCGATCAAGGGTTCAAACTTGAGGGCTAAGGCGGCGGATCACTCTTTGAAGCTTAGCCCAACGCAGTCCCAGCCACGACATCCAGGATTTCGACGAGAAGACCAAAACTTTCGTCGTCTCGGCCCTTAACAACAAAGTCTCGACGCCAAACGTTCCAAACATCAGTACCGCAATCCCTAAATTTCAAACCCGAGACACCTACCTGAGCTAGATGTAAAATGTAGAGAAGTCCTCGTGGTAAACGCCCCAAAGCCGTTTGTACACCTTAAGCTGTCGACTCAGACCACCCCCAGCCTTCCGCGCTTCTTCAGTGCCCAGGCGGGCGGCGAGGTCCTCACAGGGAGGACAAGTCCGCGTATACTAGAACATACCTCAAAGTCCTATTCTGACTTTTAAGGCCACGATATTACTTTTCAACTTTGTTCTATCGCTTGTTCTGTACCTCTCCCTGATAGATATAGCTGTCAAGTGCAGCTTGAATACCGACGGAACCTCTAACTTAGGGCTTTGGACGTAAAGCTTCGTGAGCGATATTGCTACTACAAGTGCCACCACCAACACCACCACCTCCACGGCTGCTACTACTACTACTACCACTACTACTACTACTACTACTACTACTACTGCTGCTACTGCTACTGCTACGACGACTACCACAACGACCACACGACCACAACGACCGCAACGACAACAACGACAGAACAATAATGTGGCATTGAAGTAAAAGAAGCGAAAAACTATGTTCGTTCTAACCCTTTGGAGTCCGGAGTCCTGACGGCTCGGTTTCAGATCCCGGGCACCCTCCAGCACCTCACCACCGGCAGGGATCACCTGCAAGTGCCAGCGGCACTGAAGGCCCCTCAGGCTTTGGGGAATCGAGGTTTAGGCGTTGAGGTCTTCGCGCCTTGTCGGGGTGGTGGGGCATTCAGGCTTGGGGATTACTGAGCGTTCAAAGTTTCAGGATTGCACGATGCATACCTAGACCTAGAACCTCAAGTTCCAAAGAGCAAGTAAAATTATGGCACAACACACCTATAGCTGACAATTGTTCCACAACACTTCTGGCCCACAAGTAGAGTTCAGAGTTGAGAGTTCTTGGCATTTTTACCCTTTAGCCATTGGCTCAGGTCAGAGGTATGGACTTTGGAACGGGGCTGAGCTTGGATTGCTAAACGGGCTCTCCGCCTCTCCCCGCAGGCATAATGATTACTTATCTAGCTCCGTAGACCCGATATGGCTATACAGTGGACTACTGTTGATAACGCTGAACCCTAACCAAAATGGATTTGTGAGCTTAGGGCTGAGCCCTTAAACCCTAAACCGAACTTATTCTCGGGGCACCATACGAACCGAAGCTTTGCCTGCAAGCGCCAATGAGAGCCTTCCACCCTGAAAGTAAAAACCCTTGGTTACAAACAAAGCTCGGGGTAGGGTTGTAGGTTTCGGGTTCAGACCTTAATTAAGCCAAAGGGACATATCGTATTGCCGAAGCCCTGAAGAAACCACATCGCCGTCATTTCCCGATGCCTGCTGCAGAAGTTTGGACACCTCTCCTTTCTCGGAGTCCTCCATGGCCTTTAGAAAGTATGGCTGCGTGTCTGCTTTCGCGCTCTAGGTTTGCGCTCTATATCTAGGAAAAGCTCGGCGAGCAAATGCCAAACACTACACCGAAGAACTCAAATTTAGCTCAACACGCTGGTTTTCCTCTCCATGAACGAACCGCATGGAAGTAGAGGAAGTCTCAAGACTCACAGTTTGGGGTTGAGGGTTTGCGGCTTTGTGTAACTAACAACTCGTCAAGTAGCTTGCAGACAACTGTCATGAATCGGTCCGTTGTGCCTTTCCCGTTTTCCCACTCCTTCTCTCCGTCCGTGTCTCTCTCTCCCTCTTTCTCTCCCTTTGTTCTCTGTCTCTTTCTCTGTCTGTCTGTCTCTCTCTCTCTCTCTCTCTCCCTCTCTGCCGCGAGCCTGCAGCAGCCTCGCATCCCAGCTGGTATCCTCCTCACCGGCATTACCTCAGTAGCATGCACGCTTAGGTTTTTACGGCTCGGAGACGGTAATTAATCGGAAACACCCCTATAGGCTCCATAGTAGTTCCTTTTTGTGGCTCATTTTTAGAATCCTATAGGTAATAAACAGCCATAGGCTCCATAGTAGTTCCTTTTTGTGGTTTATATCTAGAATCCTATGAAGTAATCGCAAAAAAGAACTACTATGAGGCCTATGGGCAACATCGACATCAAGCTGGGGCCGGGTTACGCAGGCCGCGCAAGGTTCGTGCTAAGCCCCTGGTGGCAGCTTCGATGGCTCGGACACCTGAACATCACAGGGACCCTCAGGGGGGTAGGGGGAGGGGGGTACCGGGTAGGGGGCCCTCAAGGACCTAATAAGGCCTATTTAGGGAAGTATAATCCCCTACCCCCCTCCCCCCTACCCCCATAAGGGTCCCTATGACAACATCAGAAGTTCCCACAGGCGTTGGCTCCGAAAACCACACTTCTATTCGCCATGACTAGGGCTTCAACGTATTTATGCTTATCTGCATGGCTTACATCTTGCAAGGCTGCCCTTTAGTAATAATAATAACAATAATAATAATAACTATAATAATAATAATAATTATTATTATTATTATTATAGCCTTGCCGGCCTTTTTGCTAGGAGCTCACGGTTCAGGGTACCGGGCTTGGGGGTTCTGCGTGGAGTTTCTTGAGAACGTGAGTCCTGTCGTTATTCGTCGATATCATATATAGGGTTTAGGGTTTAGGGTTCAGGGTTTAGGGTTTAGGGTCGATATCATAGGGTCCCCTACTCTCTGGAAACTTCCGACATGCGCGCCAGAAGCCCTGCGAAGCGCATGGCCTCGAAGATAAGCCTGAACCCAAACCTAAACCCTACACCTTACCAGGACCCCCAATCTCTTTTAATCCGGCCCTGACGATCCTTACTGGTGCGTCCCAACGGGTCCAAGTATCATTATAGAATTATAGTATATACTTAGACCCCCCAAAATACCCTGTAAGTATGTCCCATAGTGATACTTGGACCCTTTGGGTGTGTTTAGGGTGCAGGAAATGTGCCCAGAGAGCCCAATACCCCTTAATTAAGGAATATACCTTAAATTATAAGGGGATTCATATTATCATGTAAGCTATATTCCTTAATTAAGGAGTATTGGAGTCTCTGGGTGGTATTGGGGTGGGGAAGGACAGCCCGGCCTCTTCTCACCTGGCCCTGATCGGCAACTTCCTCCAAGCGTCTGCCTTAGCGGGAATCTGGCTTCATCACGGTTTAGGGTTTAGGGTTTCTTCATGCCCAGAGACTCCACACAACTTCACACAACCCTGAATTAAAGACTGTAGAAATATACTCTGAACTATAGGGGGTTCATGTCATGTTTTCAGGTATAGTCCTTGATTAATGGGTTTTGGAGTCTCTGCATGGTTTGCCTGTAACACCAAAGCTGTTGTAGACAACGGTCCGCCTTTCGAGGTTCAAGAACCCCATGTCGACCACCTTTTTTCCACCCTTGCTAAACCCCTGAGCTGGAAGTCAGTACGGAGCACCCTGTTTCAAGGTCAGAAGGGGGAGTATAATCGGTGTACACGTCTGATTGAAGTGGAGCTCCGGCCCCTTAAGCTTGTATGATCTACGCATGGGGTGCTCTGAGGGATGTTTGGACTCATGACTCTGCTCTTGCTGCTCCTGTTTTTCTGCCGCTTCATACTGCATCGGCAAATGTTGCCCATGATTGCACCTGACCGACGGCTTACAGCTGAGAGCTCAATAACCCTGAGCCCCTAGCTGCATCCCCACAAAAGGAAGGGCATCCAAGGCAAAATGCAAGAGAGCAACTTTACAGCTCGTGGTTTTAAAAGAACTCCGAAGTAATTACCCTGACCCCTAAACTCTAAACATCTCTTAACCTCAATTTAAACACCTTGAAAAGCAGGTGCCAAAAAGTCGACCGAGTGGCGCAGCTGCGACAGGGCGCGCCGCTGCGCGGGAGGAGGCCTCGTGGAAGAATCACCCGCGGCCCTACCTGTAGTCTCCATTGTAGTTCCTTTTTTGGCTAACCAGTTTTGGATGATAAGATCCTAACCATGTAATTAGCTGGTTAACCCAAAAGGCAACTAGCTGAACCCGAGTGAGTCCAGGGATGTGGGATCGTTTCTTTTCGGGTGCCTTTTTGGGTGTGTGAGTTCGTGTGCTTTTGTCTGAAGGGGTGGTTGTTCATTGCTACCTCCACCAGCTCCAGCACCAGCACCAGCGACAACAACCAACAACCACAGCCACCGACAACCAACACCACCAACCAACAATAAGCAACACCAACAGCAGGCAACAATAACAACAACAGGAAGCAACAACACACAATACCCGCTAGCAGCCAACAACCTAGAACCTGCAACCGATAATCTGAAACCCATAAGCTGAAACCTACCACCACCACCACCACCAGCAGCAGCAGCAGCAGCACCACCACCATCACCACCACCACCACCACCACCACCACCACCACCACCACCACCACCACCACCACCACCACCACCACCAGCACCAGCAGCACCAGCAGCACCACCACCAGCACCAGCACCAGCAGCACCAGCGCGACCACCACCACGACCCGACTACAAACAATAATGAACACAGCAGTACTTTAGGGGCATTAATACTGATCACACGGTATTGGTGTGTGTGTGTGTGTGTGATAGTATAACATAAAAAATTAAGGGACTACAAGGTTATAATTGTTATAATGTACTAGTCATTTCTGGAACCTCTCAGTTAATATAGGGGCCTGAAATTAGACTTACGGTTGATGATATAAATCCTGCATTACCTAATAATAGGGAATATGTGGGAATTACGGTATATTCCTTATTATGGGTAATGCAGGATTTATATCATCAACCGTATCATAAGTAACCCCCAGAGTAGTATAGGTAGTTATTGAAGCCCCTATACTATATCCTCATAATAGCCCTTAAAGTAGCCCTTATAGACCCCTTCACAGGAACCCTACCTTTAGTCTCCATTGTAGTTCCTTTTGGGGGTTTCCTTTGCGGATCCTGAAAATAAAATTGGCTAAACCAGAAAAGGGAACTACAATGGAGACTATGGGTATTCTAAATATCTCTAAACCCAATCCTCCTGCCTTGGCAACGCTTTGAAGAAGGGGTTGGGAGCCGGAGCCACGGCGAGCAGAAGGAGACCTAGGCCCAGGGGGCCAATAAGGTTTAGGGTTTGGGTTTAAGGATTTTGGGGTTCAGGGTTGAGGGTTTCTGGAATTCGGGGTCTAGGGTTTCTGGATTTTGGGGTTTAGGGTTTAAGGATCTTGGGGTTTAGGGTTCAGGGTTTAAGGATCTTGGGGTTTAGGGTTCAGGGTTTGAGGATTTTGGGATTTAGGGTTTAGGTTTTAGGGAGTCTTCGATGTTAGTGTCATTCTTGTTTTCTTTGTGTTGAGACGGTTTTGTGGGTTCAGGGTTCTGGGTCGATTTTTTCTAAGTCAAACTCTGTAGGGTGCTCTGGCCTTCGAAGGCATGGTTTATGCTGAGGGTTTTTGTGTAAAAGGCTTTGGGATATTGGGCTTGGGGGTCTAGGGTTTAGGTTTGAAGGGTTTTGGGATGTTGCGTTCAATGACCATGCACATGTACTGTTTTTGGGTTTGTTGAGCGGGGCTGACGGATTTGCGGCGAATGGAAACTTCAGGGTAAAGCTCCTTGAGACTTTTGGGTTTGATTCTATGATTTACCAATACTCAAAGGGGAAACCCTACCCTATAATGGGCTATATCATGGGTATAGAATAGCTATATTCAGGGTATATACCTAGGGGTCCTCATTAAGGGTCCCTCCTTTTGCCCTTGGAAATACTATTTGTGGGGGCTCCTGGGCTCCTTCTTGTAGATATTACTAAATTAGAATAGGGTTTTGGGGTATATTATATCTTATACTAATTAAGGGCTTACATGCAAGGTTTATGAGGGTGAGGTTCTGCTTGAGGCTTCGTGCTTTGGGGCTCAAGAAACACGGGTCGGGAATTGCGTTCGTAGGTTTCGCTTCCAAGCTGTCGGGACTGGCAATTTATTCAGCGTCGAGTCTTGCATTCACCTTCAACCCTAAGACCTAAACTCCCGTAAAGTCTTAAAGGAGCCCCTTAAAGGAAATCTAAACCCCCTAAAGGACCCCCTTCTAAGACTATAGTTCCCCAAGGCCAGTCCACCACCAGCCAACCACAAGTTGCAAGCAGCACCCCCAACTCAACGCCACGCTGTCCACCCGGAATACTAAACCCAAGTCCTCAACTCCCAACCTAAAGCCAAGTCAAAAACTCCCAACAAAGAATTACCCGAGTCCTCAACTCCAAACTCGAATAGTAGACATAAACCCTATACTGCGAATTTTCAATTCCCAAACTCGCTATAAACCTTGAACCCTGAACCCTATGCCGCCGGAGGGCCCGCTCGTCTATGTTTCAGGGAAATGAGCAGCTGGATCACCTGTAGCTTCTTAAATGCAACTTAGCATACGTACCATACTACTGAAATTCTGGTACATACAGTATTCGATAAGTTGAAACCAGGACGACGTGCAAACACACGCAACATTATACGAGTTATCCACAGCAGACTACCTCCCGTGCGGTTGGAAGGCAATCACCACGCATTGATTCCGAGATTGGTTGAGCAATGTTGAGCAAAAGGTCCAGATGTGGAACCGGTGTTTCGCAGGTCATCTCCCGGCCCAATTGCACCCCCGTGAGACTCCACAGCGGATTGCAAACTGTTTGTTCAGAGGTGGGCAGAATGCGAGAGATTAGAAGCCCTCAAAAGCCTGCCTCGCACGATCTGAGCCCATGCCCAACAGACGGAAACCAACATGAGGCAGGAAACTCGGATTTCGGCAATGGTTTAGAAATTGACTGCGACACTCCTCCCCTAGCAATCCAGACTTGAAGACAAGTCAGAGCCCTCCCCGTCCCCGCCCCGCCAACTGCGACCCGAGACTTCAACCTTGGAAACCAAAACCCCGGCACCTTGAAACCCAAAGTCCCAACATGCGAAGCTCCACACCAAGGCTGCTAATATAGGGGCCTTAATAACTAGAATGATACTTTTGGGGCCCGTTCTACTATAATCATAACATGGAAGCGCACAATAGCCCGGGCAAGGACATCGATGGTGTCAGTTTAGGGTTTACGGCTTATAAGGTTTAGGGTTTATGTTTGAGGCAAGTCGCTGCACCGGAAGAATGGCCGAGGCCCCAAATCGGAAGACAACCGACTTGGACACCTCTCTTTAAATTGGATTGTAGTATTCGTTTCTGCTTGCTGTTAGGGCGCAAGGTTAGGGCAACCAAACGCAACAGTTGAAACGAGGTGTCCAATGTTTTAGGGTTAGGCAGAGCGCTGTATTTGGGGAAAAAGGGCTCAGCGTTATCTTCTTGTAAGGTTTGAACGAATACCCTGTTCAAGTTGTGAGGTTTGGGATTTGAGGCTACAGAGTCTACGGATGGTGTGCAAGCAGTGCAAACCTTCCTCATCACGACGCTCCCACACGTTGCGTGTGCAATATGCCCATGGCCCATGGCTGCACATGTGTGTTTCTGGTTGTTTGGGAACCCTTACCCTCAGACCTTGACCGGTACGTATACTAGAAACTTGAGACCGAAGTTTGCAAAGTGTGCCAAAACGAAGAGGCATATACCGTCTGTCTGTTCAAATGCTGTATGATGCAATGAAACCCTAATCACTCAAAGCAGAACATGGGAAGGTACTTCAGCCATGCCCGTCCTAAACCAGAAGCCTTACCAGAAAAAACTGAGCCACAACTCATAACACTTCAACCCAAGCTAATGCGATAGAGGGTCGAGACTGTCTTTCGATCGACCAATGTATCACTCACCACGGGAGACGGTTTGATGCTCATGGGACGTATAGAAAGGTAAGCAGCTTTGGGCTGCAGGGTTTGCGGCTTTGGTTTCGAGGCCTGCTTATGCTGCATGGCCTCAAAAACCTCAATACCAAACGAAGTGTTGTTGTTTTGGTGCTATGGCGCTTTCGGTTTCAGGCAAGTGCAGACCACCACGAACAGCGACATGCAACGGCTGCAAGCAATGTCGCAGCTACAGCTGCACTTACCTTCGTTTTCGTCCGGCTAGATGAATACTTGAATAGGGAAACAAGTAGCCATATACGTGCATGACGCAACGACAATAACACCCTAAATACCAACACCAACCTGTGTTCCATGCGAACCTATGCTAAACCACACAGGCCGCCGGCGATAGCTGGACAAACCGAGAACACAAAACAGCCCTTTCACAAACCCTTACACAGAACCGCCCCTCATAGAGGTTTGTATAAAAACCCATCGAGGTTTTCATAAAAACCCCTTGCATAGAGGTTTTCATAAAAACCTCTTGGAGGCGACCTCGCTGCTGCAGTGAAATTAGCGCTGCATCCAGAAGTTCCGCGACCTTCGCTCGCTGTTTCGGCCAAGTCCAGGCTTTATTCGGTTCCTTACAGAAGTCCGTAGAGGCCTTCAAGGCATCTACGAAGGTTAAGGGTGTAGGATTTTAGGGCCAAGGGTTTGGGCGGGTTATGGGGTTGTAGTATTGCAGGGATTATTTTTTTCTTTAGACGTCCCTTTTCGGTTCGCGGATATTCGGCTTCCTTGGGTTTACAGCTCCCTAGCCCTAAGCCGCACACCTACCCAAAGCCTTCCTTCAAGTGTGCCCTAGACCGTGGTTTTCCTATACCGGCTATATATATATATATATATATATATAAGGGGCCTTTTGATGACTTTCAGTGGGTTTTGGGCATATTATAGTACAGTTACGTATAGTTGTAACTACTACGGAACCCTGACCATACCCACAGGCTCCATAGTAGTTCCTTGTTGGGGATTACCTTATCAGTAACCTAAACATGAACACCGAAAAGGAACTACTATGGAGCCTATTCGTAATTTACACGAAAAGAAGGAGCCCTGAGGACGAACCTCTGATGTTTAGCAGGGAATGGGGGAATGGATCCCTGTAGTAGTTCTATTTAGGGTTTAGGGTTATAGTAGTCCCTATATAGTCCCCAATAATAGCCCCCATACCCCACTCCCCCTGCTGGTCATGGTTCAAGCTTCTGGCTTGCCCGAAGGACTGCTTAGGCCGACTGGCCACATGAGGGGCTTCTGTAAATCTAATTTTCGCCTACTCGTCGGGTATTATGGGGAACTAAAGGTTAACCTTTTTGGTTATATAGGGATTATATAGAGACTATCCGACCCAAAAAAGGTTCATTGTTACCTACTCTACTACTAGGTTGTTCCCTTCTACCTAGGGTTTAGGGCTGTAAATCTTATGAAGTGCAGGGTTGCTCGGGCTTTGGGTCCCATTTTGCTGGCGCGAGGGCCTTCAAGTTTGGGCTTTGGGGGTTCTAGGATTCTAGGGTGTAGGAGTCTGCATCCAAGTTCCCTCATTCAATGAAGCATGCTGTCCGGGGGACTGTTTTCGGGGTTTCGAAGCAGAGGCAGATCCTCGACATGACGCCCCCAAACCCACAAGGCGCAACCCTGAATCCCTGAATCTTACACCTGAAGATTAAAGCCGCTCAATGGTTCGGGCTGGCAAGGGCCTTTGTTGCCGCAGCATCGTGGTCCAGTGTCGCGGCACATGGGGTTGCCACGATGACAGCACCTCGCGCAACAAGCCGCGAAGATAAACCGTGAGCCCATACAACTTTCGGGGCAATGCGCAACACGGATCTTCTCAGTTTGGCGATGCATTAGCTAGTGTGGATTTTTTGATGGGTCTCAGCAGCAAGTTTTGGGCACCCCTGATTGAGTCCTAAACTCCGGTTCTGATACCCCAAGCCCGAAACCTCGAGCCCGATATCGATACCCAACACCCCAAACCGCCAACTACTCCCGAAGTTCGACAGTCAATGCTGCCAGGCTTCCGGTATCCTCCGAGATTGCCTCGAGGAAACATCGGTACCTTGGTTCAGCGCAGTCCTACGAAAAGGACTCCCAAAATCATTGAAGGATACAGCTCGGGCTATGGAAGCGTATAAGTTTATAGGCCCGTGGCGTAGGAAGTCTGATAAAGGCTCAGCTGTTTGGTTACAGAATAAACCAGTAACAGCGAAGCCTTCTTGTGGCTTCTGAAGCAAAACAGAGCCCGCAGCTTACTAAACCCCGATGAACACTTCAAAACGACTCAACCCGATGAAGACACAACATCGTACAAGTGCTCCAGCCTGTGCTGGCTGCATTTGCGCAGGTGAAAACAGCCAAAATCAACTCAGTGTAATATGCCTACGGCAGGTACGTGCATACACACACACATATAAATACCTACATACATACATGCCTACCTACCTACCTACCAACAACGGTCGGGCGGACGGAAAAAAACACACACATGTAAACAGAACATCCAGTTTGCTTTTCTTACAGACATGCCAACGGTCATCGTGGTAAACACAAAGAACATCAAGCGGCTGGCATAAACCCTACACGTGCCTCAAAATGACATGAGACGCATTGTGACCCCAAAACAATGTACCGCTGCTCACTAGTCATTTGCTGATGTCGAGAACTTTCTTGTTCGAACCACCTTTCTTCGAACCAAAACAGGGTGACACAAAAACAATCGCACAAACCTCTAAAGCCCTCGCAGTCCTGACTCCACCCTCAACCCAAAACGCTCAAACCCGCTAAACGTTACCAAACCCTGAAGCCATTCGTGTAACTGGGCCGGTTCTTAAACACATCGCAACAGCATTCGTGCACAGGACCGGTTTTGATCCACTTCAGGCCTCAATGGCACCCCCTCCGGAAACTGCGAACCCTGGAAACCTAAACCTTACCAGCCCTGAAACCTAGTGTCAATAGGAACTCTTACAGAACAACCCTAACATCCGAAACCCCTAATAAACACAAATCGAAACACTATCAACCCAAACACTAAATAACCCTAAACCCTAAACTCACATTAGCCCGCATGCTATTCTAATTATTAAGACCCCCACACTCAAGCCTTATAATAGCGCTTATACTAGCCCTTATACGGGAGTTTCCGATAATTGGGGGGGTACCTTATTCTGGGGTCCCTGATAACAAGGATCCTACTATTCAGGGTACTTTCTTAAAGGACCCCGTCAAAATGTAAAGGAACTCTAACCCTTAGGGTCCATGTACCTAAATAGTACATACATTGGCCTTAAAGTACTCCCTATATGGGTACATTGGGCCCAAAGTATATACTATTTGGGTACATGGACCCTTACAGTAGAAGCCAGAAAGTTGGAATATGATTATCCTATATAAACCCTTTATGGTCAATTATAAGGTATCCTACCCTGAAACCATATTCCAACTTTCTGGAGTTCCCTTTAGGGTAAGTCGGAACGACGAGCAGCGTGAGTCGGGGGGCCGCCGCAGCCCAGGCGCCACCGACGAAGTGCAAAACGCAAGTCGGCTTGCACCCCTGGCAAAAGCCCTTATTCCCTACCTATAGTCTCCATTGTAGATCCTTTTTGGGATTACCTTTTAGGATCCTTAGTATAAAATTGGCTAAACTAAAAAAAGGAACTACAATGGAGACTATAGGTAAGGCTCAAAATAACCCAGAAGCCTTACATAGTATGGTCTTTGGGCCCAAAAGCCTTAATATATGAGTCCTTAGAGCCTTAGGGATTAGGACCCCCAAAAAAGCGCATAAGCAAACATATGGATAAGGAGATTCCATATAAACCCCCTTACAGTGAAGCCCAATAAGGTATAGGGATATCCCCATAAAATGCTTATGCTTATGTGCTTTGGGGTCCCTCATTTATAGGAGCCCTTAAAGGAACCCTATTCCAATTCTTAACCCCCAATATTAGGGAGTTTCCGAAAACAAGGGATTGTAATATGATACCCTAAATTAGTAGGATCCATATTTTGAAAGACCCCACAATAAGGTACCCCCAATTTTCGAAAACTCCCATATGGCTTATTAGGGATCGGCACGTATAGGACTTACCCTAGGGTTTCATGTTAGTTCCTTTTTGTGGTACATATTTGGAATCCTACAAGGTAATCCCAAAAAGGAACTACTGTGGAGCCTATGCTTAGGGATCAAGGCCATTGAAGGTTCAAGTAGGGTTTAAGACCTTGGGTTGCGTTACGGTTTGTCGAAATCTTATGAAGTGTCAGAGCTTCCTCGTCTAGTGAGGGATTTCTGAGTTGAAGGCAAGGGATGTAAAGAGTGGCGTCAAAAGGCTTGGATCTCTTGCGCAACCTTCTAAACCCTGGGGGTTGCATTTTGAAGCTTTAAGGAGTCTGCGGCTGAATTTATGGCTTAGGGTTGGGGGTTCAAGGCTTAAAGCCTCGTTCTGCTTTTGGGGATTTTGGACTTTCGAGCATGTTAGGGGATTTTATAAGGCCACCAGGTCAGAGCCCAGGGATCTGGTAAGTCCAGGGCTGCTACACTGAGTTGCCCTTTAAGCCTTTTGACACTTTTTTACTATTATGGTTCCCTACAAAGTAGTAGGGGGGGGTGAAGAAGATCGCAAAGGACAACCCAGTACAATGTTTTGGGGAATGTGTCGGTTTGGGATGAAACGTAAAATACGTAGGGGTCTTGGGGTTCAGGGGCTCTCACGAGATTGCATTACGTTTTTTGGATGCCTTACTTGCTTTTGGGTCAAAGACTCAGAAGATACTAGCACAAGAAAGCAGCTGCAGTTCGGGGTCGCGGTAGCATCCGTTGCAACATCTGACAAGCTTGGGTCGATCAAGCACAGCATATGGGGACTTGTGCTGATGACATCCTCAAAAAGTGGCCGTTGAAAATTGTTCGTTACCTTTTGGAAGAAACGACATCAGCTGGATGTACAACTAAGAACATCTTGAACCCCAAACTTGAGTTTTGGAGTCTGGGACTTGCTGTTCGGCGAAGCGCCTCGCTGGAAGCAGGAAGATACACAGGGCACCCGGCCACCTGTGAGGTCATGCTGGCAAACTGTAAGTTGCTGTTGGCCTTTAGCTTTTGTGGCTAAAGCTGACGGGTGCGTGGGTACCTTTTTATACCCTTAATATAGAGGCCTTACTGATTAGAAGAGGCTTTTGGGGCCCAATATTCTACAAGTTTAATCAGGACCCTAAAAAGTATAGGAATTATCTAGACCCCCTGTAGTATGCCCTCACAGCTCGAAACTCTTTTCACCTCTTTGAGCTGCATGAGGACTGGAGATGGTAAAAAGCAAACTCGAGTCTCAACACCCTACTATAGGGGCCTTAATAATTAGAATAGGGTTTGTGGGCACAGTATACCGTAACTATGATAAGGACCCCCCCAACATAGTATAGGTAATTATTTAGGCTCCTGTACCCTGTCGAATCATACATCGGGGCTGCCTCTTCTGGCTCACAAAGCTCTGCACTTTAGCTGGGTGTCAAGCCCGAAACCTAGCAATCCATGCAACCTGCAGTGATACACAGCCGGAGTCGGATAACAAGAACAGCTTTTTTGCGTAACTAATGAGAATGGCATCAACAGTCAGAAATAAGCACAGAAACGCCAAACCACTCAACACCAGGAAACACGCAGATCCTTTGCCATGCTCAGTAGACCTTCACTCACATTCAACCCAAATCCCTACGCCAAACGTAATGCACCTCTAACTCTCTGACCCACCATCACTGTGATCATCCACTGAGACCGCCTCGCGCCACTCCGAGCGAAAACTCCTTGCAACCTTCGCACTTCGCTGGGACCGGAATCCTGGCGGCATGGGCCTTACCTCAAACCCCAAGAGCATGTACAATGCTGGCCATTTTATGGTGTTGTTTGATGAACCAGGTTTCTGAGGGGTGAGCCGCTAACAAAAGGGCGGATATGTACGGATATTCAAAAAGTGGTAAAAGAGAACCGGCATCCTTGTCTTTTGCTTTCAATACAGCACAGTAAGCCTGTCGCTAATTTTGCCCCAAACTCCTGAATCACTGAACCCCCAAAACCCACCAACAGACCCAAAAGCAACCTAACCAATAACGTGCAGCTTGCAAAAACCAACAAGGCTCTTACGCAGCCTTCCAGAGCAAATGTGCTGAACCTAAACATAAGCTTGCACCCTGAACACCTTGTAAGCCTCTTTCCTGAACGACACTCGCATTCCTGAAGTTGCCTATCCTATCAGCCAACCGTTAACTTCCCTGGATGTTGAAATCGGAACTGGATAGCAAATATAAAAACCTTACGAAAAAAGCTGTGACATGACATCCTGCATGCCTCCAGCCCCCAACTGAGCCAAGTATGGAAACCCCTCCAATATGGAGCAACGAGCTTCAAAAACCGACACTACTTCGAAGGGTCCTGGCAACTTTGCAGTACTCAAACCCATCAACCGGTGCCATAATGATTAGACTAGGGTTTTGGGGGTTCATCTTTGATGTAGTTATAATATAATGTACCCCAACCCTTATTCTGATTAAGGCCCCTACCCTAAACCGCAAACCAAACCGGCTGCCCGCTCCTCGTTGCCACGAAGGCTTCAAAAGACAAGCCACTGCAGCCGAGGCCGAAGCTGCTCCCAGTCTTGGTGCCTCCGTGCTGGAGTCTTTTAGGGTTTATGAGCCTTACAACCCTGAGGAGTTTACTTGAGTCCTTTGGGGTTTATAAACCTGAAGGTACAAGGGTTTAGTTTAGGGTCTTACGCTACAGTACCTTACCTCTACATCAACCCTGTGTATGACCCCTACACAATATCTAAAGAAAACATACGTGGATCGGATCCGTCATTCTTTAACCAGGGAAGGGGGAGTTCTGAATGAGGAGGCTTACAACTTAGAAGCCTTGGGGTTGGAAGGGACTCCTCGCTAGCGGTTCGTGGTTCGGTGGATTTAGGCTTCGAGTGACAACATCCGGAACTGAAAAGATGGGCTCGGGGCTTAAAACCCGGTTTCAGTTTGGTGACTCGGAGCTTGTTGTTGCAACATGGGGAGTGAAGCAAATGTGGGCTTTACGAGCTTCAACTCCGGGCTTTAATTCTTAAGGTTTGGGGCTTGAAATAGTACCTATAGTCTCCATTGCGGTTCCTTTTTGGGGTTACCTTTTAAGATCCTTGATATAGAATTGGTTAAACCAATAACAGGAACCACAATGGAGACTACAGGTAGCATCTTAAGTGCCCAGTTTTGTTTATCATCCTGCGACCTAGTCTTGTGACAAACCCAGGCACGCGTCCGACCAACCCGAAACCCTAAGCCCTAAACCTAAACCCTTTAAACTTTAAACCCTACAAACCCTATAAACCCTATTAACCCTGTAAACTCTATAAACTTCCTATAAACCCCTAAACCCTAAAGGGACCCTGAACACTGCGAGTGTTTCCCTACGGTACTTTGAGCCGTACCGATTTCGAAGGCCCCTTTATTTCCCGGGTGTCGATCGCTTCTTCATGGCTCGAGAAGTAAGGAAAGCAGCCCGAAACATGGGCAACGATGCGTTGGAGTTGCAAATGACAAAAACATCAACAACAAGCTTCAGCAACGATGTCCAATACAAAACACTGCAACTGCAAACCTCAGCGGACCCCCAGTTGAAAGCCTTGCGAATCGGGCTCGCCGGCGATGGCGCGGATCGGGATACCTTTGTGTCACTTTTGTCTCCACACCGCTGGTCCCAGCCAGCACTCCGAAACCCAGAAAGTGCCGACCTATTTAAGTGCTGTCTTAAGGCGTATTCCAGCATACGAAACAAAACGGAAAACTGCATTGCTCCAAGCTCTGAGTCTGCAGCGTGGGCCACTTTTCCAAGGGTCGTCGACTGCGATGCGCCATGGCTTGCAGGCAAACGTAGGGCCATCGGTCTGAGCAGTGGATTTGGGGTTAAGGGGGATAGTTTATTTCGCGGCCTACGATAATTGTGCTTTGGGTTTAGTTCCTAAGTGTTCCTAACATCGGTGGTGTAAATGCGATGTGCGGTACTCGACTGTAACATGCCACTTAGAAGCAACAATTCGTGATAGCATGGGTTGTAGTAGAGTGTGCGTTTGCTACGGCGAATGCCGCTGACATTGAAAAGCGGGGACCAGAAGGGACATGTGCATGGAAACCGACAAACCCCACCTACGGACAGCATGCACGCAACCACTACGCACAAATTGAGAAACGACCAACAGAATTGGCGCACCCTGGCGATGGCACTGCTCAAACCATCGGCAAATAACTCCTTTGATCCCATCCTGCACCTAATAATCTGCGTCATGCCTGACGGCCTCCGGGCTTGTGGCCAATTTATTGCCGTCCTGCCCCCCCCCCCCCCCTCTCGTGCGTTGTGCTGGCTTGAACGCTGAAAGCTGAAAGAACGAAACACGCTCTTTTTGCACCGGCGCGCTGCAGCAGCAAAAGCACTATCCATAACGTCCGGGTTCTACCTTGACGGTCTGCTTCTGCTGCGGGTTCGACTGCTTCAGATATTCCAGGAGCTGCACCTTCGTCACCAAACGTCAACCCGCTAATATCAGGGCCCTAAACAGTTAGAATCGGGTTTTGGGGCATTACACTCTAATCAAATTTAAAAGTAAGAACCCCCAAAACAAGGCTTCTACAGTAGCGGAATGACAGTTGAGCATCACGTACTTCTATATCTCCCAGGCCAAGGTCGCGCGGGCATACTTTGAAAACACATCGTAGCACACTTGGTGACATCAGCGAATGAAATCTGAAAGAATCCCTCTTCCTGGATTCGATTTGTGTAGCTGTTTTCAGAACTCAGATTTGGGGTCCGAATGTGGCTCACCTAAACCGACACTTACGAAGGTTACAATCCGACATCGCTGGCCAGGAATCCCGTCCCAAACCTCGCCAACCATCAACAACCAGCCTGGATTGCAAGCAGTTCACACTCGCAACTGAGAGCATTGCCTTTGTGCTGTGTGGCAGCTGCTCGAGCTCCGTGGGAGAAAGCCTGTTCTGTAGCGAACTTAGATTGATTTTCTGGTCGTTGTGGGGCTTGGGGGTTTCCACATGCTAGGTTTAACATGCTGCTTGCAGGGATTTGCTTCGAAACTCCTCTCTCTCGCTCTCCCTCGCAAGCTCTGACCAGTGTCGGCTGGATACAGAAACTAAATCCTGCGCACGGAAATCAAAGGCTTTCAACCCCCAGACCAGACGCAGAACTGAAACTCTAAAATCCTAAACGTTGAAAGTTTAAACCCCTCTAACCCCATACCCCAAACTCCAGATCCGGAAAAAAACAACGGAGCCCGCATAGAACCGTGATAGTGCCATATAGAACGACCTAAACCCTAAACCCTGCAAGAAAGCCGTTAAAACTCCCATAAAGCCCCAACACCCAATGTCTTGCGGAACTTGTGCAAGCGGCTGCGTATCACACAACACATATTGCGCATCTCATGATGTTCAGAAGACAAAATCCTAAACCGCTCTAACTCCTAAACACCTAAACCCTAAACCTCTAAACCCCCTACACCCTAATTAATTCTAAACCTTCGAAATAAACCCTGAACCCGTGAACCCCAATTAATCCTAAACCTTCGAACCGAAGCGGCGCATTTCCAACCCCTCTGCATATTGGACGCCAGGAGGCTGAGCCATCCGTTCTAGGGCCGCCCGGCGCTGTTCCTGTTCGGACTTGACTTCGGGGGCCACAGGGGCGGTTTAGGGTTTAGGGTCATGAAAATTAGATATAATTCGAACAAGGTTTAGGGGTATATTCTACTCTATCTACCGGTACTAGAAGGGGATACTAGATAGGGAATTATTCCGATCCCTATTATCCCTCTTGTGGTAGGGTTTTGGCTTCATCCGGGCTAAGAGGCCTCGGGGCCGCAATGCAATGTCGGGCTCTTACTGCGAAGGCCAAGCTCGACGACTCCGTGTGTTGACTTCAGTCCCCATCCCAGACCCCCCCGGGAGGATCTAGAAGGAATATCCCCAAATTTGGGGCCCTATACTACTAAGGGTACTTTATAGGAACCCCCATTAAGGGATCTACTTTTTGGATCGTCCCGGGGGTCTGGATCGCGATCGAGGATGTCTTGTGCTTCGGCTCCCGAATGAGTGCTTATAGCCGCAGGGTTGCAGGGTGCACAGTGAAGCTGAGCGGAAAAAGGGCAGCAATCAACTGGAACAGCAGTACTAACAGTAGTCATAAGCATAACAACATAAATGATCGGATGTTGACAACAATCCTGGTGCTATGCTCGCAGAACACAGTTCAGACAACTCCGGGATAGGGGAGGCCGCATTGTCGCAAAAGCTCCGAAACGCCTATTGGCAGATGAACCCTGGCCCGGCGCTTTTTCGCATCACACAATAAGAACGAGCTAAGCAAGCATCGTCGGGCAGGAAGGTCTCCGGCATCCTGCGGCTTTCTCTAACAACTTCAGACTTCTGCAACCTCCACAGTAAAACTGGCACGAAACCCCCCAAACCGGGTGATCAATATGGAGGAGGTTGCAGGTAGCTCACGTTCATGCGATGGCTCTGCGGGATATCATGCTGCGGCAAGCAAAACTACAGTAGAAGCCAGAAAGTTGGAATATCATTATCGTAACCCCTTTAAGGTAAATTACAGGGGATCCTCCCTTTAAGTCTAAATGGCTCTGCGGCCCTGGAGGCCGAAACCAAGATGCCCATAGGCTCCAAAGTAGTTCCTTGTTGGGTTCATAGAATCCTATGCTGGGCTTTTCAGCGTCTTTAGAAATTGTAGTTAAGCCAACTTCAAAAAAACTAATTACTATAGAATCCTATGCGGTAATCCCAACAGAGCAGAGAACTACTATGGAGCCGATGGGTACTTCATACAACTCGCACTCACAAGCAGCAGGCGTCTGTCGAAGGCTACATGTCAGGTCCCTTTTGCTTGGCCTAGGGACTCCAATGACAAAAAGCGGTACCTAAATCGAAGCCTCAAGTCCACAGAACCCTTTACCTACTTTGTGCTAGTTGGAAAATAGGGTAGGGGAGGGGAGGATACTGGGCCTTTAAGTAACCAGGGAGTAAAAAGTATAAACTTTTATTTCATAATGGTTCCATTAAGAAAAAAAGTATTAAAGTATGGTACTCCAAAGCCCAGGATATGTAGGCTGTTGTAGCCTCCGATGTACACCGCAACGTTGGGTTGACAGGAAGGATTTGATGGTGAGGGCGGTGCAGGGTTTCCCGCGGGCTGAAGCTTTGAAGTTTGCTCTGGTTGAGATTTTGAACTTGGCTGCTAAGGCTGGAGGGGTTGAAAGCTTTCAGGAATGTCTCAACTGAACCCTTAAACTTTGAATGCTGCATGCTGGCCAGTGGCATTTATTACATGCTTGCGCTGTACCGGCGTTCTTGGTCAGCATTTGCTATGGCTGTTTTGCCTGAGCCGCAGACCCAAATCCCAAACCCTAAACCCCATATTCTAAATATAAGCAACTACGCCCGAACAAAAGCTCGCCAGCAAACACTTCAAAGTCGCTCAAGGATGGCTTGTCCTGGACTCCTGTGTCCAGGCTTTGGGAGAAGGGCACGGTGAAGCTTCAGGAAAAGCTTGGTGTCACTGTTTCACTGTTACAAATATAAATGCTACTACGAGTATCATTATTAGTATGAGTATCACTGTTCATTGTTAGCAATCTCATGACTATTATTATTACTACTATGTACTACAACTACTACGTAGACTACTGCTACCGTTAGTACGATCACTACTGCTATCGTTATACCTATTACAAAAGCGACTCTCTGGTTTGAGGCCCTGGCTCAAAATCAAGGGGTCACCGCCTTCCTTCTCCTAGTACCTAGACCAAGAGTACACAACAGCATGCTGCAGTAGAATATACTAGAATATATACTATGCCACTATGCGGTACCATCGTATACTGTATAGATAAGGATAGCTTTGCTGGTAGGAAGGTTGGAAGTGCTCGAGGGAGTTTTTCCGGGTGCAGGACCATCATTACAATGTCTCATGTGCGAATGACGGGCCTCATGGCCCCACCCCCACCCAGCGGAAATCACCCTCAAAAGCTTTTTGTATTCTTACCCCTCGCCCTCCTCTGAGAGGGGCTGGAGCGTTCCATCCGGCAGCGTTAGAGTGGTGCAGCGGTCGAGGATGCTCTCCGGTGCACCTTCATTTGGCTCACTCAGGTGGCTCGGGGGCCAACGGCGCAGGATTGCTACTACTATTATTAGTAGTATACTACTATAGTATACTATTATTATTAGCAGTACGACTCCAGTCCAGTACAAGATTTTCCATTCTCTCTTGCGGGACTACACTGGCCAGTCAATCGAGTCAGGTTTAGGGCCGGCAACGCACCAATGAAAAAGCGCGGGAGCAGGCACTATAATAGTACTAGACTACAATAATACGATTAATAATAGTACTAAAAACATACTATAATAGTACTGTATTACAGTACTGTAACTGTAGCCACGGACCGAGGTAAAGACTGAAGCAAGGGTTCCCCACGACGGTTCATTTTGGCTGGTAGTATCCCGAAAAATAGATTATCATCACCTTGAAAGCCAAGCTGTTGCTAGCAAACTTGTTGTTGGGAATCTATTGTGCTGTTGTTCAGGCTACTAGTCCATTGTTGGGATAGGATTAAAAGTGTATTCCTTATTGGGTTCAAGTTCAAGTACCCATAAAACTGTAAAATGTTACCCAACTATGACAAAGGTTACTACGGCACTACCATCAACCTGAAAAAAAAACTAATGCCACTACTATCACGGTCTTTGTGCTTCAGCCGTCGCTGTGCGATAGCATGCAGATGAAACAGAAGGTGCTCATTGGCGCTTATGGCATCAGTTTGAAGCTTATGCCTCTGCACGCCACTTGTGCCATTGATCGCGAGACTTGGCGCTGCAGGTCGTATGACAGGGCAATTGAGGCAATTGCCAAAAACAGAGCGGATCAAGGCAGGGAAACCAACATCGTCACAGCTCCACTTGCCACTGCCAGAGGGGCTGAGAATGACTTCCAGACTCAACTGGCTCAAAACTAATGCAAACGAAAGCAAGAATACACAGAATTGGGAAAGCCCACCCCGACAGCGCGGATGCGATCCGGAAACATGTGCGCCACGAGAAGCAGGGCACCGTATATTCCATGCCATCGTATTTGACTTTGCGGGGAACTGGCTGCTCATTCAAACCAGAGATGCCATAGAAGGACTGCTCAAACTTGCTGAGGTCGTCCAAGTTGAAGCGAAACAACATCCCAAGACTATCCGAAGGCCACTCGCTTTCTTGAATCAGGCCTAGATCACCACCGATATCATCCAATCGCGACAGGAAGAGAAGTCCTAGGCTGTCGAAGACGATATCCTTTGGAGTTTCGGCAGACCAGAATACAAACACCGTGAGTACCTGGGAGAGGAGGACGCAGCCACATTGCACAAAGGCATTGGCAGACATCCAAAAGGTATAGGCCGGCAACCTTGCTTCTTGCTAAACAGGGAATGCAGGAATGGATCCTCACGGCAGTCTAAATTCAGAACTTCGACGGATCCCTGGAATGATTGCCTATACATCACCTACTAATCCCTACAACAAGCAGCTTAAGCCCAAAACCCGCAAGCGCTAAAGCTGTTACCACTCCTTCCGGTCCCATTTCGCAAGCGTCAGGTGACTTGGCGATTGGAGGTTGAGCCAGCGGCGTGGGGCTGACAGGAGCACCCCCAGCTTGCAGCAAGGGCCGTGCCTTCCATGGGTCTGATTGCTTGGCTTTCGGGCATGGGGTCTTTTACCACCCAGAGAGCCCAATACCCCTTAATTGAGGAATATACCTTAAACTATAAGGACATTCATACTAGGGTTTAAGCTATATTAACTAATGGATATTGGGCTCTCTGGGCATGTGTTGAGATGGGCGCATGTATCATACCTTCATGTTGAAATTTGGAAGTGTCATAACCTCGATAATCTCCCAGAACTCAAGAAATCCTTTGAGGCTCCTGGGTTGGGTAAGGTCTCAGATATAGCTGATGCAATGGTTCCTGGCCAATACTCCAACAAATCTTTTAAATCAAGAAAACTTGTGCAAACCTATGTGTATATGTGTTCCTCACAGAACAGAGCATGAGTAAATAAAGCCCAGGAGACATGCAGCTAGACGTCTTGCTTCACACACTTTTCGACCTTATCAAAACGAGTAAGGCTGAACACAGGTTCAACTATTAACCTTATTCCAAGAATAAGGTTGAACTCATAGGTTTACTTTCGATACGTTCCATACCTGCTATCCTCATCGACTTTCAAGAGATGCGATAACTTCGATAGTTCCCAGACTTCGCTGTTGCTTGGGCATAGTCTCAGTTCCAGCTGCAGTGCCAGAAACACACATAAGAACAAAGCAGAAAGGGAGGTGGCAGGGAGGTGAGGGCTGGGGGGTGGGGAGGTGGGCGGCGGGGGAGATGGGCGATGGTGTCGGGAGGTGGGGGGAAGGTGTGCGGGGGGCGGGGCGGGGGGATACGTAGCGATACCGAACCGAAGGTGGGCAACTAGCAATACATATGCCGCTCAAAATTGCATAAGTATTGGTATCGACCGAACCGCCCGATTGCAGCCATGGTTTTTCCTGTCGGTGTAACGTACTACTTCTGTATGCTAGCATCAGAACACCATGAGATTGCGGATAGTGCGGCGCAAGGCATCATAGTCATGTAGTACTGCAGGTCCTGCCACCAGAGTATTAATTAGGGTAATTGTTAGGGTCCACTACCACTCAAGTACTACGGAACCACTGTCGGTTGTCATCAAAGTTGGCAGCATACCAACTTGCCCGGTTGTTGGTTTGTGCATGTAGTGCAGTATCGTGGCAGGGCGCTGCGACAATAGAAAAACACAGCACGCAAGCATTGCAGTGTTAGACTGGTCGTAGTATGTCACAATACGTTCACAGAAACATGACGTATAGAGTTTGGAGTTGCAGCATGAATAAATCAAAGCATTGCACCTTGATAATCTTCTGCACTTTGTGTGCTGTGCAGCTTTCTGCTTAGTCAATGCAATACGTCTTGTTGTATCTTAACAAGGCAGTACTTGAACGTGACAGCTTGATGACTACAGGGTATGTGGCAGCCAGTGGTGCTATCGTCATAATGCTTCCCCATTCATTATGTACCACCTAAAAAACAAATTCCAGAAAGTTCTCTCGAATTCAGTGCAGCTTCTTGAAAACCTATTCCGAACTACGGGGCGGAGTTCAGGGCTCCAAAAGCCTTCAAGCCAATCCCTCATCCCTAAACCCTTAACCCTACACCCGAACTAAACCCCAGCCTAAAGTAAAACCGAAACCCTGAACCTAAAGCCTAATTCAACTCTATCCCATAAAGTGATATAGACAACGTAACATAACTCCAAATAGAAAACACTGACTTTGACTTTCTATTGGGGGGGCAGGGGGGGGGATTTCATAATATGGGGAAGGATTCTAGGAATGTCCAACGCCGCCGCATCACATTAGGGTAGAAGACTGTTCTACGGTGCAGTAAATACAATACATGTGTGTTCGAACGTTGCAGCTTATTTAGTGTCTTGGTATTGAAGTACAGTCATGTGGTAGCATGGTCTAAGAATATCGACGAAATGCGCGATAGGGCATCAGGCCGTTGAGGTGAGAGCACCATGGTCTCGGAGTAATATAGCACTATATTTTGGAAACATCGTACCATGGCTGAACTGTGCTGACTGCACTCTGATTTAGAAGCTGAGGGTGCCATAATCTACTCTGCCTCATCGTTGTCGCTGATTCTTCCGGTCCAGGCTTCTCCTTGATTCGGCTCACCTGGCTGTTCGGTAAGGTTGAGATACGTGATCAAGACGTCCTCTTCCTCGATGCACTTTTCCACCGTTACTGGCACCACCACCTGCTTCAGAATAGGGACTTCCACAACCTTATCCACAAACTGTACTTCTGGCACCTCAATCCTCCTCTCCACGCGCACAACCTTTCGGGGCACTTCGATCACTTCATCTTCATAGACTTGTTTCTTCTCCACCTTTACCGTCTTCTTCTTCACAACGACAACTCTCTGCAGTGTCCTTACTTCCGCAATCACCTAGAAGTTCAAAATACAACATTTGTTCACATGACGGCTTCCTGCATACAGTACAGGATAGGCACTAAACCCTAAGCCTTAGGAGCAACACAAGTTCATCAACAGGTCCGAAATGCGAGTTTCCGAAAACTGGGGACCCGAATATAGCACCCTAAATAGTAGGATCCTTCTTATAAGGACTCGAAAATAAGGTACCCCTGATTTTCGGAAACTCCCAAATGACCAAGTGGGGTTCTGTTTTTGGATCTTCTCGCCGATGGATCTTGAAGCTCCATCTACCTGGCAGAATTTGGCCAGTCTCATGTAGGGGTCTCAATAATCGGAATAGGGTTTTGGGGCCCATTACACAATACTTATAATAAGCACCCCCCCAGAATTATTAAGGCGCCTATGTTAAATTCTAGGGTTTCGGTGGTGCAGGGACAGGAGTTTAGGTTTGGAAGGGTTGGGAGTTCAATGTGCGGGGAAAAACGCTTAATTATGACTTTTGGAGTTGAGGATGTCTACAATCGTTATGGCAAAGAAACTGGAGGGTTTCAAGATAAGGTGTTCACTCAATTTCGATCCTGTGAAAAGAAGAACGATTCGCGTTTGTCCAGCGCGATCATGCTCTCCATGCTTAAATGCTCGGAAGGCCATTCAAATGTGAGCAAACATGCGTCAGCTTCGTTATGTCCTCAGACGAGTGGGACTTCTTTGAGCTACAGCGCACTCTTCTAGGACTGTCATCGAAGCCCCTAAACCCTAAACCCTTTAACCCTAAACCCCATACGCCCCAAACCCAAACCCTAAACCCTAAACCCTAAACCAACCAACCAACCAACCTAATGTGGCAGCCCGGGCTCCAAACTCCCTTGTTGCTTCCCCACCGCCTAGTAAAGTCCGAAACCCCATTGGGACCCTTACAGGGCTCCTGGCTTGGGGGCCCCATTCTACTATTCGTATTAGCATTCTGTATTATTATACTAGAATACTGTTGTACTACTTTCATAGTATCATTGTAGTACTAGTATAGTATTGTTAGGGGTTTGCGGGGATTCGGGTTAAAAAAGCTCTTCTTCGCAACTCTTCTAGGCCTGGAGCTGACGACAAGCCGGTTTAACCCCAGGTGGCCTCGTTGCTGAGATGCCCCACCACCGGGCCCCTGAGCGTGCCTGGGCTTTTAAGTAACCAGGAAGAAAAAAGTATAAACTTGCATTTCATAATGGTTAGTTTAAGAGAAAGTATTGAAGTGTGGTACTCCAAAGCTCAGGTTCTAGTCCATCGATCCTCTGTCAAGTATGCATGGAGGAGATCGACAAGTAAAGCCTAAGCCCAGGCCATTCAGAAACCCGCGGAAAAATGGTTCACTTCAAGTGAATCAAAAGCAGAAACCAAAGACAATAAACACAATCTATTACTGAAAAGCGTGAAAACGGTGTTGCAATCTTGCTGGAGATCTCTACCAAAGTATGGCATGACCAAGAGCAGGAACAGCACACCGGGCAACTTGTTCATCCAGATGCTATCCAAAGCGGGGCCTCAGCCGTTCGTCAAGCCTGGGTACAACTCATTATAGTACTATTACGGTACTATACTATAGTGTTATCGTACTATTATCGTAGCATGATTTTCGGACTATTATAATACTAGTCTTGGTATGACAATGATTGGAACCCAGCAGCCACAAAAGCAAAAACATGACTGGCAAGCCTGAGGACAACCCAAGATAAGATGATATTGGTCCTGGTCGAAAAGTTGCTGGCAAAAGCGCTCCAGCATAATGCAAGGCACCACTACCTGCAAGAACAGAAGGACCCAAAGTGAGATTTTCGGAGAAGATGACGGTGTTACCTGCAGTGCCTGATGCAGGAAGATGTTCCCAGAGATGCCCTCACCTTCACTTGCGGGCGCGCTCACGCGGGAGAAGGTACAAGTGCTCGAAGCTTGTCGCTCCTGCCCATGCCCTTGAGCAATTTCTGAACCCACTACATTCCGGGCGAAGCCCAGCAAGCCATCTGTTTCTGGACTGTAGGCGAAGGCGGAGGCGAACTTCCGGTAGAAGGCGTCTTGGCGGACGATTTTGGGTATTTCGACGACTTGCGGGACTTCCATGGTGTGCTCAACGAAATTCTGAATGACCCTTTCCATCGGCACAGGCACCTTCACGAGCGTAGGCACTTCGACGACCATCTCTGGCAAGTCCTCCAGGGTCTGGCCTTCCGGGACTACGGTCTTGTATACTTGGTTCTTCACGACCTCCTCTTCGACCTCAACTTCCTCTACCTCCACGACTCGTTCCACATCTTCATATTCGATGAACTCTGAAGAAGGGTCTGCGGCATCCATACCAGCCACGCAATAGGGAATGCGCTGAGGCCCCAGCACTCAATGGAATACAGAAACCCTAAGAAGAAACCCAAGATGCAGAACCCCTCGAGAACCTGTCCAGCTGGACTACTGCGTCCAGCACAGAAGAGCTTGAGCCAAACAGGCACACACCGATACATATCTATATATATATATATGTATATATATATATATGTATATATATATATATGTATATGCTTGATAATTTTAGGATGTTGGCAGCGCATCTCGCAGATGGGAATGTTTCCCAGCCGTGCCATCGGCACCCCAGCCCTGTCAGCTGCTTATGCTGCACAAAGAATACTAATACCTCGTACTATAACTACCGTGAACATTTACGTGAGTATAGTCTGCTGTATCTTAGAACATCACACAAAGCACATGCAGCGCTTTTGACAAACGGGATGTTCTCCTGCTGGACATTGAGGTCATGGCAGAGCACACTGATGGATTTCCTGTCCCGCGCAAATTCGAGCATCGTGCTCTTCTCGACGCCCTTTGCCCAGTAGTTGTTGAAGGCCATAACACTGGCGTTGCCTGGACCACAAACACACACGCATATATATATATATATATATATATATATATATATATACACACACACACACACACACACAAACACACACACACACACACACAGGGAAGGCTTGTGGAATGTTGGAACATCGAAGGCACATTTAGCTCAAACAAGCAAACAACATGCGCATTAATTGCAATCAGCTCCGGTTTTAGTGCAGGCTGAAAGCCTCAAGATGCCTCAAGTTCATCGACAGTTTGACATGGTTTCTCCTCATGTTTGGTTGACTAGGACTAGGACTGCAACTGCAAACAAGCCAGTGGGAGGTGCAAGACTATCTCGGGGTCTTCGTATGTTTGTATACAATTACTATGACTGGGTTCCATTGAGCTTTAATCTTGCTTCGGATGAAACTAAGTGGTTACCGCCCTGTGTTCTATATCTCTTTTAATTAAGCCGAATCACCTCTGCAACCGCAGAAACGAAGAATATGGGCTGGGCTCTCCGAGCCTGCTCGATGCTCGCGGTAGTTCCACCGTGGCTCCCAGAGTGCCGGGTGCGCATCTCCAAAAGCGGCCCCGACCACCCAGGGCGTGAATTTAAGGGGGAAGGGGGGGTAGGGTTCAGGGTTTCGACGCTCACACTCGCACAGGCAGGCACAGGGTTTAGGGTTCTGGGTTTAGGGTTTAGGGGTCTGTGGAGCTTATAGGGACGGGTTGCTTTGAGGGGCACAGGGTTTATAAGTGTAGTGTTGGGTGTTGTCGGGCTTGTTGTGTGTATAAGATACTGAGGGCTTAGGATTGGCCATCTGTTTTTTCGGCTGGTCTTGGCAACATCTGGCAATTAACTGGTGTGGCATATATCTGAATATATGTATGTATGTCTGTATGTGTATGTATATATATATATATGTACACATGTGTATATATATATATATATATTTATTTATTTATCTATTTATTTATATTATATATATATGTGTGTGTATGTGATTGAAACATATGAGTGTGTGTGGATATATATATATATATATATATATATATATATATGTATATATGTATACAGATTTATGTATATGATTTTCTGGATTGATAGACACACAGAGAGGTAGGGCCTGTGATGGGGACCAGATGAATGACCAAGCGATGGCCACCTCTCCCCCGTGCCTTCGATTTCTGCTAGGCGAAGCTCGGTGCGGCCGGGTAAGAGTGTTTTTTTTGTTGTGGGTGCTTTTTTGCTGCGGGTGCGCCCTCGCCCGGGGCTGGAGGGGGTAGGCGGAATCCAGTGAGGCGTGGGCCGGCCAGCCGCGGGGGCGCATTGATTTTTTTGCTGCAGGTGCGCGGCGCGTTTTTTTTGCTGTGGGTGCGCGAGCTGACTCACTCACTCACTCACTCACTCGCTGCCCGCCGCCCGGAGAGCACCAACAGCAAAAAAGCACCCACAACAAAAAAAAACACGGGTTCCGTGCTAGGCCGTCGCTCGAGACTCGGCGCAGATCCTTAACTCCAGGCCCTAAGACTCCATGTGCCCATAAAGTCATAATGTAGGTACTTAGGCCTAGAAGGGGTCCCCATATAGGTACTTTAAGGCCTAAGTCCCTACTATATGGGTACATGGAGCCTTTGGGAGGATAGTTCCGTCTTCATTCGATGGGGACGGTACTGGTTTGCACCTTGTCGGTCCCATTCAGTGTACGGCATAGTAGGTTTAGTTGCTGACCCGGCCACGAGTACCCAGAAAGAATCGAAAGCAACAACAACACAGAGTACAACTCTCAACCGCAACAACCACTGTGAGACTCTTTCAGCAGCACTGCCGCAGAGGGGTGAACCTACTGCCGAAGACATTAGCCCCGGCCTTATTCAAAAGGTGCAAATTACAAGAGCAACCCACGCGCAACAGTAACATTACAACTGACGCGTTTCGTAACTATGCGCAGACAGCTGTTGCTGCAGCCTTGCAGCTGACTGTACCCCATGTGTTCTCCAAACCTGAAGCCTGTGGGCTCGTGTACTGCATAGCCTGGACTGGTATGATGAGTAACAGCAACAGCACTCACTGTAACGCAATAGGATTAGCCGTGCAAAGAACTGTCAGCAGCTATCATAACAACGGAAGTGATTTGGATACTGAGAACCACTGATAATAGACATGGAAACACGAGTAACGCCACAATCCTGAACTTGAAGCTTGATATTCGATGGGGACGGTACTGGTTTGCACCTTGTCGGTCCCATTCAGTGTACGGCATAGTAGGTTTAGTTGCTGACCCGGCCACGAGTACCCAGAAAGAATCGAAAGCATCAACAACACAGAGTACAACTCTCAACCGCAACAACCACTGTGAGACTCTTTCAGCAGCACTGCCGCAGAGGGGTGAACCTACTGCCGAAGACATTAGCCCCGGCCTTATTCAAAAGGTGCAAATTACAAGAGCAACCCACGCGCAACAGTAACATTACAACTGACGCGTTTCGTAACTATGCGCAGACAGCTGTTGCTGCAGCCTTGCAGCTGACTGTACCCCATGTGTTCTCCAAACCTGAAGCCTGTGGGCTCGTGTACTGCATAGCCTGGACTGGTACAATGAGTAACAGCAACAGCACGCACTGTAACGCAATAGGTTTAGCCGTGCAAAGAATTGTCAACAGCTATCATAACAACGGAAGTGATTTGGATACTGAGAACCACTGATAATAGACATGGAAACACGCGTAACGCCACAATCCTGAACTTGAAGCTTGATACAGCAGGAACCCAAGAAACACAGGTTTGCACAAACTCCTCGCAGCACAAAGAACACCCCATCAAGAGAACTCCGGAATGCAGAATATTAGGACAGGCCGTATTATTGGAAAAGCTCCGGGGATAGCCTCGCTTCGGAACACTTATTAGCCCGTGTAGCTTGGCCCCGCGCTTTTCACATCACTCAGTAAGCCCCGGCGGGACTGATGCAAGCATCGTCGGGCAAGAAGGGCTCCGCCATCTTCCAGATTTCTCTAACACAAGGGCCTGAATAATTAGAATAGAGTGTTGGTGGTATTATACTATCACCACAGTAAGGAAGCCCCCAAAGGAGTATAGGTGATTATTGAGGCCCCTACGTGATTAGGGTTTCGGGTTACCACAAATTCGACTGTGAACTAGGGTTCAGGGTTTAGGGTTTTTTTTTTTTTTAAAGTGCACTGACTCTTTGTCCGGTTTAGGGTTTAGGTTTAGGGGAACCTGGACAGCCCCAAACCGGGTGCTTGATACAGAGAGGCAGCGGCTGCAGGCATTCCGTGACAAGCAAAACTAATCCAAAGGGGAAAAGGAGGGACCCTCAATGGGGACCCCTACCCTATAATGGGCTATATAATGGGTATATGATAGCTTATTAACATTTATTAAGGGTATATACCTAGGGGTCCTCATTAAGTAATTGTCCCTCCTTTTACCCTTGGAACTAAGCTCTCTGAACCGCAAAGGCCTAACTAAATAAGGTACCTCATACAACCCACACACAGAAGCAGCAGCCGTCTATCGAAGGCTGCCTGCCAGGTTCCTTATGGTTTATGCCTGAAGTCCAAAGTCTACAACTAATAAGTACTTTGTGCTACTTGGAGTCTCAGTGTAGGCGACGGCTCTTTGCTAGGCTCCTGTAGCCCCCGACGGGTTGACGGGTTTTGGGTCTGGGTTCAGTGGTCGGGTTAAAGGTCTTGATTTTGTCTGCAAAGGCTGCATAAAGTGAAAAGTCCAGAATAAGCTGCAAGGAAGCCCTTCAACCCTTAACTGAACCATACTGAACCCTTGCCACTGGCATTTTTCACGTGCTCGCTGTACCATATCATGGGCTTGGCCTGAAGCCTCGGCATTAAACCCTTTGAAGGAAAGGGTTCAGAATTCGGGAGTTTCAGAAACAGGGGACGGATATATAGGACCCCAAAAAAAAAGGATCAAGAAGCCTTCAAATCGGGTGCCCTAGTTTCTGAAACTTCCATTTCCGGGCCGAAGACGACCTTAGCGAAAACTCCTGCAGGCAGGGAAGACCGCGCAAGGCTGCAGGGGAACCTCCATTGGTCACAGTGTACCACCATAAAACAACGTCATATCGGGGCCGTAGTAATCAGAATAGGGTCTTGGGGCATGTTACACTACGGTAAAAATAATGAAGCTCCAATGTAGTATTGGTAATTATTTAAGCCCCCGTAATAAATACTTTAATGGAACATAGGAGCCCTAAGGTTCCGGCTTCTATCATGTAGGGGCCTGAACAATTACAATATAGGGCTCTGGGGGGGGGGGGGGGGTATATTCGACCATACTTACAATAAGGAACCCCAGAACCCTATTCTGATTCTTAAGGCCTCTAGATTAGTTTCAAAGAACCCTATACCTTATCGCTTCAAGGATAGTCACAGGCGAGCTGGGATCTCACTCTTCTCCTGGGCAAGCACCCACTCAGCAGTGCGCCGGAATTCGACGCGTGCCTGCGCAACGGCTCAAGACTTACAGTAGAAGCCAGAAAGTTGGAATATCATTATCGTAACCCCTTTAAGGTAAATTATAGGGGATCCTACCATTAATCCATATTCCAGCTTTCTGGAGTTCCCTGTAAGGTGCCGGTTATGGGGCCTATGGCCGGTATCGCTGAATTTGAGCTCAGGGGATGAATGGTAATTATTTGGGAGTTTCCGAAAATTAGGGGTTCCTTGTTTTGGGGTCCTTAAAAATAAGGATCCTACTATTTAGGGTACTATATTAGGGCCCCCTATTTTCGGAAGCTCCCATTTAGGCCCCTCTATTGGAACCTCAAGCCCTCAGATACACGACCAGGGAACATGACAACCCAAGAAAGGGTCGCGACCAAGTGCTGTGCCATGTCGGTCCTCTCATGCAGTAGACCAAACTTCAGGCGATAGATCTTCTACTGCACCAAGGCCCCTCTTTCATAAGACCCAAAGAGTTCAAAGTACGTCTATCTATATATATATATGTCTTGAATTACTATTATGATTTGGGGAAGTGTCCCCCGTAACAATACCCAGGACCTTCTCAAAGATGAAGCCACGAATCTTACTGAACAGCCCGCCCATCTGCTTCAGCTTAGCCTAGAAGTGTTTAGCAACCCAGTTGGGGACCCAACAAAACCACATAAGCAAAAATGATAGGAATATCCCATAAAAAAACGTTAGAATGAAGGTCATCAGGATGCTTATGTCCTTTGTGGGTTCCTAACCAGTTCTCTTCTATCGCCGAGACGTCCAAAGCTGTACCAAGGAACCAACCGGCCTCTCGGCTAGAAGCGATGAGCCTTGAAGTCCTTAACCCTAACCCTAAACCCTACACGTCCTAAACCCTAAACCTGAACCCTAAACCTAAACCCTGTACGTCCTAAACCCTAAACCGAAGCCCCATAAGTCCTAAACCTTACAAAGCGTTTGTGTGCAGGAACATCCTAGAGCCAAGTCCTTCGAACCAAAATGTCTTAAATATTTCCGTAGAAGCTCTGGAGCCCCAAAGCCACAGTATTTCTGGTATCCTAGTAGTTAGTTATTCTAGTACTTATCGCATTCTGGTATAGTATTCTAGCAAACCTTATAAAATGGCTTCGTAACGTTTTGTAGTGTTCTCTTACTACCATTATTATGAATAGTATCATTCTTTTCGTAGCATAGGTTCAGAATAGTATGATTCTTATCGTGGTATAGGTTCAGATTAGTATCATCTTTTCGTAGTATAGGTTCTATATCTTATTACTGTTATACTGAATAGTTCTATTCTTTTCGTAGTATAGGTTCGGAATAGTATCATTCTTTTCGTAGTATAGGTTCAGAATAGTATCATTCTTTTCGTAGCATAGGTTCAGAATAGTATCATTCTTTTCGTAGTATAGGTTCAGAATAGTATCATTCTTTTCGTAGTATAGGATCGGGGCCTCGTCATCTTGCCAGGTGCGATCCACGGGCGCCGGGGTGGCCGCTTGCGGGTCGGGACGAGGCTCGGATCTCGGTGAGTCTCTTTCTTGGGGCCCGTTTTTTAGGCGGTTCCTTTAAAGGGCTCCATAAGGGTTAGTACAAGGGATAGGGTTGCTTTAAAGGGCTCCATAAGGGTCAGTATAAGGGATAGGGTTGCTTTGAAGGGCTCCATAAGGGTTAGTATAAGGGATAGGGTTCCTTTAAAGGGCTCTATAAGGGTTAGTATTAGGGATAGGGTTCCTTTAAAGGGCTCTATAAGGGTTAGTATAAGGGATAGGGTTCCTGTATAGGGCTCTATAAGGGTTGTATAGGGGTTTGGGGGTGTATAGGGTTTAGTTATATAGGGGTTTTGGGGGTTTGGGGTTTAGGAGTTGAGGGGTGAGGGGTCTGGGGTTTAGGGTTTAATCAAGGGGTTTTTCCCTCCTACCTAGCAAAGACGAAGCCCGCATTAGGGCGTGTAGCGTGTAGGGTGTAAGGGTTTTGGTGCTGCGTTCGTGCTCAGAGCGCGCCAGGGTTTGGGGCCTGCAAGGCTTCAGGGTTTATACGGTTCTGTTTGTCTAGGCGTATTGATCCGTGGTCTTGACTTGGGGGCATTCTAAGTCACCGTCGTTCAGCCTGTGATGTTTAGGTCTCGGGATGCACGTAGCGCCTGGGAGCCCTCTCGTCGAATGTAGTTTGACGGGCCCTGCTGGTAATTAGGGCACATTAGAGTTAGGGTTTAGGGCTTGAAGGGCCCAACAGCGGGAGGTACTGATAATTAGGATGGGGCTTCGGGGACTTCGGGGTATAGTATAATCTCACATGTACTGCCTACAGGGGCTAATTATCCTGTCACCTGCTCATACCGAAGAGCCGCCTTCCCAAAACTGTGGAAACCTCTGATAGGATCATCGCTGTTTGAACGCCTGCGCATTTGCAGGGGCTCCGTAACTTTTCCTACATTATGTCTTGTACGCGCTTTAGCAGGGTCTCATCGAACACTGATATTAAGCAGGCCTTGACACGGTTTTGATCCGTGCTTAAGACTGCCTTAGACCCACGCATGGGTCCTTGTCTCGACTTGGCGATCGATTTAAATGATGAGGAAGCGAACAGTGGTGAGTAAATGCTTGTGGGTTCTCACTGGCTGCTGTCGGATTTAGCGGTGCCGAGCTAGTTTCAACAAGGTCGGTCGGCATAATATCTTAAGAGCTATTTGTTAGAAAAGACTGTAACTCGCCTAACTAGGCTTACCTAGGTGTCTTGTCTAAAACTGCTTTAGGGTCCTGGCACACAAGTGACCTGTCTACACCCTTAACCTTCATCGTCATGTTGAAACTTCGGTGTATCTAGGCTATTACTATCGGTTCGGACAGCCAGCTTTAAAAACTAGGGCTAACCATGTCTCAGACGGTAGAATATGCACAACCCCGAACCGTAGGATTTCAAAGGCCAGCTCTGCAAATACAAGACCATACACGCCAAAACCCAGTCCCAAACCCAAACCCTTGAACCCTGAACCCCTCATCCCACAAACCTAAATGCCCTAAACCCCTCATCCCACAACCCTAAATGCCTTCACCGCCCTCCCATCCAAAAAACAAGCGCTGTAGCCCGAAGCAAAGAGCCAAGCAACTGGCTGGACACCTCAGCTCGCTCTCGTTGAAGTTTAAGGTCTATAGGGCTTAGGGGTTTACGCTCTCGCAACTCGGACGAATCCAGACGAGGTTCTTGGTCGGCAGGTCGGGTATCTACAGGGTGTTTAGGGTTTAGGGGTTTCGACGCTCACACTCGCACACAGCAGGCAAGGCTCCAGATGGTCCACAGGATCTCCACTAGCGACAGCTAGGTTTAGGGTTTTAGGGTTTGGGGTCTAGAGATCCTGATTGCTCCTTGGAGGTTCATGGGTGGCTGTAAATGGGGTTATAGGTCCGTTATTCTGGGTTAATGTTAAAGCTATAGTTCGCCTGCTTATCACCCTACTTGTCAGTAATCAATAATCTCCAAGTGGTGAACAGACCTCAGAAATATGAACGCTGTATAGCTATGAAAGTTATTACGGACACTATTGCTACTAATGTTATAGTACTATTGGCATTGTTGATATTATTGCTACCATTAAATTATTCGTATTGGGGACATTGCTTACCATATCTGATGCTGCATAAGGGATAGAGCATATACTGTAGCCGCAAAGCTTAGGATACACGGACTCTTGCGGACATCCAGAGACATGTCACAACGACAATGGGTGTAGTTGCAGGTTCATGGGTACTGACAAGTGGGGCTATAAGTCCGTGAATATGGGTTATAGCTATAGTTATCCCACCTGTAGCCCTACTTATAACCACCCATGAATCTCCAAGCATACCCAACCCTGGACCCTAAACCCTATAGATTTGTTATAGAACCCTTAAAGGAACCTCCAACTAGGGTTCACGGTTTTCGGCTCCGGAAAACACGCAAACCCGAAACCCTCGTGAAGACTGGAAGCAGGTCTAAGTGTCTAATACCGGGGCCTTAATAATTAGAATGGGGTTTCGTTAACAGCGTCTATCAGGGCTACTATATTGACCGTCTATCTTTTGGTGGTCTGGTGCTGTCGTCCCACCGTTGCGGTTTGGGGGGATTTACGGAACCCCGATGTAGAGGGGTCCTGAACATCGCAGAACATCACAGTGCCGTCATTTCCTCATCACCATCCCAACCAAGGCTTTCCAGGTTTGCATCGGGAAGGTGCATCAGCTTGGAACTTTTCTATTGAAAGTTCGATTCGGGGGATGGGAGTTGCTGCAGGCAGTCTGCTGCGTTCCGGTTGTAGTTATGCAGTTGAAGCCGATGAAATGTGCGGGCCCGCCTCAATGCACAGCTGTGGCGCCGTGGCAAGCTGCGCCACAAAATGCTTGAAGTCCTCACAGACGTGGAAGACGGCTTCTCTACGGTCTCGACGGTCAAGGGGTCTTCGGCTTCGACATATGAACCTCGAACACCTAAGATGACTTTCACTCCACACCAGAAACAATCCGTGCACTTTTGGCTCCACATGCCAGCCGTGAGGCTCTATGTACCTACAAAACATCTGCTAGGCCTCTAAGCAAAAATGTGAGGACCCCTTTACGCCCTAAGTATATACTACATGGGTACCCGGAGCCTTAGGGAGCCAAACGGTGGCATCAGGAGGTTTCCAAGGAGCCTTAACACGCACACCCTTGGAGCTTGAGGATCCGGCTCCAGGGCCGAAGAGCCCCAAAAATCCGGCGTGAAGCCCAAAGCCCTAAACTCTGTAAGAGTACTATAAGTCTGCTGCAAGGGTACTCTTCAACCATGGGAGAAACCCTGCGTAAATTGCAATTGCGAGGCGTTCACTTTGGACATTCGACGCGAACGGGACCCACGAAGACTGATTCCAAAACGTTATCTTCTGCGCCAGCTGCGACGAAGCTCCACATGCTAGAAAACCCAGACTCCACCGTACTGCACCTTCAATGAACAATGGGGTCACACCAAAACCTACAAAAGCTCCGCAAAGTCTGCAACCCATGATATAGTAAGCTTTATCGCAACCTGAGTATTTAGCATGATAGCTAGTACTTACCATTGGTTAGTGGGGAATGGAGGAATGGTGTACAACCTGTGTACAAGTATGACTATTATTACTACCATTCTTCCATTCCCTACTAACCAAAGGTAAATACTTAGCCGCAGCCCGCATAATAGGTAGCTCCTCGAGGCTCGTCGACTGCACCGCTTGGCGTTTACGCGACCGGCGCTGGAAGTCGTATCGTTGGCGGCTAACCTCGGAGGCCCTATAAGACTCCAATATCCCTGAATTAAGGAAAAAACCTTAAAATGTAGTGGGATCCCTGATATCATTTAAGAAATATTCCGCTATTAGGGGATATTAGAGTCTCTGGCGGTGTGGGGCACAGGTCTGAGAACCTTTAGGAAGTCCAACTTTCAAGTTGAAAACCTAGAAAAGGGGCCTTAGGATAGGGTTGTGGGGTTCTAGACTTCCCCGAATAGTACTCGTAATTATTTAGGCCCCTATATTAAATCCGACTGTTCTGCTGGTGAGCAGTCATGAACCTGTCCAGAGTAGACACTCTCCATGAACTCTACACTTGTAAACTCACGCCTCTGCTGCGAAGGTGCTTCGTTCCAGTATCTGGAGTTCTCTTCGCTCAGGTTCTTGGGGGCTTCCGACAGAATCGAGACGAGTCCTTTGCACGGGAAAGCACTTAACATAGCGGCCTCGATAGGGTGCTGGGGTGCATTTATAATCGGTAGCCCGAAGGACCACTACTACCACCACTGTTACTACGACAACTACTACAACCACTACCATTACTACTACGAGTACTACGACAACTACTGCTACCACTACCACTACCACTACCACTACCACTACCACTACCACTACGACTACTACGACTACTACGACTACTACGACTACTACGACTACTACGACTACTACGACTACTACGACTACTACGACTACTACGACTACTACGACTACTACTACTACTGCTACTGCTACTGCTACTACTACTACTACTACTACTACTACTACTACTACTACTACTACTACTACTACTACTACTACTACTGCTGCGAGGTTACTAGTTTTCCAGGCCGCTATAGTAGGCTCCGGGGCTTGAGACCACGAGGCCAGATGGGCTTGAACATGGTAGAGACTGTTTTGGTCAGGGGCTATAGGAGGTTTCGGCCTCGCGGATGTTGGGGTTTACATGGGATATCCATATCCTAAGTTTTGCTTATGTGCTTTTTTGGCCCTTAAAGGAACCCTGGTATGCCAAAGCAGGTTGCCTTCCCGCACCTTCGCAAACTCCATCTCCTGCTTCGGCGGCGATCTGTTTACGGCTTCAGGCTCTGGGATATCGGAACTCGGGCATAAAATTTGGATTTGGTTTGGGGAGGTCTAGGGTTTAGGGTCTATAGGGTTTAGGGTATCGGGTTCTGGGATGTCGCCAAAGGTTCTCCACTGGCTCATAAATCTGCGGACACATCTGGGAGACTATCGGCGTCCCACCTGAATGCTGCAACCAACAGGCAAAACCATGCCCGAATTAGGCATTAGGCACGACCTGTTAACAAAGCAATGCTTTGAAGTGCCGCGAACTGACACTTTCAACTAAACTGAGTGAGGCCCACCATCGATTTCAGAAATCATGTCAGGCATCCCGAATACTTGGACATGTCACGCAGTCGGGTTCCTACAATAGCACTTATTCTTGCGGCTGTTGTGCGGATCTCGCACAGCTGCTTTGGACCCTTGAGTAACGTACATCAAGCATTAACAAGGCATCATGGCTCGCGATGGGATCCCCGCATGACCCACATATAAGTATAAATTCAGACTCAACAAAAATCGATTTCTGTCTGTCAAGGCCTCGATATATGTATGCATATTAACCTATACACACCCACACACATCCCTATCTCCATATCTGCACACGCATTATAGATGTATGTATGTGTGCATGTGCATGTGAATGTGAGAGTGAGAGTGAGAGAGAGAGAGAGAGATAGAGAGAGAGAGAGAGAGACAGAGAGAGAGAGAGAGAGGGAGGGAGAGAGGGAGAGAGGGAGTGAGGGAGGGAGGGAGGGAGGGAGGGAGGGAGAGGGAGGGAGACCCCACGCGACAGGTCCGTCAGCTCGTCTTGCGCCCAACGGAAGAGGTCTTTCAGGCACTCTTCGATGCGGCCTGCAAGGTTCTGTGCTTGGTTTAGCTGTCTTTTCAATTTTCCCGAGGGATCTAAGGACTCATGTGTTAAGGCTTTTGGGCCCAAAGACCATGCTACATAAGGCTTTTGGGCTTTGTTGATCACTAGGTTTCATGGAGGCACATCGCTCAAAAGGGGCAGTTTGGACATGGACTTCTGAAATCTGGTTCTGAGGTTGGGCGAAAGCCTCGTAGAAAAGGTGGCCAAAGGCCAAAGGCTACAAAACCGTGTAAACCTATATAAACCCCATATAGCCCCCAAATAACCCGATATAGACCCTAAATAAGCCTTATAAACCCTTTTATAACCCTATATAAACCCTAAATAAGCCTTATAAACCCCATAAGAACCCTATATAAACCCTAAATAAGCCTTATAAACTCTATAATAACCCTTAACCCTAGTCCGCTACATTCCACGAGGCGGGGGCCCAAGCGTTTCAGGGGTTCAAACTCTAAAGGCCTGATGGTTGGATGCAAGGCTTCTGTGTGCTGACTACTTGGAGGTTCATGGGTAGTTATAAGTGGGGTCATAAGCCCCTCAATATGGGTTATAACTTATAACTACAGTCTTATAACCCTACTTATAAGTAACCATGAACCTCCAAGTCCCTGAACGAAACCCTGAACCCTTGCAAAAAAAGCACCTTTCCTTCCAGGGCAAACCCTAATGTAGGGGCCTTACCAACACCACACCGACTCCCACACGTAGAAAAGCCTCCGAGTGGGGTTCTTCTGATACGTAAAGCTCCGGGGCGCCTCGCACATACTCGGGCCTGAACTCAGACTGCAGGATGCACTGGAGATGCAGGAATCCTCAGCTTTATGCGAGAGGGGTTCTATGGTTACCAACAGGGATACTGCAAGGCCACTGGAGGGTTACTATAAGGGGACTTGTGCTGCTTCGAGGATTAGAGGACTTACGGTCACAGGCGGAGTAGGAGAAGCAGAGTTGGTAGCGCCTATTTCGGATCTATCTCACAGCCCGCGGTGTAGCAAGCAAAGGTAGTGGCACCCGGGGGCTATCCTACTTAGATCCTGCAGGAGGGGGCTAAAGGATTAGAGATGAGTGTTTAGGGCGTGTAAGATGTAGGTTTTAGGGCTTATGATTTGCGGTTTTTTTGTGTGGACTTAGGGCTTGTAACGCTTCATATCTACGCCGGGCTGTTCCCAAGGAGGGATGTTTTACGAAACACGTCAGGAGTCTTGAAGATTGTAGTGTTGGGAGTTTGAGTCTTACTCAAACTCCTGCAGGCCAGTCTAATAGGGTTGATTTAAGGGCTCTACTATAGCGGGTTGAGAATAAACTATACTATTTTGGGGGTTTCTTATTGTAGTTATAAGTCAGAGAGTCCAGCGCCGTCGCCATAGCTCAGGTCCACGATGTAACCCAGCTGCTGCTTCGTGCGCAGCTCGAGGAAAACCTGCTGCGGTTTTCGGCTTCGGGATTCAACTCCGCGTACATAGGTATAATTCTTGCAGCTCCTCCCGCTATAGCGCAAGAAAGTAGATCACAAGCAACAGCTGTCATTGCTGCACGTTGCAAGGAGCCACAAGGACCTTTCCGCAAAGGATCAAGAGAGCAGTTCGCCTCAGGCTTTTCCTGAAGCTTGTCAGAGGCAAGGTGTCTCACAATGCCTAGAAAACTCTGCGAATTTGATCCAATGCTTTGGGCATTAATTCGTAGAATTTAGGGCTTCGAGTTTCGTGTTTAGGGTTTTCGTAGAACATCGTAGAACCATATAAGTCACGCGGTGAATGGCTTGTGCAGGTGCCGTCTTGTGCGAGCACCGTTATGCGCTGCTGCTGGCTGGCCCGATTCGCCTCACACTTGCTGGTCCGATGCTTCCTGCTTGGTGGTGTCGGTGCTGCTGCTGCAACTGCTGCTACTGTTGCTACAGCTGCTGCTGCTTTCTGTGCTTGACTTGCCTGCAGCTGGTGTCTGAAGAGTCTCCGGCACGCAAAGCAACAGCCACACGACGCCAAGCAAGCCGATGGCACCTGCAATCAGAGGTGAGCCATAGCCACGGAGCAACACATAAGAGCTCAAAGGTGTCAAAACCTACATAAACCCTCATCACCCTGATCCTGTGGCACCTGTGGTGAGCTCTGCCACCTCAAGGGAGGAGGCAGTTGTCAATATTCCGAGGAGGGCCGGAGTGATAAAGTCCAGGCTGGTAAACAGCAGCCGGTACACCGCAATAAAGGCCCCCTGCCTGGTGAAACTACAACATCAGCTTCTCGTGACATGGGATAAACAAGATTCCAAACTGTGCGAAATCTTAAACCCTAAGCCCCTAAGCCTTAACCCAAAACCAAAACAACTGGGACCGCCCTGCATTCGAGTTGCCCGGGGCCCTGGGGGGCGAGGTCCGCACCAAGCGTCATCAGCAGTCCAGAGCCCAAGCCGTTACCCAAGCCAGTCAGAACGGCTGAGGCGACCACAGCGGGCGTGTTCTGGAATGCGAGGAGCCTGCGCAAAATCAAGATCTTGTCAGGGCTCTTAGAATTCAGGCTTTACTATGGGGGCCTGAATTATAGAATTATAATTTCATTAGAATAAAATAAGGAAACCCCTAAAATATTAGAGGTAATTCTTTTGGGTATCATCACTCGAAGCTTGGAGGATGAAGAAAAGCCGGAGAGCAGCAGCCCCAGAGACTGCAAGGTGAGTGAGGCTACTCCGGCGCTTCGCCGGCCCCAGGAATCCATGAGGCGCCCGGCGACGGGGGAGGCCAGGGTGTCCACCAAGAAGGACAAGGCTGCCTTACTCGTCCAGTGATTTGGGAAGCTTAAGGCTAAACTTGTAGGGATGATGTTGTGATTATAGTACTCCCAAGAAGGTAAAAGGTTACCTACTCTACTAGGCTGCAACTTGCCCGATAACCATGTCGGAGAGTTTGGCTTCACGGCCAGCGAGAGAAAAGAAGAGCTCTCGGCCCTTCCGAACGCACTGAAGAGCTGCAGCGAAACCGAGCACACGGACGAGGCGACCGCCGTTCTCCCTCATGGCGTCTCTAGCCTGGAAGAACCCTGTGCTCTTCTTCGTAGACGCCTCGGACTCTGCTTTCGCAATCCTCAGAAAAGCCGCCGTCACCAGTGCAGCCAGGCCCGCACACGCCAGCTGGGCTATGAAAACTGCTTGGATGTGCAGCTGGCCCTGCGCATGGAAAAAATGAAAGCAGCCATCGCACAAAAGGACTCGTGGTAGTGGGGCGGTCAGACAAAGCCAGAAGTAGTTTTACGCATAATAAAACTATATAAGAGTACTGCTACGAGCTTCAGTGATTCAATTGTCGCTGTTGCTTGCAACGGCGGTTGGTGCACTGCCATTAACGGCCCATTTCTCTTCAGCGTTGCTCCTGCAGCACCGCGCCCAAAGAGGGCCCCAGCATCAGCGATAAGCGTTGGAGGCCTCCCATGATGCCTGTAGTCACGGCACCCTAAACACCGCAATCTGTTAAGCTCTGGGAGTACTCTCCAAAAATGGGGACCCAGGACCCCAAAATAAGGTGCCCCTAAGTTTCGAAACGTTTTAATTCCACGCAATGCAAAACACAAAATTATGCCTTGGGCTGCCGTGATGCTGAGCGCGAAGCCCCTCTTCCCAGTCTCCTTCGACACCTCTTATAGGAGCCTTAATAATTACCTATACTATTTTGTGGGAGGGTCCTTATTATATAAATTAATAGTATAATGGGCCCCAAAACCCTATTGCAATTATTAAGGCCCCTGTAGTAGCTTAGAAAGCTTTATAGATTCGTGTAATTGTGGCATTGTCGCACTATACACGCAAACAGCTGCGTTGGTGAATCCGAACTCACGAAAATACAGAGCCACTAACAGCTAACCACAAGCAGTGCTGTTGGAACATCCAGCAGCTGAGTTGGCAATGTAAGTCTGCTGTGACAGGCCACCCAATGAGTTTGCCGTGCCCAAAATGAAGTGGGACAGCATGAGCACGGCCAAACTTGTTACGAAGCAGATCCCAGCCGAAAGCAGGACGAGCGTGCAGGCCACTAGAAGGCAGCACCTGAAATCAAAAAAGCTCCTCTTCTACTTCCTCTACTAGAGCACGACTCCCATGCAGCTTTCGACCCTCTTTGATTCCCAGCTGCTTGCTACCAATGAGTGGGAGCAAGAAGCCACCAGGCACATTCGCTGCCATGAAGCCGATTCCATATAGAGAACTCAAGAAACCAACATCCTCAGGCTTGTCTGGGGTGCTTTCAAGGAAGTCTACTCAGTTCGTCACCAAGCTTGTCGGCAAACAGCGTATGCTTTTTTGCCCAAAAGCTATGCCTCTCAAAGATCTAGGACGGTTCTGACCATCGACCACCTTGAGTTTAGTTCTGAATGCTCACTTTCAGCAAGCTCTTCTGACATTGCCCAGTGTCGGCAGCAGTTCCTCCCAAATCCAGAACATATAGCGGCAGCGTCACGACCACCAATCCACGTGTCAGGCGGCTGAGCAAGCAAGTCAGATACCTTGGCAAGCGGGGGGACGTAGGTTGGCCACGTGAAAGCATGGGAAAGTTTTTCTTCGGCATACCCAGCATTGAAGGCATGTCAACGCGTTTCCAAAGCCTGTCTACGTTGCAATGGTGCAAGTTGCTGCAAGACGTCCCGGGAGCGAAGTGGCTGCGGTGGTTTCGGCTCGGTATCATCTTCGGCCTGGACCGGCTCCGGCATGGCAGTGGTTCGAAAGCTCAAAATCTGGAACTCGGTGTCTATGCGCAAAATAGCCACTCCCTTCGCCCTAGCAGCTTAATACGTCTGCGAGAGTGCAGTTCTCGACATGTGCGCAGACCTATTTACTATACTACGAGAGCATGCAGAAGCTGCCGTGAGCTCTCATTGGGTGTTGCATTGGGCAAGCAGAGTGAATATGACGAAGCCTGAATGCTGGCACATGCAAGTTGCGAGTATATACAGTACTAAAAGAATTTACTATCATAATCATAATACATAAGCCTCGCCCAAAACTCCTCACTGTGAGATGTGCCGAGTACCAGCCGCACAGCCATAGAAATCAAAGAGTACCAATAAAGTACCGTACTACGGCCCGCTTAAAGGCACTATCGTAACTACAGGGACACGACGGTCCCATAATCGCGTCCCTTGAAACTGCTTTCAACTTGCGGTGGCAACAGCAGCAGCAGCAGCAGCAGCAGTCGCAAGCTGTCGTTGCTCCTGGCACTGCAGCTTACAACATGCAGACAAGTACAGCGGTTGATGAATCTCCACGAGCAAGTGCAGGCTCCCTTCAAGTTCAGGGAAGTACGAGCAAAAACTGCGTAGAGTGCGGAGCCAGGCTACGAAACGGCTGACGACCGTTACGGGCCAGTGCGCTGTCCATTTTGCTGAAGGTAGCTGGTGCGGCGGAGATGCCTGTGCACATGAGGCACCTCTTCAATGAGGGACGGCAAAATGCAGATGCTTGTTTTCGAGGTGGTGTAAACTTACATCAGCCGGTCATTGACCGGTGGCTCCTGTTCTCTTACTGACACGGAGCATATGGGGTCTTCAACTAAACAGCCGGTCAACTGACTGGGTTTCTGCTAGCTCATGCTGCACAAACTTTACAGCAGCAGAGCCGGCAGTTCACTTTGCACAGAAAAGGAAACCGCCGGGAGATGGAACCGCAAGCGGATGCAAAAGAATTGCAATCGAATTCTCAATTCTCAAACTTCTCTGACCCTGCCCAACACATTTTGAAAGGCTGGCCCTCCATACTTCTTGGAGGTTCATGGGTAGTTTTAAGTAGGGTTTTAAGTCGGAGAACTATAGTTATAACCCACATAAACGAACTTATAACCCCTCTTATAAGTACCCATGAACCTCCTAGCTGTCACTACACATGCAAATGCACCGGCCATGTTGTCGGTCCAGCACTTCTGCATCTATGCGGGAGGTCGTTCGGTGTCGCGAACATGTCAGCGACAGGCGTTCCCACTGCGCGACCCCGCCTCGTAAATTCAATTGCTAGCCTTGTAAACTTCTTTGCGTCTATACATGCAATTGCACTGGCCACATTGTCGGACCAGCGCTTGGCACAGGGATGTTCGGGAGGTCCATGGGAGTCGGGACCATGCCGACAGCGAGGCGTTGTCCCACTCTGTACTCCAACAGCTTCGCCTGGCGCACGGGCTGTGGAGCCATCTAGGGAGCGAGCCGTGGAATAATCTCTCTCTGCAATTAGTACTACTTGAAAGTGCCCTGCAACACTCTAGGAATACAGTGCTTTGCCAGTGGGGCGGTGGCAAGTCAAACCTGTGGAAACTCTGACATCAACACTTCCCTGTGCAAGCCTGGAGCGAGACATCCTACCGCAGTTCTCGGATGCCTTTCAGACCTTTTTGCACTTGAAGATAGCAGTTTCCGTCCCCCAAAAGTGCAGCCCAGTCAAATTCGCTGCGGATCAGGCCCCCAAAACCCGAAGGTGATTGTGCATTGCATCCTACCCTCAACCCTAAGCGGCCCGACCTAAACCCTAAAAGCCTAAGCCGTAAATCCTAAACCATGAATGCCAAACCCAACCCTAAACCCTATAGTAGAAGCCAGAAAGCTGGAACATCCTTCTCCTCATGCCCTCAAAGTAAATTATAAGGGATCCGAGCACAGATCCTCCTAAGGCCATGTTCCAACTTTCTGCTTCTACTATACCTGCAAAGCCTCTGCCCTAAACACGGTTTAGGGTTTAGGGTTTACGGGTTTAGGGAGTATAGGTAAGTATAAAGGCCCCTACATTAACTCAGCAAGCTGTGGCCTCGTCTAGCTCCACTCCAAGTCCTGGCCCTTCTGGCACGTACAATCGACCTCGTGGCTGAAAGTATTTCCCAGGCCCATAGAGGTTTTAGGGCCTGGAGGGTTTACCTTAGCCCCCAAATAAGCGCACCTTTTAAGGATTCATTATATATGGAAATCATGATAAGGAACCCGAAAAAATCTTGGTTCCTTAAGGTGTAGGTGGGGTCTATGGTTCTATGGGGGTTTCGGCGATCAGGGGTTGGGGGGTCTAGGATGGTCTAGGGTTTAGAGATCGTAGCACCAATGCAATCATCCTCTCCGCCCTATTCGCCCGACATTTCGGAGCCAGCCTTCGTGGAAGTTGATGCCGCCTTTGATGATGTCGTCAATGAACCGCTCACGCGGCGATCCGTAACCAATGGGCTGGTAGACTCCTGATGCAGCTTCTCCAACAGGTCCAAAACTGTACAACGGCAGTTCGAACAACATCCTCTAGAAGAGCCCGCAAAGCGGAATGTCACTTGGTGATTGTTCATTTGCCATTGTGGCCGTGTTATTCTTCTCTCCGGCGCTCATGCATCGACACGTTTCTTTTTGGAGAAAACCCTAAGCCCGAAACCCCAAAACCTCAAGTGGTTACCGCTCCGATGCTTTCGCGGAGAAAACCCACGCCGGAGACAACAGAGTTGGCTTCTTCAAAGGAGGTGACTCGGAGTCAGACGGCGTTTTCTCAATTTCGACGTGTGCAGTAGTGTAGACTCTGTGGTGGGAACAGTAAATTAGATGCTATATCTTACAGCCAGAGGTGAGTCGGAGGTGAGGCAACGGTTCAACAAGCGACAGTTTCAGCGACGGTGGCCGTCACCATCACCAGCATCACCACCACGGCCACCGCCGTCACCGCCACGACTATCACAACCACCACCACCATCATTATCATCATCATAGTATCACCATCGTCATCGTCAACATCATCATCACCATCATCATCATCATCACCAGCATGACCATCGGCACCAGAAATGTAACGCACAGCCACCAGCATCATCATCACCGTCACCTTTGTTGAAAAGCAGCCCGTGCAGCAACCTGACAGACCGTGCAGTGTAACAAACCGATACAACCTGAGCCTAGCCAGCTAGGCCGACTGGTACATGTACCTTTGATACGTCATGTCTAGCCCAGAGCGGTACAAGCAGCGGTGTTTTGCAGTCTCGAACCTTCTAACATTGCAATCATTTCTACATTCAGAACACACGGCCGCCTGGGTGTGCGGCGCAGAAATGTGCAATGGCTGCTGTCCCAACTCCCATGGTATGCTTGGAGCCGACATTGCCTTGTGGGGTGCGCAAGATCTCCAAACGACAGTTGACAATGTGGCATCATCAGCACATGCACTTGCAAAGGAACTGCTTTATTTCACACATCCAAGCAGCAGAAGAGCCCATGTTCCACGGCCATCTTGTAATTCAAGGAGCACCCAGTGAAGCCACCGTGAGCGACCTTTAGCGTGATTCCACGACCTGCCTTCATCTGAGCCACTCGGCGAATTTCCCAAGGGAAAATGGCCCCCTCATCCACGACCACCTTAGTGCAAACTGACAGTTAAGCAGACTTTTTGAAACTCCGATCACAAGTACCAAGGATGTAGCCACTGGTGGCGATGACGCTCCTGAATATCTGAACAAAAACTCGCACTATTAGATGCGGATCAACCCGAACACGAGCGAACACTATGTGACAATTTGGGACCTAGTCGCAGGCACTTCCTTTGCGGCCGCCTGCACTTGAGCTGATCCTTCCATGTCCCACCATGCACAGGGCTGCTCCTTCTCTGCACAGCTCTGTGTAAATGCTCGAAGTAAGAGGAGTGTCTTGTGAGCAGAAAAAATTTTCAAGATGCCTACTAAACTCCATGCAAGATTCAAGCACAGCGAGATTGTCGTTTTCCAACGCCTTGACCACCTTGATGGCGTCCTTGTGCTGACGGGGGGATCATGAACACTGCTGTCACTCCCATGGAGCAGACGCAGCAGCGCGCCACGGACAGTTGAAGAGTACTAACTAACTTCACGAAAAGACAAACGCTTGCAAAGACTGCCTGCCATTGCTGCACAAGCTTCGTGGACAGAGTATGCTTGATTCGGATCAATCTCCAAGGGGAAGTCCGGTCCAAGCACCTCTCGGAGTTCCCTGAAACGTTCAAGATCCTCGTCAACATTGTCGCTGCCCTTGACTGTGAAGCTGGCATAGTTGTCCTTGGGAGCTTGTGGGTAGCCAACAGAAACCTGACAGAACACATGGTTGCTGATTTCAAAGGCGTTGTCCTGAGTCCGTTGAATTCGATGGACCTGGAACTTTGCCACACGCCTGTTTCTACTGCTATGGTGCTGCCGCTGCTGCGACAACGCTGCAGTTGCTGCAACATTGCAGAAACTACCAGTCTTACTCTCACCACTTGCGCCACTGCTGCAGCTGCTCTCCTCCTCCTCCTCCTCCTCCTCATCCTGCCGACACGACCACTACAACGAGAAGACCTGTCCATGCCAACTGCCAACTACTATACTAGTCCCCACTACTGAGCCAGCTGAGAATTCAAATAACTCCTACCGGACCTATACTTCACCCCCATGGCCGTCGAGCGTCGTTGGCCAGGTATTGCAATGCTGTCGGCACGAGTGAACCTCCGGCTGTGCTTATGCTTCTTCCCACTGTCATGCCATTTTGCGGAGGAGTGGTCGGCCTCTCGCCAATAAGCCTCAGATACTTGGAAGTCCCAGAAACATGTGTGCGCACTTCCTCGCTATATCATAGCTCTCTATCTTTATCTCTCCCAATTCACGAAGATCCGATGAATCTCTGGCGGACTCGACACGCCTTCCTGCCTGAAAGGGGCTGAAAATTTCGGTGCTCTACCACGGGGTGTGAAAAAAAGCTCGTGAGACCTCCCACTCAGCTCCGCGAGTCCTGGCAAATATGTACTCCCGAGACCTCAATGTCCATGACTGTACACACACACACACACTCTCTCTCTCTCTATATATATATATATATATATATATATATATATATATGGTTATGGATAGATAGATAGATAGATTGTAATAGTTTGGTGTGTTTGTGTATATATTTATATACACATACACAAACATCTCTCTCCCTCCCCTGTCTTGTTGCTCCCTCTTCCTGGACACCGTTACCGTTCTTCTGTCGTCGTCATCTGCTTCTTCGTTCTTACGCTGCTAGGACTTGGCGGGGGAAAAGGGGAGCGGCGGGGGCACCCAACACCTTTTTGTGGCCGCCAGAGTATACATGCATCCTTTCTAGAGGGTACGAACTAGGGTTTAGGGAGTAGGGTTTAGGGGCTTAGGGTTTAGAAGCTCATGTACCTTCGACTGGAAAAGACTTAGATGCGAGGAAGGGCCGAGGCGAACAACTCATGTCTCATTCGCTTCGGGTGCAGCAACGGGGGCACACAAACACTCACTTTCACCGGCTCACTGACCCACTGGCTCTCTGACGGCACTCACTCACTCCCTCCGTCCCTCCCTGCTCCCTCCCTCTCAACTGCTGATTCAGGGCGGCACGGTGTCGAAACCACAGATACTCTGCAGCTTGGGAGCTGATGTACAGGCACGCCTAAAGCTTTCGCCGCGAGATCGTGAACTGCAACATCCACCGCTGCCCGATGGTAAGGGAATGCATGTGCATCTGAGCCCAGCTTCACCAAGTTGCTCCAAGTCTTCCCCATGGTCAAAGCATCTTGGCCAATTAGTCTCGGAGCGACATAGGTTTGGAAGACGTCAAGGGCGGTGCCGGGTGTGGTGCCTGTGCGATCTGGAAAGAGCATGCTCAGCTCTCCAAGTCCTGTAAAGCCTCCTGCATGAAGCTTCAGCACAACCCCGTCGTAGTGCTTCAAGGTGCCCGCGCAGTGGTGGTAAGTTCCCTTCCTCGGGATACGAAACCTCACTGCTTCGAAGCCTTCAATGATCAACTTTTGTGCCGCCATGTTATCTGCGCCGGTCCTGACTGCCCTACAGCCCTGGTCTTCCCAGCTGGACAGCGCTTGCGAGAGGAGAACATTGCGTGCGAGTGGGTCAGCACGAGTTGGAAGAAAGAGAGAGAGAGAGAGAGAGAGAGAGAGAGACAGAGATAGAGAGAGAGAGAAAGCGAGAGAGAGAGAGAGAAAGAAACAAACGCGCAACACACACACACACACACACATACGCAGTTGGCATGATCGAGAATGAAACCAAGACTGAGACAGTCTAATGCCGTGGAGCTGCAAAGGTTTTACCATGTGGTTTAGAGCTTCTGGGGTTTAGAACTTAGTCTGCAAACTTAAGGAAATGAAATGGCATAGGGGCTCTTGGGTGGGGTGATTAAGGCTTGCGCTGGTATTCCAGGAAAGCGAACTTCGGGCTTTTGGTTTGTATAGAGCTCCTGGCCTGTAGTGTATAATATCAGGCTTTAAGAATAGGGCTTATAGGCTTATAGTCTAGGTTCCTGTGTAGCCCCTGTATAATAAGGGTACACTTTTTCCGACTATTCGGTGTAGATAAGGGGGCCTAAAAGATCAAGGGCAAAAGAAAAAACTCAGGAACCTAGTAGTATGAAGGCAGTCCGGAAAGCACAAGGCCCGGAAGCCCTAGAGGACAGTATAAGCCCTAAAAGCAAGCAAACCCTAGTGGCCCCTAAGCCCTGAAAAGGATTCGGCGCTCACACTCGGACTGAAAGGGTTTCGGGTTAAGGGTTTAAGGTTGAAAGCAGACTTAACGCAGGCACGAAATTGCAATTGACAACATCTCGGCCTTGTTGTTGAGCAGGCGCACCAGAAGGTGCATCAAAGCAGAGTTGGCCAAGGTTCCGTCAATCCTCAGCTCTGGAACACTTTAGGGATTCAGGGTTTAAGGTCTATATAACCTAAGTAAGGAGGGATTGGTTCTAATTCCAAGTCAGGTTAACGTTAGTTAGTTGAGTTCAAGGAGCGCACGCAGTGCTTGCCTTGCATTCTTCAGGCCCTAACATCCAGGTCCAAGCTTCTTTCAGCTGGCGAACTTACCCGAACCCCTCTAAAATTAAACCCCAAAACTCCTAAACCGCGTAAACCCTAAACCCTTAAACCCAAAAGCTCCTAAACTCTACAAACCCTAAACCTTAAATTCCTGAACCCTACATCCCCAGACCCTGAACCCGTAAACCCCAGTTCCCTAAACCCTAAACCCTAAACCCCTAAACACCAAAATCGAAACCCTTGTACCCCTCAACCCCAAAGTCTTAAACCCTGTAACCTCTGAACAGAAAAAACACCAAGTTCCTGAGCCCAAACCCCCCAAACCCTGAACCCTTGTAGGCTTTGATTCGGGTCCCCGGGCTTCGGTAGAGGGGGGGGATTCTATGTAGGGTTTACTTGGAGGGTCGGGGGACTTAGTAACTGGTTGTTTTAAGGACTTATAAGTACCATAACCCCAATTAGGGTCCCTGCTAGGGTACTTATAAGTCTACTTACTTCCTACTTACTAAGTCCCCCGACCCTCCAAGTAGGGTAACTTGGTCCGTATGACCTACTTGTTGGGTACCATGGGGGATTAAAGGTTAACTTTGTTGGTTATATAGGGGATTATATAGGGACTATACTATTAAAAAAAGGGCTAAAGGTCACCTACTGTACTACTAGGATAACCACACAGGGACTCCATCCAGAAAGTCGATACAACAATGGCCCAACACCTATTCTACAAGGCCTTTTATTCTACATACGTTTAGGGTCCAGGTCCTTTGAGGAATCATCGTGCGTAACTGGCCATAACCTTGCAGTAGGAGTAGGTGAGTAGGGCTTACGGCAAAGTCCCTGTTGCACACTCGGGTCCAGGACCCAGCCCAAGCATTTCTTTGCGGTATCCAAAAAGTCGCGGATTTAGTGGTTTCTGGATTAAAGGTTTCGGGTTTGTTGGCTCTCGCATTGCAGGCCACAAGGGAGTGGCGATAGCAAACAGCAAATCTGAAAGTGCTTTCACAACACACGTAGTCCTACGGATATCATCGCACAAGCTCGGATGCCGACTGATTCAAACACCATTTCTATTCAACTCAATAGCCTGACCCCCTACGCAAGACCGAACATGGGCTGGCTACCAAAACAGCACAACTCCACGAACACTTAAATAATCAACCCTAAAAGCATTCAACACCAAGCCCTAGACACTCTAAAGAAGCACCGGAGCTCTGGAAAATCACATCCACGCAGTTATTGCGATCCTCCGGATTTGGATTAGTCCTCGGGCAATGAGGAAGGACTTCTGAAGGATTCTCTGAATGATGAGCGTAGTATGCGCTTTGAGCGATACAAAACAAGGAGATGCTGATTTAGCTAGTTGCATGCTATATGCGTGTGAACATCTTGTATACTGATATGTGTTGTATATATATATATATATATATGTGTATATATGTGTATATATACATATATGTATATGTTATGTTATATATACACACACCTAATCACAAAGGCAGATCGACACACGTGACCGCATAGAAGTATTGTTGAACACGCGAGCAAACCACACAACTATATGTGTATATGTATACATACACACACAAACTTACACACATACATACCTACATACATGCATACGTACACACATGCATACATACATACATGTACACACATGATCACACATGTATATATCTGTATATATATATATAGATAGATACACAGATACATAGATGTTCACATATGTATTTGTGCATACATGTTGCGCTTCGATGTGTATGGGTATACAAATGCCGGCTGCTTCCCCCGGAAGCAGCTTCAAAGCACATCAGCCAAGCAGTCCCTGAACGACACTTGCTGAGTTGTCCTGTAAGCCCTTTGAATCTTTTTTACTAGTATGGTTCTCTCAAAATAACAGGGGAAATTAAAAAAGATCCCAAAGGACAACCCAGCTTGTTTCACACAATGCCTTGTTAACACGTGAATCATACATGCTTCCAGGATTGCCCCTGTCGACATGGCCTGGTGCATTTCATGCCGCCCCAGACTTTAAAAACTAGCCCCCATAGGCTGCACATTGCAGCCATTAGACTAAATGCTGTAAAGTAGGGCCCACCGGCGTACGTCATGCACACGTTTCTTTGCACTTTGCTTTTCGCCCTTGCTGTCGTCCACATAGCTCTTGACAACACCCGTCAACTGGCTGTCCGAAAACCAGACTATATTCCTGATTGGAACCATCGCATCTCTGAAATGACTAGAATGCCTTTTGATATGCGTGCTGGCAACATCCTTGCCGTGACGCCACTACGACGAATCCTAAATCCTCTTTCGTAAGCCTTTCGAACTCCGGTGGTGGAGACCTTTATGATCCCCGAATCCTTGCAATGATCTCACCCCCGACAATACATCCCCCCAAACAGAGACTTGGACATTTTCAGATCATCACAACGAATTCCTGAATCGTGTTTCAAGGCAAAACAAAGCTGGATCATCATTGCATCAGGATGATAAGTTGCAATAAAGACCCTTGTAGCCCTGATAACAACCACACCTCTGCCCTGGTTTGAAGCTGTGCCTTAAGAAATTTCTTCAATTCCTTGAGTACCCCCCCTCCCCGGTTTAGGCATACATGTGCATACAACACGTCACACAGAATACCCAACATGTTTTGGAACAGCCGCCAGCACAGCTAAGCTACAGGGTCCACAGGGTGCGCCCTGAGGGCAGACAGGCTTGCCGATGCGGGCCGGAGTCCTCAATACAGGGATACGAGTCCCTGAGTAGGGGCAGAAGCATGTCGGCAAAAGGGGGATTTCAGCGACGGGTGCTCAATAAGCTTTGGCATACGAGTTCAAGGTGCAGATGGCACCTGAACCAAAGCTTGAAAGTCCATTCAGGGTTCTCTGGGTTGGCTGTTGCGTGAGGAGGTTGGGAATGGAGATCGAGGCCCCAACTTGAAGCAGTTTTATGACCCCCACTCCAGAAAAATGATCCTTCATGGGCTCCTTAGCATGATTTCCTCGGTAGGCATTTGGGGCAGACCCGCAAACACAAAACCAGACCCAACCCAAAACACCGTCCACTCTGGAAATCCCAACCTACGACAAAACGAGTCGAAAACACAGAAACCAAGCCCGAAAGTGTCGGCTCCTCACCGCTGCCTTCACGCAGCTGACCAAGGCCTGTTTAGGGTTTAGGAAAGTCTAGGCTCCAGGTTTGTTGAAGATTTGGGGGCTGTTCTGTTCGGGGTTCATGGCGGTTCAAGTTTTAGGGTGAAAGAGCTCCGGATACGAGGTGTCGGGTTCTTCGGCGCTTAGGGGTTCAGGCCCCTGGGGCAGGAAGGGGGCCTTAAGGTCCAGGTTTTGTTTTTCTTTTTTGCCACCCGCCCAGCTGAACAACATTCGCACCACAGGGAACTCGTCTGAACTATAGAGGGTCCAGGTTTAGGTTTAGGTTAGAAGCTGCCCCCACCCTGTAATAGTGACTATAAGGATTATATTAGGGCCCTATTATATTCCTATTATACCACTATTACAGGGTGGGGGCCCCTTCTAAGGTTTAGGGTGTTTAGGGCAGGTTAAACCGCAGCCCTGAGATTGCACCTGTCTGTGCGGGGTAAAAAAACTTTCCCTTATTGAAGGAGGCGCGACAGGAAGGAAGGAAGGAAGGAAGGAGGGAAGGCAGGAAGGAAGGAAGGAAGCAAGGAAGGCGGGGAGAAAGGGCGAGGAAGGAAGGAAGGAAGGAAGGAAGAAAGCAAGGAAGGCAGGAAGCAAGGAAGGAAGCAAGGCAGCAAGGAAGGAAGGCAGGCAGGCAGGCAGACAGAGGGAAGGCAGGAAGGAAGGAAGAAGGGAAGGAATGAAGGCAGGAAGCAAGGAAGGAAGCAAGGCAGCAAGGAAGGCAGGCAGGCAGACAGGAAGGAAGGCAGGAAGGAAGGCAGGAAGGAAGGTACAACAACAACAACTACTACTACTACTACTACTACTACTACTACTACTACTACTACTACTACGGCTGATAGACAAAATCCTGCATTACCCTAAGGACCCTACACTATGGGAATTATGGTATATTCCTTATTATGGGTAATGCAGGATTTTGTCCATCCACCGTAGTACTACTACTACGACGGCTACTACTACGACGACTACTACTACTACTCCTCCTCCTCCTCCTACTACTACTACTATTACTACTGCTACTACTACTACTGCTATTACTACTACTGCTACTACTACTACTACTACTACTACTGCTACTGCTACTGCTACTGCTACTACTACTACTATTGCTATTACTACCACTATTACAACGGTTGATGATATAAATCCTGCATTACCCATAATAAGGAATTTACCGTAATTCCCACATATTCCCTATTATGGGTAATGCAGGATTTATATCATCAACCGTATTACTATTACTATTACTATTACTATTACTATTACTATTACTATTACTATTACTATTACTACTACTACTACTGCTGCTACTACTACTACTACTACTACTGCTACTGCTACTACTACTACTACTACTACTACTACTACTACTACTACTACTACTACTACTACTACTACTACACATGGAGAAAGTTTTTTTTTGATTGGAAAAAAATTTTGATTGGTGAAAAATTTTTTTTTGATTTTCGCTGAAAGTTTGTTTTTGATTGAAAAAAAGTGTTTTTTTTGATGGCTTTCCCTAACAGGGACCCTAATTGGGGCTATGGTACTTATAAGTCCTTAAAATAACCAGTTACTAAGTCCCCCGGCCCTCCAAGTTAAGACCCTGAAGCCTCGAACACTGGAAAACTCCCAACACTTCCACGGAAGCCCTCAGAGGCAGACCCCTTCTCACCGGAAGCGTCAGAAATCCGAAAGAGCTGGCCTGAACTCAGAATTCCAGAAAGTCTTTGGCAATCCTCCTGCAACACCGGCGAGGAATTGGGGAGGTCGGGGGTTCAAGGCTTATACAGTAACTTATAGTAGGGATATGGGAGGACTTTAAAGCAGTTGCTGTAGGTTTAGTGACACCCGCAGAAGGTCTAGCCAGGTAATGATTGTGGTTTGACTTGGGTCAGGATTCGGGTTAAAGGATTCCAGATCTTCGGGCATGTGTTCTAGGTAAAGTTTCCTATAGGCCTTCTAGGTACATGCTTCAACAACGATTTGCAAAAGTCCTTGAAAGACAGTATGTCTTTGTTGCACTCGCCCGCTTGGGCTCGTCCCACTGACATAGTGGCCTTAACAATTATAATAGGGGTGGTGGTTTATTACACGTACTGTAAATGTAATCAGGAAACCTAAGGAAGAGCACTGGTAATTATTGAGGCGTCCATACCACTTCCGAAACTTCTCCCCTTGGAGTACTACAGAATATCCACTGTAGATTTCCACGTGTAGGGTTGGAGGTCCAGCACTGCAGGGTGGTCGGCTCAAGGGTTTAGGGAAGCTTATGAACGCGTTGCTGAAAAATGATGAGTTTGTCCTACATAAGCTACGCCTTGAGGGGAGTCTGCACCCGGCAGAGATAGCATGATGTAGGCTGCTGTTTGACTGAACAAAAACCCTCTCTTGATGAGGGTTACTAATGATTACTACATGAAGCCCAATGAGTATTCAGGCCCTGCTAAAGGGGGATTATTCAACAGGGGTCTCAGAGTACGTTGACCTGAAGCACTGATCAGAACTTGAACCCAGCTACAACAAGCCTTGTCAACGTTGCCCAAGAAGACGGCGCTGCCAGGCGAGTTCGCAAAAAGCCTTGCTGGGCGGCGCAACAAATAGTAGATGTTCTCGAGGGCTTAAAGTTAAATCAGCGGCATGCCGAGTTCAACCGTAACCGGTTACTGGGTGAGAAGACCATTTGTGGCGGGTGGAGGGGGCGGGGGCAAGGTCAACCCTCCTCCTACGACACCCAGCAAGCTCAGTGCGCTGGAGCCATTGGATCACACCCAATGGTTGCCTGCAACCCTTAGACTCTAAACCCTGGATGACGCAGAGCAGCCAAAATCCAACTTCAGATCAGAAAATCTTCGGACAACTCTGAGAAGCTCAAACTCTTAAGCCTGTACTTGAAGTTGTCGACCCTAAAAAGGGCCCCCCTTTTGTCCGAAAACCCTGCTTTCAATCCCCCTCAACGCGACTCTCTAAACCGTCATCGACAAACCGTGAATAAGAACTCCAAGCCAAGCGACCGAATTCAATCTTGGACTTTAATGGTAGGAGCAGAACCAATAAACCACTGAGGTTCAGGATTCTCGGGTCTGTCTTAGGACTTATAGGGTTTAGGGCAACAGCCCCCTGCTGGTCGGGTGATATGGGTTCCCTGCGCAGGTTCCTGCAATAGTACACTGCAAGCTACGTACGGGCTACGAGATACCCTAAGGCCCCAAAGTAGTTCCTGTTTGGGATTCATATATAGAATCCTGTAAGGTAATCCCCAAAAGGAACTACTTTGGGACCTCTGGGTAAACCCCAAACAGGTACCCCAAGCCCTCAGCCCGGAGGCTCAATCCCAAACCGGTACCCTGAACCCTAAACTCCAAATAGCTATGTACCTTAAGCTCTATAGACCCCACATAGCTAAACCGTAAACCCTAGACTGTAGGCCCGCAGGCAAAACCCTACCTGAAATAGGTCGTCATCATCGCCTAAACACCTGAAACCCTGGGAGTACCCCCAACCCCCCCCCCGGACTTACCTTTGGTTAGTAGGGAATGGAAGAATGGTAGTAATAGTAGTTATAGTTGTACCCCATTCCTCCATTCCCTACTAACCAAAGGTAAGCCGACAGTCCTTCGAGGCTCCCCTTCGAGATCTCCGAGGCCTCAGCAGCACAGGGGGCCTTACAGTAACGATTCGAAGAAAAAATCTGCGGCAGAGTATAGAAACAGCATGATTAAACTACGGTGTTGGGGTGCAGTATAGAGTAAGTAAAGATTCTTAAAAGAAGGCTTTTGGGGGGTATATAGTATACAAAAAGTTTGATCAGGGGCCGAAGCCGTATCGGTAATTCTCTAGGCTTCTGTGAACCGTACTTCCAAGGCTCGGCTTAGATCTTTGGAGCCTAAGGTTCATCGTCTCTCACACGAAACTCTACAATGTCTGCTTTTTTTTCCTCTAAACCCTGAAATCCTAAACTAAGCCCGAAGCCTTATAACCCTAAATCAGAGAAGCCGTAAGAACTAAACACCAAAAACCCTAAACCCTATGAGCCCAAAGCAAAACCCGAAGCCTTAAACCCGCCACAAGGTGTTGCACAGGCCAACGCCCTGCTGGAGCCCCGATTGCAATCCCAGAGGCAGAGCTTCTCCAGGTCCTGCAGCCTCTCTTCAGGCGTGAAGATGAACCTGGGGCGTGTTTGCTTTTTTGTTATTGTTTGCTTTTGTGGTTTAAGGTTTTTAGGGTTTAGGGGTTTCGACGCTCACACTCGCACAAAGCAGGCAAGGCTGGGTTTAGGGGTTTAGGGCTTCGGGTTTGTTTGCTTTTGGGAGGAGGGCTTTAGGGGTAAGGCTGAGCGCTGAGGACCATATCACGGACTTAGGGCTTAGGGTTCAGGGTTGCGGGTTTTGGGGCCATCTGCAAGAAAGGTTTTCACTGCCTCCAAGGCTATGGAAAACATAAAGGTCATTGCAGGCAATGTCGGGTCCCTGCATCGTCGTAATCCTTCAAATATTGCACGATGACAAGCATTACCACAGACCACCCAGACCATGAAGCTTTTGAGCAGTCGAACTCCAAGTGGCTCGTCCAAGAGCTCCCGATACTTTCTCAAGGCAAACGCTGTAGGCTTCTGCTTGCCGGCCTGATTGCCTCGGTTTAGCAAGACTTCTGGACACCCGCCGTCCGGAATACGCACACACATATTTGGGCAAGAGACTACACCGCCGCTTGGTTTGACATTGTTGGGAATGGGCCTGCTACAGCCCACCCGAAACATGCAAAATGCGACAAAGCTCACTACCATAAATCCGATCTTTCACTGAGAGGGCCTCAATAAGTCAAGATTAAAAGCAAAAGCTAGGATAGGTATATCCCACATAAACCCCTCATAATGAAGCCCAAGAAGGTGGACATATCCCTGTTAAATGCTTACGCTTATGTGCTTTCGGTCTAGGGGTTTAGAGTTTCGCTCCCCTCAATCCCAAACTCCTCGCCGCGGAGCGGTAGAATCGAAGAAAGCGATCTTTGACCACTGCGAAGGACTGTTCGGAGATTTTGGCCTCGAAGTAGACACGGAAGGGCTTTAGTTCGTCTTGCTTGTCCAGCTACGTAGGGCGTTACAGGTGAAGTGTAGGGGATATACAGGGTTTCTTGTATGCCAAACCCTAAACCCTGAACACTACTTTTTATCTAGTGTCTAGGTGCAGCTTCCGGAATTCAGGGTTTACGGTTCGGGATCTTCGAGCATTTCCTGCCGAGGTTGCCAGCTCGCTGCTTATAAACTGTACATGAAGTTATACATAGGCTCTATAGTAGCTCCTTCTTACAATTCTTTTTAGGATCCGAAATATAATGGAGCGTATATGGGTGTACATAAACCTGCGTTTTAGACTAATTCTGCCTTCCCTCCAGCTGGAGCTCACAGGGCAGGACCCATTCCCGGGGCCCTCGCATTCTGTCCCTCCGACTTCACTATGCAATGCTAGTGCTATAGGGCTTGGACTCAGGATTCAGCGGTCCAAGGGTTCTTGCCCGGAAGGCTCTGCTGCTTACAAAACCTTAAAGACCAACGCCGATCCGGACCCATGCTCGTCCAACTGGCGAGGCGCAGCTAGCTTCGAGTTTTAGGTGTAGAGTTCTTGGTCGAGGGCTTTAGGTAGGTATTGAGCTTGACGAGGCAACTGATAAGAAATTACCGTCCGGCTCCGGCTTTTGAGACAAGAAGCTTCCGCCATCTTCCGAACAATGGCCTCCGCAAGTCAGCTTGGCGGTGAGGCGTCTTTTGCTACCCCGTGAGCCCAGTACCCCTTCGGAAAGCAAACCTGAACTACATGACATAGGCCTTTTTGAATATATGTGTATGATGATCAGGTCTTTCAAGCCGTTATGCAGCTGCCGAGCCCTTTTGAACCATCTCTTTCACCCCTCTCGAAGCCCCTAAAGCAACTTGAGCTTTCTGCATGCCTCCAGAAGCACCGGCATTTTGTCGTGAAAGCCGGCCACCTGCAGAGGAACAGCGATGCAGGGCCAGCCCTAACAACTTCCTAACACCGAATGCCCTAAACCCCAATCCCGAACCCCAAATAATTCTCAACCCGTAAGATTAAAGCCCCAACATCCCAAACTCATCAGGCTGAAAACCCAAACCCTAAGTAACTCACTGGCCCAAAACCCAAGGAAATAAAAGTTGAAACTTTCAGAATCGACTACCTTACAAGAACCCCGAAAGTTGAAAAGTTGAGTTTACAGCCGATAAGGTAAATAAACCCTTCAGGCCCAAAACCCTTGAAGCCCTCAACGACACGGGGGCGCAGCACCTGTAAGTCGACGCCCAAGGCGGAAGACATCAGTCGAAAAGATAAGCCGGCGTCTTCCTTGTGCTTTGGGCTTTTGCGGGGGGTTTGGGCTTAGGCTTTTAGGGTTTTGGTGGTTCCAGGGTTTGGGCGTTTGTAAGTGTTTGGTTGTGTTGGTTTCTTGTTGCTGATGACTTTTGCTGACATTTTGAGTGGGAACTGTTAGCTATAGTCTTTGTCCTGGCTTGGTCATTCAGGGCTTGGGGTTGAGAGTAGATCGTGTTTTTTTGTTTTTTTTTTTTTTTTTTGGGGGGGGGGGGGGGGGGGTGTTGTACAGCTTCTTCTCTGCGGCTGCTGGTTCTGATGCTGAAATGTTATATAAGGTGATTTTGCTGCGTATGAGAATGTCTGTGTCAAAAGCTCTTTTCCAAGCCTGATGGGGGTTTCCGACAATAGGGGAGCTAATATAGTACCCTAGATAGCAGGATCCTTGTTACAAGGACCCCAAAATAAGGTACCCCTAATTTTCGGAACCCCCCTGATATTTTGGGAGATAGGGAGCTCGGGGCTTAGTAGAAAGGCCTCACCAAATATGTCGGGGATACTGTCGCGCAGTACTTGCATGAAGGAGCCCTGCAGGGTAGTAGTTGGTTTCAGGCCCCTTTGTTGACGGTTCCTCTTGCTTAAGGGGTGGTAGGTTTGGGGCACAGGCTTCAGGGATTTCTCGTGTTTCGAGTTGAAGGCTTGCAGCTTCCTTGTCGTGCTCAGCGTGTTCGGGAGTTGATGCAGTCTTTGGTTGCAGCTTAAGCATCTTTAATCACGATTCGGGCTTAAAAGGTTGAGGTTCTGTGAACGGTCTTGGGCTTGAATTTCTCTGAAGAGCTACGAGTAACAGTGGGTCTGATTCCCTCTCATAGGTGTGCTTGCCTGATCTTCTTGGTGTCTCTGGTGACCTTAGCTTTAGGGCATCTTCTTGAATTTTGGTAATACCATGTAATACCTATAGTCCCCATTGTAGTACCTCTTAGGATCCAAACCGGTTAAACAAAAAAAGTAACTACAATGGAGACTATAGGTATGCTTCAGCAGATTCTGAGTCATCGTCCTCCTCATCGTCTCGAGGGTCTTTCGAAAGGTCTGGAGCTTCCAAGGAGGGGGGTTTCTTGAGGCCTTCGGCGGTATAATGTACGGGCGTTCATGGATGAACTTTTAACAGACTTACATCGTGGTGATCTTGCTTGGAGATTCATGGGTTATACCCCACTTCTAAACATGAACCTCCAAGAAGGCTTTACAAGTCGGCTCGTAAGGATGAGGGCTTGGGTTGAATTAAACCCATGAGCCTTCAAGGACCATGCATGTGCAAGGAACCCCAATGCATAAACCCTAGAAACTCGGCTCGTTGCTCTTCTCGCCCCTTGTTTGTACACAGATTTGGGACGAGATTGAGTTCGACTTTTAGGGTTCAGAGCTTGAGTGGACCTGTGTGAGTTTGGTATGTATGAGCAATGCAGCCCAGAACTCTAAACCCAGGCGTCTGCGTTCAAAGAAACTGCGTCGTAGGCATACTCGTTTAGCTCCTCCGCTATGCAGGCGCACCACACCTCGAAATAGCAGCTCTGTGGAGCTTCAAGCAGAGACAGGAACTGAGGGGCTACATTTCGTCTGAGCCCAGGTGACTACACCGGAAGCACTGCTGCAACTGTGGAGGTTCCCACAGACCCAATCTCGGATCACCTCAGAAGTCTAGGCCAAAAGCAACGAGCCCTGAAACCAGCACCGGACCCCGGAGCCCTTGCATTAACGAACCTAGAGACAGTTTGGGGTCATGCTGTTCAGTCCGTCATTCCCTGACACACCAATTCAACGAGAGTGTTGCATCCGAATCTCGTTAAAATAGGGTTGGGGGTATGGGCTTAGGGGTGAGGTCTTTGATTGAATTAGGGCTTGCGGCCTAACTATATAATTAGGCCCTATAGGCCAGTGAACAGACTACGTCCAAATTAATGAACTCTCAACCGTCAACTCTCAACCACCCAATCTGGGAGAACCCTGTATTCCCCCAACAACAGAATACACCTCTTGCGTCTTGTTATTATGATGATTTGTTCATCCGCTGAAACAACACATACCTGGCTCTTGGGGAGCGCCAAAACATGCCAAAACGCCAGATTCTCAACTTCACAACTAATCTGGGGACGGACCTTCCTGCTTGGAACAGTTGTTTTATGCTATAAGTTATACAGGAACTGTAAGGGGATACTATCACGAGCTACTCCGACCCCTACGGCAAGTGCGGCTCGATCTGCGGTGGAGCGAAGATTGCCTTGGTGCAACGAGTCTAACACGTCACGATGTGCCGCAGAGCCGAAGCACGCCTTCCTCAAGGAATGACATCGAACCAAAAAAGAAACCATGTGTGTATCTACATATATATATATATATATATATGATATATGTATACTTATACATATTGAATATATATATATATATATATATATATATATATATGTATATATATATATATATACATATACATACATAGTGAAGCCTAAAGCCTACATACTAAAACACTAGACCAGTTGAGGTCTGTTCCGTAGTCAAGGAAGCTCTAGCAGGCATCGCTCGTTTTTCTGGACGCCTCTGTTTGGATCACTGCTTCCGGCTTGGTCCTGTGGGATGATTAGGTGGGGCTCCGGAATGACTCCTTAGGGCCTTGGGGTATCGGGTTTTTAGGGCTTAGGGTTTATGGGGCGAAGATGCACATATACACGGTTTAGGGGATCGTTAGGAGGCCTTCGGGCTTGCAGTGAGACTGCGATTGGAAGTCGTATATGAACCTGAATCCTGAATTCCAACTCCGAAAGAGGTAACGAAGTTGCCATCACAATCCGTGCCCAAGTTGCTCGATGAGTCTTGCAAGGATCTCGGCCGGTGGAATCGGAAGGTTGCGATGGACCTCAGTGTCGGTTTAACACGCGTAGCCGTAGCAGTTGCAGTAGCAGAAGCAGGCAGGTAGTGGGGAGTAGGTGGTAGGCAGTGGGTAGCCGGTGGTCGGTAGTTAGTAGGTAGTGAACAATAGTGGTGGTTAGTGGTACATGAACTCGCTGCCCTGGGCCTTTGGAACTCGCTGGCCAAGTGACTTCGGCTGCAAGAACTGGTCGTCGGGGCGGTAGAAGGCCTTTCCGGCATGCTCGGCAAAGGTACAGAGGCTGTAACGTCTGGAAGTTACGAGCGGTTCCTCGAGCCATGGAGCAATTGCTGCATCAGGTTTCTGGGTTCGGGGCAATCGGAGCAGCTTGGTAAGACTTAGTGAAGCTCTACTACTGACTACAGGCCTCCTCCTCTAAGCCAGGCTGCTTATGTGAGTTTTGCTCATGGCAGGCGAATTCATCGCGCGTCAAGTCTGCATGCCCTTGTTGGGCTACCAAATCAAAGGCTTCGGCATGGACCAGCTTCAAGCGCTTTGTTGCTTTGCTCTAAGGGTCCATGTACCCACATGGTCTCCATTGTATGTCAGTTTTCGCTGTTTTGTTTAACCCATTTTCAACCCTTACCCGAAAGCTAACATAGGGGCCTTAGTAATTAGAACAGGGTTTTGGGGCCACTGCACTCATAATAAGGGCCCCCCCAACTCGCATAGGTAATGTTAAGGCCCCTATGATGGAAAAGCGCAAAGACATCAACCCTGATCCGTTCACACTAAAACCTGCTCTCCTAAACACTATAGGCCCAGAGACTTGGACCTAAAACCCACACCCTGAAACTGAAACCCGATAAGCCAGGGCCTAAAAACCTGGTAACCCTAAACTCGACAAACCCAAACCCTAAAACCCAAACTTGCATTACATACTTTAACAGGCCTTGCAGATGAAGCCATCAGAGGCCGGCAACTCCGTGGGAAGCTCTGGCGCCCTCTGCAGGGGCCCACTTGGGGTCATGCTTCGCTTGAGGATTAAAGTTTTTTTGTCTCCACTTCTCGATTACGGCTTAGAACTTGCATTCTTTCCTGGGTTCACGGGGGAGTGCTCCGCAGTCTTTCCAACCTTTGCTACTTCTTGTGCGACCCCTTTCCGTTTTGTAGAAAGGTCTGCTCGCACTGTGAGCTGCTCTTTCTCTGCCCAGATCTATGCAAGAGACTCGCAATGTCCTGCAACACCGAAACCTCACTCTTTAGCAACTGGCAGACAACTCTGTCCTTAACACTGGCAGGACTCATATTTTAGGGATGATGCCGCTTCAAGAATGCACGGAGAAGCCACGGATGCACGCAATTCACACAACCCTAAACCAGAAACAGTCCCTCTGAAGGCTAATGCCCCGATCGCCAGTCAAAACCTAAGTCTTAACACCTGGACCCGAACATCCTTCTACCCCCAAGCCCAAAACCCTTTAACACAACGGGCTTCAGTACTATTCTTTATTAACACTTATCCTCTAACCCCCCCAAACCATAAAACCCTAAACCCTGAACCCTACACCCTGAACCATAAAACCCGGATCCCATCCCCAGAGCCTGGCAGTCTTGATCGTGAGGTCTTCGGGCACGAAGACATTGACCGGTGGCAGAGATAGCCTGCGATTGAGGGGGCCTCCATAAATCAAACAGAGTTTTTGGGGACCGTTTTACGATAATTATCATAAGGAACCCCAAAATAGTATTGATAGGGTTTCCATCACTGAATTCCAGGCTTCCTATGCTTCCTTCCGTCTTCTGATTGTCCTGAACTGGGGCATGTCCCGATGCCCTGTGACAAACTCCTAAGCAGGGTTTGGGGCAGAGGCTTCAAGGCTCACTGTAAAACTTTGTGGGGTTATATACCCATAGGCCCCATAGTAGTTCCTCTGGGGGCCTCATATGTAGAACCCTAGGAATCCCAAAAGGAACTACTATGAGGCCTACGACTAAAGGCTCGTAGGATGTCGAACGCGGAAGGTCGACCTTATCTTTCTAGATTCGGGAGTCCTGGCTTGCAAGCTTGACTCGTAAGCAGGATGTGCTTTGGCTCCCTTTCTGCAGCAGGAGTTTGGGCTCGTGCTTGGACGTGCCTATCCACGTGCTTTCTCTGCGCCCGAAGACAGTACGAAACTCCTTAACCCAACCCCCCCGTCGAAGAGGAACTATCATGAGCAGCTGCAGGCGAGACACCCGAATGAGCTTGCCTTCTGCACGGCCACCGTCGCGTCCTCTTCACACTGGCGCAAGGACCTTTAGGATCCCTGAAAAAATTACCTGGACCCTACAGTATCTGTAATTATTCTTTTTGCCTGACACAACAACAGCAGCACAGATGGGAGACATGAGCTGTCGAGCGCCTACAGTAGAGCGCAGGGGCTGCAGGGGTCTTGCCACCCCCCCTCCCCCCCACCCCCACTCCCGTTGTTTTTGGGGAGGGGGCACGGTGCACAGTGCCCTCACTCCCGCCTTACCTCCTGCCGCCCCTCTGTGGGAGTTTCCGTAAATAGGGGACCATAATATGGCCACCCTAAATAGTAGGATCCTCATTATAAGGACCCCAAAAGAAGGTACCCCCAATTTTCGGAAACTCCCGACCTAGAGTGTCCAAAGTCCAAAGTTATGGAAAGACTTTGCCCTTCTTGTTCAGGTTTGTTTTGGCTTTATATAGGGGTTTAGGGTTTAGGGGTTTAGGGTTGAGGGTTTGTTGTATTCTACAAAAACTTAGGCCCCCAGGCCTCTCGACGGCCCCGAAGCCGTGACGCAAGACCACAAAACTCGAAAGCAGCCCCGAGTTCCACGCCTAAGGTTCAGGGTTTAGGGTTCAGGGTCTTAGCTCTTGAGCGATAAAGCAGCCGAACACAACTAGATAAAGTATGAAGCAAACCATGGAATAAGAGAGCCACAAACTCCTTCAAATCCCAGACCCCAAACCGCCACAACTGGTGGACCCAAAAATGGCCTCGGGCCATATAACATACAGACACTACGCACGAACACGCAGGGGCAAAGAGACAAGAAGCGGGGGAGGGGGAAAAGGAGAGAGTGAGTCTCGAAACGCCCTTCAATCCTCCCACCGCCAGAACGACACACCCAGGTCAGTCTCGCAAGCAAAGGCTGGCTAGGCTCCTCAGCCGCAGCCCAAGCTCGACTCCAGTCTTCCTTTCGGCGGTGTCTACGGGTCTAAGGATCCTTTCGCACCGGGCTTGTAGAAAGGCAGCAATCGCGCCTGGTCCCGGTGTCTATCTCTATCTCTATCTCTCTCTCTCTCTCTCTCTGTCTATCTCTCTCTCTGTCTCTATCTCTCTCTCCCTGCCTCTCTGTGTCCCTACCGCCCTGTCTCTCCCTCCACATACGATTCAACTGTAGAGTGAACAATTCGGGGTTCCTCATAGGGTTTGCAGCTGTAGGACGTTGTGGGGTGTATTTAGGCCTAAGGGTTTAGCGTTCCTGCTTCCGGGTTCAAAGCCTTGAAAGTAGGGGCCTTGAGAATCTGAGAGAGATTTCGGTGTATACTATGCTACCAATACACCTATAGTCTCCATTGGTGTTCCTTTTTTGGTTTAACCAGTTTTATATTAAGGATCCTGAAAGGTAAACCCAAAAAGGCACTATAATGGAGACTATAGGCAAGTTCCAAGGGGACAGTGATCTGGGGATGTTGTTCGCGGGATGTCAGCTCTCACAACTAAGGCCTCGAGGACGTGGGTTGGCTGGTATGCTGCAGGCTACATTGTCTGCGAGTGGAATCCACAGCGCAAAAACCCTGAGATCCGGAACCCTAGAGCCACAACCCTAAACCAAGAGACCAGATTTTAGGGTTCAGAGTTGCCCCGAAACCCTAACCCATAAACCCCCTTTTTCAGCACGGGCTTTGGGTGTGTGCCGGCAAGGTGGAATCTTATGGTCTTCATAAGACACCCCCATAAAGCCCTAAACTCTAAACCCTAAGCCGCAAGCCAGAAGACCTCCAAGTCTGTCCGCAGGAACTTGCCGCCGTACCAGGGATCCTAACGAGCATCAGACGACGAAGGATCTGTTTTTTTAATTTCAAGCACGGATCACTGCTAGGTCTTAACGTTTAGATGGGGCCTTGGGTTTAGGGCTTAGTGACATTCACGGGCTGATGACGTTGCTTATAGGGCCCATTGAAACTTTTAGGGTTCGGGTCCTACAAAAAAAGCTGCCTAAAGCCGAAAGCCTAAGACCGCCTCACTTAGCACAAAAAGCTTGGCGATGGCTGGCTAGGGGACCTCCCGGGTCCAACCTTTTCTTACGTAGAGTTCCTTTAAAGGGATCGATAAGGGTTACTATAAGGGATCTATAAGGGTACTATAAGTCTATAAGGGTAATGTAGGAACCGGATTCAGAAACCTTCGGCCTTTGTTCGGGTTCCTTGTATGAATCCTACGATTTTGGGGTTATGGGCCCGGGGTTTCTTACATCAGGGTTCAGGAAATGCGTGCCTACATGTGACTTGGGCTTGGGCTTGTGGGGTTCGGGGGCTTACGGCCCCGCAAACTCTGAAGCACTCATGCAGAGGTTGGCGCTGCCAGCAAGGCAAGAAGCACCCGAATGCCCAGAAAACCCACAGCACCGAAGCCTGGCAGAAGCGATGGATTTTTACCCCTCAGTAACAAGCCCCTCGCCAGAAGAATCATCTCAACACCTCAAGCGCATCTGCTCCTGGATCTGACGAGAATGCTAGCTGCGTGAAACACCCAAACACATTGGGGAAATATCTGAGGTTTTCAGCCGAGCAGAAAACGAAAAGTAAGCAACATCCCAACTAAACCTGACACCCCCAAGAACCCAAACTCGTATTACCTAAACCGGAACTTAAAACCCAACACCCTAAACCCTACTAACTAGAGCAAAAACTCGAAATCCTAACCAGCCCTAAACCCAGACCCTACAGCCCAACTTTACTCTACACCTTAATATTCAGGGCCTTGACAATTAGAGAAGGGTTTTGGGGCCCACTTAAGCATAATTAACCAAAGAACCCCCCCAAAAAAAATATAGTGTAGGTAATTATGTATTAGGGCCCCTATGTATATATATATACATATATTAAACCCTGCGCTGAAGACCGGCCTCTGAACTGCAGCGCCCTTCCAGCTTCTTAGCGACCAGTTCGACTCGAGCACCCTCGACCTGAGGCTTTGTGGTTGAGGAGTTTAATTACCTAGACCCAAGAGTAACATGGGAATAAAAAGGGTGCCCTTTTTGGTTTAAAGGGGGTTATAAGGGAACCTGAACCCTAAAACAAGGGAATAAGGGCCTACTCTAGGTCCTAGTTACGCTCTCACAACTCGGACACAGCCAGGCGAGGTTCTTAGGTGCGGAGTCGGTGTGAAAACGGACAGGCTTCGATTCTCACGTGTTTAGGAGTTTCGGGCTTGGGGGCTTCGGCGCTAAGGAGTTTCAGCACTCACAACTAGGCGAGGATCCGGGTACACATTCGGGTTTAGGAGTTTAGGTTCTGGGGTTTTGTGGGTGTAGGGTTTAGGGTTCGTAGGTTCTCTGGCTTCGGGGGACTCAGTGTAGCACCCTAGGGCACCGGGCCATTCGTCACGACTATCGTGCGCTACAACACGGATACTCTGGATCCACTATACATGGGTACGTACCCCGAAACCCTAAACTCTAAACCCTAGCCGTAAACCCTAAACCCCTAAACCGTAAAAGGGCGCCACAAGGACTGCAGGATGCTGTTGTAGATGCCCAAATCGGATTATGGCCTTTGAGCTGTTGCAGGTACACTTTCAACACCGATGTCCTGCATTCATGCCTGATTATCAACTGCGGTAATCAAGGGCCCTAAACCCTAAACACCCCTAAACCCTAAACCCTAATCCGTAGAGCCTCAGAGATCCCAACATCTTGTCCCTGACTCAGCGAACTAAATATTTAGAGATTCCAACGTCGTTTCGTTCCGGAACGTGCGTAAAGTGGGGGCCTTCGTGGTTAGAAAGAAAGGGTTTGGGAAACATACATAACTATCTATATATATATATATATATATCTCTATGTATCTTTATATTATACTACAATTATAACAAGGAATCCCCAAAACCCTCTTCTTATTATTCAAGCCCTTACACTAAGTGCCCCTGCGACTCGACTCAAAGTGGTCGCTGCCAGGCGACCGTGAGGTTTCCCAGGAAGCCTTGGATCCTGTCTGTGTCCTGCGCATGGCGCATGTTGGAGCCTAATATGGTACCCTAAATAGTAGGATCCTCATTATAAGGCCCCCAGAATAAGGTACCCCTAATTTTCGGAAACTCCCATGTAAGTTGAGATAAGGGAAGCCTACAGTAGAAGCCATAAAGTTGGAAACCCGATAGCCTCAATCCCTAAGAGCAAAGTATAGGGAATCCCAGCACGATTTGTCCTTAATTAGGTCTCCAACTTTCTGGAGTTTGCTATAAGAGAGGGGATAGAGGGGCTGTAACGCGACAAACGGTATAAGTGGGCTTTGGTATTGCGGTATGGCAGATACAAAAACATTCTACGGATAAAAGGAGCACAGGTGCGCTGCAAGGGGACGGGCTATTACCAAAGTACCAGCTCTTCCGACCCTATAATACTAATACCCCCCATATTTCAGAATTCTCTAGCATCGCAACGGGGTCTTGTTGGCTCGACTCGATGCAAGGCTTCCGTTGGAGCAATCTGCAAACCACTGCAAGGATAGTCTTCGTAGGGCAAAAAACTCCAACTCAAAGATAGGAAGCTGGAACTGATCCTAAGCCGACGAGCCGTACGACTGGTAGATGCCTCACCCTGGAAATTCTCGGCTTAATGGCCGCGGAACTCGAGAACCCCATGACCTTGCAGCCTAGAACCTCATAACCGCGGCAAAACGGAGGTCATTGAACCCCAACCCCGACCCGGAATACTCGCAAGCAGCTGTGAAAGAAAGTCGTAAACTCAAAGATCAGACAGCTCAGACGCTCCTGAGCCCGAAACACAAACTTTTTTAAAAGATAGGGGCCTTAATGGTAAGAATAGGGTTGTAGGGCCCATGATACTATGATTATATTAAGGAGCACCGCAAAATCGTAGTGGTAAGTGTCTATAGGGCCCTATAGCACATAAACCCTATAGCCACCAGAAGCTCGCTTCTTGAGCGCATGCGAATGCCAGTCCATCTCCGGTATCCGGTAAGGGGCGGATAGCACCTGCCGGCGAAAGGCGCAAGGTGCCGAACGTGGGAGTCTCTAGTTGTTTAGAAGGCTTGCGTTCAGTCTCCATTGAAGTGCATTTTGATTGAGTTACCCCATTGCGCAGGCAGGACCCATAAGAAAAACCTGCAGTGGAGATGCTAACACATGATGCGACAACACAAACATCTACCAGTGCAATGCAGGTGGTGCCGGCTTCAGTCAACTCGAAAACATCACTCGCAATCCCAAGAGGCAGCAACTTCAGTTCACATTCACATGGGACCTGCAGCTGGAGTTCTGAAAACATCACAATAATGTGCTGGCTTTAATGATTAGCGTTGTGGGGCCCATTATACTATAAGTAAAATAAGGAACCCCCACACTATTATTGGCAATTATTGAGGCCTCTATTTTATCACAACATTGCAAATTACAAGGGACGAGGACCGTCACTCACTTTAGGAGGCTATTTCAGGGTCTGGACTCGGTGTGCTCAGCGAAGACTACCCTAAACCCTAAACCCTAAACCCTAGACCCTAAACCCTAAACCCTAAACCCTAACCCCCCCCCCCCTTCCCCCCAAAGCGCACCTGTTCGGGCGGGAACTCCTGAAGGCTCTTGGCCAACTGGCTTACAAGGGTGTAGGGCTGCAAGTCGTCGGAGAAGCGGAAGTCCTCAGGCTTTCTTTGGGGTTTGGGGTTTATAGGGGTTTAGCGGTTTTAGGGAGGTCTGATGAGTGAGACGATCTAGTGGGAATGGTTCGAGACACAGTTGCATTCAGGACTGCACTGGCACTGTCGCAACTATATACTTCAGTTCCCCTCCCAGAATCCAGCGAGAATCAAAACGACGGCTCAAGGCCTAAGGAAAGCCTGGATTCTGAGGACTACAATCGGCAGACCACAGTCGCGGGGGCATAAGGTACATATAGGAGCCAATATTAGATGTTTTAGGGTTTATAAGGTTTAGGGTTTAGAGGTTAAGGTTTAGGGTTTAGGGTTTAAGTCTGGAGGTCTTTGGTGTTTGGGGCGGGGGGGGGGGGGGTTGTCTAAGAGCAAAGTCCTGAGCTCCGAACCCTGAACACTGCTATTTGTGCCGTGCTATGGGTCCCTCAAGCCCTTATGAGCCGCAAATCCTCATAGTAGGGATCCTCCATGTCAGGGGCTCTTTTGAAACTTCCCGAGACTTCAGATAGGTAGGAAGATGGACAGGTACATAGACAAATACACAGATCGATGGATGGATGGGTGGAAGGATGGAAGGATGGATGCATGGATGGAGGGATGGATGGATGGATGCATGCGAAGCCGCCAGTTCTTGAAGCCCAGTGCAGAATCTGGTACCGCGATCCCTCCCTGCTCTGATGCAGCCCTGCACTCATAGAGCGCCCTTGGAGAGCCCTTCTAAAGCTCCTGCAGAGTTACAAAGCCTCCGCCCACTTCGTGCACTTCGAGAGACCAGCTCTCGGAGAGTTTGGACCTCTTGCAAGGCCCTGATCTGGATTGGCGTCCTCGGTTGCTTTGAAAAAGAAGCGGGTAGGGTTCTCGGTTTTTTTTTGAACTTCAGGGTCGGAGCAAGGCAATAACCCAATATGGTTATATAGTTATAGTAAGGAACCCAAAGAAGATTACAATGTAATCCGCAAAATTTACATGTCATTAATACACAAGACTCAGACCTCTACATTAGGTGGGTTTGGCATTCCTTAGGTATGAGCTCTACCAGAGAGACTGTAACACCTTCCGGTTTCTTTCGATCCGTTGCCATGAATTTCGGAATGTGGGGCTTCAGGATTGTCTCTGTAAACTCTGGTTTGAGGGCGCTGGGGTGATGTTGTTGCTTTGGGGCTCCGAGGGTCAGAGTTCAGGCTAGCGCTGTTTAGGGTTTAGGCTCCACCCCCCCAAGCCCCCATGCAGCCAGGCCTTAAAGACCTTCAACCCTTAGCCAGGAGACCCTCTAAAGGAGTCTCTCTGGCTACGTTATGTTGTGTTAGCTGTTGCGGTGGCTTTAGGTCTTGGGTGCAGGGTTTGGGCTCCTTGGAGGAGTATCTTCAAGCTTGGGGAGTAGGGCTTACGGCTTTTGGCTGTAGGATCATCAGGCTTTCGAAATTAAGATTTTGGGGTGTGCAGGGGAAACAGGATCAGAAACTAAAGTTTTGGGAGTCGAGCTGGGAGTGACCCTTTGTTGACATATAGTGTCCCTGCTCTGATACGAACGTGGTATGGCTTCCAAAGGCAGTTGCAGGACTTCGTGTGCCCATGGCACGGCGACCTTTTGGGAATTGAGGGTCCTTACGAGAACTGGAACCTACTCGTCTGATTTGCGCGGCCTTTCTTTTGGAACCTGGTTTACTGGAAGCCAGAATGTAGCACTCTGGGGCCTTCACTCCCGCACTCCGAACCCATACGCACAGGAAAATTGAACGAACCTTGGCCTGAACCCTGATTTGGTGTAGCATTGCGCGTCTTGGCGCGCTGGGAAGCGTAATCAATATGTGATTTGCACGTGCGTACATGTACGGGCACAGGTATGCAACTAGGATGTCGAAGTTGTTTGGATTAAGGACACCACGAAACATGTCACGAAAGGTGCACGACGGGTCGTTTTCGGGCAGCCCGCAGTGAAACAGCGACACAACCGTCTGCCGGAGCACTAGAAGACTTCAGCGGTCTTGCAGTCCTGCACGGCAACCGCTCACGACACGAGCCAGGTCAAGACCAGGTAGCGTACGCCACAAGATCAAGCAACCGGTGCCAAGGCACAGCGAGAAGCGCTGAAAACTAGAGGGACACCCAGCCGGATCTTGTATCTAAACCCCCCAAACCCAAACGCAACACCCTAACCTCGCTTTAACCTAAGGCCCCATAGTAATTCCTGTTTTGGGGTTCAGTTTTAGAATTCTCTTACACAATCCCCAAAAGGAACTACTGTGGGGCCTATGGGTAACCCTAAACTCCATTGCCATCAGGTGCGGCCGTTGGGATACCGAAGACTCCGCTACGAGGACACGCGTGGAGCAGTGCGTCGCTGCGAGGTGTCATCCGAGTTGGTCGGCCGCTTGGCCTGGAAGGTCCGGTTTACTTACCTTTGGTTAGTATGGAAGAATGGTAGTACTAGTAGTTATAATTGTACCCCATTCCTCCATTCCCTACTCACCAAAGGAAAGTTTAGGCTTCAGATGGGTTCAGGTTGTTTTCAGGATCCTCAAAATCAGGGTCCTGGTATTTGGGATGTGTACTTAAGCCCTATTCTCTCCACATGTATGAGCTGCTCCGGGCTTAAGGTTTTGAGTTTTGGGTTAAAGGTCTTAGGGTTTAGGGCTTTAGGCTTTTAGGCTTTCAGGTTCTCTTGGATTTTAGTATGTGTTGTGCATCCGCTCCTTGGGAACCTTCTTTGGGAGATCCGTGAGCCCTTTTGCGACGGCTTGTCGCAAACGATCGTCTTCCTCCATGAGCTTTCCTTGGTCCATATTTGGAACTATACAGCAACAGACTCCCTTTTATGGTATCCATTCCTAGAATCGCAAACCAAGAACCGTAGGAAGGATCCCTACCAATGCCCAAGTTTCCGACATCTGGCTGCGATCGACGCTTCGCTTCATGGACGAGCAGGCTTGCCAGCCACTTCATCCGCTTTCCTGCATTCTTGGTAATGAACTTACGTAGACTTAGCTTGGTAATGGCACCAAACTATTCACAGTATACCCTTGTTACAGTACATCTATATTAAGTTCCTTAACAAGGGCCCAGTTTCGGCGGTGGGACACAGAAGCCTGTGCAAACCAGTGCTTGTGTGTGGCTAGGCCGAGACCAGACAGAGCCATGTCGGACTTCAGGAGATGGATAAGGTACCTGGGAGTTCCCAGAGGCCTCAATATCCCCTAATTAAGGAAGATTCCTAAAGGAATATTCCTTAATTAGGGGATATTGGGGTCTCTGGGTTCTCTGCTAGAGGGGAGTTAAATATTGGAATAAGATTTTCGGGCCCATTAATAGAATTATAATGTGGAACCCCCAGAATAGTATAAGTAATTAGTCATGGAGGTTCATGGGCAGTTATAAATAGGGTTACAAGTAGGATAACGATAGTTATAATGTATAATTAAGGAACTTATAACCCCACTTGTAACTACCCAATGTACCTCCAAGCAGGGCAGTAGAGGCTTCGCACGCGTTTTTCAAGCTCTCTAACTTCTTTTGCTACTGGGCTTGAGAACTCCGCTCGACCTCTATCATCACGACCGAGGCCCACTAAACCTTAACCCCAAACCCAAGAGCCTTCCTGAAGCCCTTGTAAAAATTGACCCTTATAGCATCCCTTGTAGTATCCCTTCTTTAAACTTCTATAGTCCCTACAGCCCAGGTACTCAATCAAGAAGATGCCACAGTCAAAGCTGTTCGCCTGCTTGGGGACATCCGCCTCCATGGCTTTGAGCCTCCCAGTGACCTTTAAAAGGGGGGGCCCGGTTTCGGGCGTAGTTTGCTCAGAAAGGGTGTATTTTGATGGTTTTATTTATGAAGGTTCTCCTAGGCTTTGGTTTTCGATTTTTGCGGATTTCGGCTTTCGGGTTTACGGCCCTACGGTATATAGGGTTTGTGAGTCCAGGAAAGCATTTCGAGCTCAAATTAAGGTGGATTCCAGAGCATCTTCAGAGTGAGATTCTTCATTTTTGTGTGGTCCATAAAGGTGTTCAGCTTTATGGGTACAAAGATTCCTTGAGAGGGATCTATCAGGGCTCCAAAAGGGATCCATAAGGGTCGTTTTGGCCCCTAACCTTCTCAATCTTGCGAGACCACTCTGCCGCATCGGCGAGGCTGTCCGCACCACCATGTCGCTCGCACCACTCCTGGGCGAGATTCTCAAGACAGAACTGGTGAAACTTGCTCTACCTGGGTCTATCTCTTAAGCTACCATAAGAACAAGCAGCACGGCGAATGCTCCAAGGCTCTTTCCACAGGTATCCTCGAAGGAACGCTACCGTCCGCCCTTTAAGTGGAGCTTCGACGGCCGAGTCCAAGCAAACGATCCGCGGCATCTCATCTATGGACTCTTCTTGAACCGAGTCATCGAAGCCTTGCCGAGCATTGCAAATGATGGCAAGCCACCAGTGAATGTTCAGCTCATTGATGGGCAGGACCACATACTTCTGGCCTAGCAGACCTCCAGGAAGGGACCTCGTCCAGCGTCGGACGTTGTTCCACCCTTGCTCGCCGTTTTCAACACCGCCCGAGGTCAACTTCTGGAAAAAGAAGGTGCTGGCTAAGTATAACTCGCTTTTAGTCTGGTCCGGCGCTATGACGTCCAAGGCGAGCCGGAGAAAGAAGTCTAGCACTGAGTCGTTCAAACACTGCTCGTCTTCCAGCAGCATAAGATCCCGGACCTGGTCTATGCTCTGTGGAAAGCGTAGCGACTTAAGTACACATGACAGCGGACAGTCTCTCGTGCAGCCTCATCATCTGTCCTAACTCTCTCCGACATGTACATACGCCACATCTACCTACCTACCTACCTATGTGCGCACATGCATACATACATACATACCTGACCTGCATACCTACACACCTACACATCCACACCGACACATACATGCATGCATGCACACCAAGTTCCCTCTCTCTCTCTATACATCTATATGTATATATATATATATATATGTATACAGATACATATATACCTATATGTATATATATATATATATATATATACACACCCTATGTGTGTATATGCATATAGAAACATGAAAACGATAACTAACATCCGAGGAGCTGTAAGTGTCAAGCCGTCCAGACGGAGGACGATGCCTTCTCCTCCAAGCTGCATGGGAAGATTGCCTGAAAGGGGAAAGGATGGACCCTCAATGGGGACCCTTACCCTATAATGGGCTATATAATGGGTATATAGTAGCTATACCAAGGGTCCCTCCTTTTACCCTTGGATTGCCTGAAACCACGACGTGCGGCATCCACCACCGCAGAGCAGCGAGCACGTTGTGAACCTCGTTCCGGTGCGGCACCAACGTAAACTCCGAGGGCAGCCTCCCCTGTGCCACTTCAGTGAAAAAGCCATACCCGATAGGCTCGTGCAGTTTCAATGCTATCATTCGCCCCTCAGATCGAACCGCCATTTGCGAAATGACGGTGGTTGGCACTATTGCCGTTCTGTTCTCTGCTTTGACCTCGGCGGCTTGTGAAGCTACCAAAGAGAATTCGAGCTCCATGGAAGGCGCAGTCCCGTCTGCTCCACGTTTTCGAGCTCGTTGGGAAATCCAGACATCACCTACGGTGACGCCCTTGGTCTGTCCCCGACTCTTTGCTGCGCTTCGGGGCGGGATCACCAGCCGACAGAAGACATGTAAGGGCGTAGCCATCTGCTGCTTCGGGGCGTCGTTCTCCTCCTCTGAGTCGATACATATTGCCGAAGCAGATGCATCCTCCATCTCTGGGCGCCGAAATCAACTAAGAGACTTGGATGACGATTATCCTCGCTCTCGTTATCAAGACTATGACCATGTGGTACTCAGCAGTCACTGGCTCAGGGGTGGTGAGGTTTCGGTGTTTTATATGCAGTTGGGCAACCTTTTCTTGAGCCGACGACGAGCTTCAAGATTTTGTAGCTCATTAACCACACTCTTCTGGGCACAAGCTTGCCGAAGTCCTTCACTGGTACTAACTTCATTTGGCTGTGACCCCTCGCGCCAGGGCACCCACGCAGCAGCCCCAGAAATGCGAACAGGCGCTCGCCAATCTCGGACACATGGTCTAAGCCCCCTGGCGCAAAGGGCAACGTTTCAACCTTCTCAAACCGGAACTTGTCGTAGCTGAATGTTGAATCGATCCGAATCGTACTGCAAGCACGTAAGGTGTCTGAAGAGCGAGTGAGCATTCCCGAATTTTCAGAATATGAGTCGAAGAGCTTCGGAAGAGCCTCTCACGGCAGTTCCCTGGACTCTAAAGCCCCTAATATCCCGAACCCTTATAATTACAAACCTCAATACCTAGATCCCATGTATCAGGATGCCTTGGAAGGGCTGGTGAAACGACAAGCTACCCCTAAAAAAAAAAACAAAGCTACTAACTCCTGAACATTCCTGAACCGTAAACAAGAATTTGAAAAAAAAAAAAAAAAAACACAAAGTGAACCCAACACCACAGCTTTCATCGGGCTTGGGCCGACGCCTTCAGTCAGGGAGATGGTGACCTGAAAGAGTGAGAAGCCTCGGAGACAACATCATGGGAACTTTTGGACTCCACTGTGTGCTCACCCAAACAGGTCCCTAAACCTACAGGGCTCCCCTTGGCCCACAGCAAGAAAAGCACGATCAATACACGACGCCTTTATCTCGTATGTTCTGGTTTACATATCTCCGATCTCTGCCTGCACTTAAACAGCATCTCCCGGAATCCCGAGGCGGATTGAGGCAGAGCTTGTGGGCGCAGAGGCGGGCTTTGGGGTTTGAAGGACTAGGATGTAGGGATTTGGGGGTTTCTGAAAATTAAGGGTATCTTGTAAGTAGGGTCCCGTATTTACCGGAAACTCCCATTTGGGGGCTTTAGGGCCTTTGCAAGTAGCATTGTAGGTAGGGTGCATGAGCTACTCGCAAGTGATGAGTTTCATAGCCTGGGCAGTTTGGGGCATTTTATCCTGAAGCTACAAAAAACCGAGAGACTTATTGCTAACCAGGCAGGCCTCAATATCAACAGCTTCTTCCTCACGATGCCCTCTAAGCTCAAGCTCGCCTACCATACCAGAGCAAACTGAATCCAAAGCCCACGTAAAAGAAGGCAGCAGGAAAGCCCCAAAGGTAATCAAATGGCAATCCTGAACCTTGCCCCTAGACGATGTCAACTGTAAATCAGAAACGTGTGAGTGTGTACGAAACTACAATCAAGGCCCGACCAATGCCCGACCCCTTCCCTCAACAATGAAAGCAACTCATAAACACATGTACTTATATATATATATATGTATGTATATATATGTATATATATACATATTTATGTATCACAGCAGCTGAAACTAAAACACGACGGCCCGCAGATACACCAGAACACCTGTTGAGATCACTAACTGAACAAGAATACAAACACTCTGAGCGACCTGTTCGTAGTGAAGGTAATCTAAGTCATGCTCAATGCAATGGTCAGAGTCCAGTACTTGTAACCCCGACTAACCAAGGAAAGCAGAATCATAACACCCCACAAGTCCTAACCCCTAAAACTCTGAACCAGTCCAGACCCCGAACACCAAAGTCCGCGCCTGAGACCCCTACCATGGGAGCCGAAACACTCTCTTAACATTCTTCCCGAGGGTTCCCCGATGTACTCATAGACCCCACTCAACAAAACTATTTGTGCAAGCATATATAATATTAGACCTGAGCCCTGCAGCTCAAGCTCCAAACTCTCAGCCGAGCAGCTGCCGACTTCAGAAACCCCGGCAGAGAGCGCCGTGGCCCATTTCCTCAAGCCCCGAAACAGTATATCCGGCACGGGAAGTCTGAAGGGTTTAGTTAGGGTAGCTTTATGGTGTTTGGGTTTAATGTCCGTTCACGAGGGAGCTAGATTCACAATTCAAGAAACAGGAAAAGCAACCAACTACAAGCACACTTGTAATGATGGTGCTTTTGAACGCTACTGGTAGCGATGGCAATGCTGATGCACATCGGAGGACATGATGCTGCTGGCGATGCCGATCCTTTTCTTTGATGATGTTACTGAATAGCGGTGATGCCTATGACGATGATGATGAGGACCACATCGCCCCAGGCTCACGATGGCGACGGAGGGGGCAGTTCGTCGTACTCACAGAGAAGCCCATGGTACAAGTAGTGGCCCAACATCAACCCGAGTAGAAACAGTATCATGTAGGGCCTTAATGACTACCTACACTACTGTGGGAGTTCCTTACTATAATTATAGTATCATGGGTCCCAAAGCCCTATTCTAATCCTTTGAATAGCCCTTATAGTAGCGTTTATAGTCCCCTTTTAAAGGGAACCCCATTCCAATTATTCAGGCCGCTATGTTACCTTCGCAGCGCAAGAGTCGCTCCCGGTCTTCCCCCATCGCCGCAATAAACCGATTACCCCATGCCGCCGGTCTCGTACGAGTGCTTCTATTTAGTTGCTGAGTTCATAAGCCCCCAAAGTGTACACTTTTAGTTTTATAGTGGGAAATATTATCCCAAAAAGTGTGAAGTGTATCCACTCAGCTACCAAGTCTTGCAACACCCAAAGGCCCCATAGTAGTTGCTTTTTGGGTTTCATATGTAGTAGAATCCTATAAGGTCATCACAAAAAGGAACTACTATGGGGCCTTTGGGTAGTCATGGGAACCGGCTGTAGAGACTCGGCTAGCATTTCGGCTTTTACCCTCGAAGATGAGCCCAAACCGTGTTTAGGGTTTAGGCGGTTTAGGGTTTAGGGTTTAAGGTTTAGGGTTTAGGGTTTAGGGGATCTGCATTTGGGGGAAACGGCCGGAGGTTTTGGACAACCTCGAAATCCGAGACAAAATCCTCAACTACACCTCCGAGGATGCAAACATCCACCAAACGCTGGAATTTCAAAGCCACAAAAGCAAACCCTGCGCCGAAAAAGATAGCCCCGACCGAAACATCCCGCACTCAGGCTGAGCTTAAGGATCTCAGCTTTCAGGGACGACAGCAGAGAGCCGCGTCCTTCCTCAGCTGCAGGGGTTCAGGGCGCGGGGGCCTTTAGGGTGTACCTAAAACCCCCAAAAGAAGGCAAAAATAGTGACCCAAAGCCTCAGGATTTAGGGTGTACTTACCCCCCAAAAAGTAGGCGAACATAATGGCCCAAAGCCTACAAAGGGCTATTAGTCTACATACTTGTTGGAGACCAGGTGGGGTTTAGGGCATGGGGCTTTGGGCAGGGTTTCAGCACTCACAGGGTCTTGTTTCAGGCTCGCGGAGTTGGGATGCCTTCATGGGTTGAGGCATTTGGAAAGTTCCAGTAAGGTGTCCCATATATGGCTCCACACTTGACCGGATGTGAGGCAAGTTGAAACGAAGGTGCCAAGTTCTCTGGTCCCTCCGCGTCGTGCATACTAAAGGCCCTGCTGATACGTTCGTCATAACGGAGTGAATATTCCAAATGCCCACCTTTGACTCAAGAATCGAAACCCCGAAATTCAAGGCTTTTGTTGAACCCAAAGTCTGCTGATCAGCTGGGAAGCTGCACTGCAAAACTAAATCTGGGCAGCGCCGGCCAGATTTCAACCGGAAACACAGGGCCCTAAACCCTTTTTGCAACTGGCCTGCTGCGACTCCGCCAGGACGAACACTTGACCACAATCACTTACTAGGGCCTAAACCCCGAAACCCAAGGCCCTGAAAGGCCGGTTCCATCTTTCGAGCGGCGTGCCCCACCATGTGGGACACGTAGCTCCCCGGCTTGGATCTCCAGAGGGGCACCTGCTCAGATGCTCTACTAAACAGAACCCATGGCCCTGGGCTCCATCTTATAGACTTCCTTTCTAGGATCCCATCAATCTCAACCGCAGAAAGGGAATTCCATGGAGCCTCTGGGTCCCTAGGTATATACCCTTAATATAGCTATTATATACCCATTATACAGCCCATTATAGTGTAATGGACCTTCTAGCAAACATGTGTCGCCATCATTGCGTTCCCTCGGCTTGAGGGGGCCCCTACAGTCCAAGGGTCGAAGGAGGGACCCTTCATGTGGACCCCTAGGTATATACCCTTAATATAGCTATTATATACCGATTATACAGCCCATTATAGGGTAGGGGTCCCCATTAAGGGTCCCTCCTTTTCCCCTTTGATACAGTGATTTTTGTGTGGCTTCGCCGAGTTTACCCGACAACGCTCAAAGCCTAAAGCTCCAATGAGCCCTCCGGCCCGGGCAAGATGCAAGAGTTCATTAGGGGCCTCGATAAATCAGAATAAGGTTTCTCTAAAGGGGTCCATATAAGGGTTATAGTAAGGGATCTATAAGGGTACTATATGATGCAGGTTTAGGGTTCAGGGTTTGAGCCCAAGGGTCTGCCTGATCCCTTCCGAGACCTTCGCTACACTTGGTTATCACAGAAGCCGAACGCAACAGTCGCAAGCTAAGACAGCCGCAGCTTGCGATATGAAAGGCTGGGCCGGAGCTACTACTACTACTACTACTACTACTACTACTACTACTACTACTACTACTACTACTGCTACTGCTACTGCTACTGCTACTGCTACTGCTACTGCTACTGCTACTGCTATTGCTACTGCTACTGCTACTGCTACTGCTACTGCTACTGCTACTGCTACTACTACTAATACAACCACAACCATTTTATCTTTATTGTCATTTCTGTATTTTCCTAGTATTACTATGCTCACGATGATTACAACCATGACCAATATTCCTGTTATTTGTAATGTTCTGGCCCAATACCGTTGATCCCAGCACGGCCTGCCACTCTGGGCACTGCCACGAAAACTTCAGCAAACGAACATCTTGCACCTGCCGTGCTGATCTTGGGGGTTTCTTCACGGGGGTCGCTTTTTTTTTTTTGGGGGGGGGGGGGGGGGAGGCAGTCTTATCACAAGGATCCAACCATGTAGGGTCTACGGTCTACATGACCTTTATTGCCGCTTTGCTGGTGGACTTATGGGCTTAGGGCTTTAGGGTTTCTTCGGAGTTTGTCTTAACCCGGGGCTGAGAGTGGTAGGTTCTCATATTCACTCTATACCGCTCTAGGATAGTACACATCATGTATAATGAACCATCACATACGCTATAACATAGTACGTATCATATGTAATACATACAGCTTGGCACGCAAAGGCTAGAAGTTGCAATAATGAGTTTCGAGACCGGGTGAGTAAAGCCTGAACCGCGAAACCATGCGAAACCCAAGTTTTGGGGACGGCTTAGGGTTTAGGGGGTTTCGGGGCTTTAGGATTGTCACTTCCAGGTCTTGGTCAGTACGGTCTAATTTAGGGCTTAGGGTTTAAGTCTTTCTCTCGCTCGCTCTTTGGACTGCCACTCGCCTTGCTGACACCTTGTAACGAAAGGACTCGCATCCAGCCAGGCTCGGTAAACCAAATAGTGCTTGTGCCCCATAGCAAACCTTAAACCCTGAACCTGAAATTGAAACAATATGCAAACTCCAGAAGACAAGCGGGCTCAGCAGGACCGGCGTTCGTAGACAAAGCCCAGCGAAGTCCTGTGCATGTACTGCATGCAGATTTAGAGTTTAGAGTATAGAGCTCAAGGTTTAGTGCAGGCTTGGGTTTTGAAACCGAGCCTGGGGGTCTGAATTTCAGGTTTGGTGCTTCAGATTCACGTAAGTGGGCCGAGGATGGAGAGCTGTGCCGCTGCCCGAGTATAGGAGCCGGAACAAATAGAATAGGGTCTAAGAGATGTATATTTCGATGTAGTTCCAACAAGGAACCTAAGGCGTAATTTATGGGTAAGTCTTCTCGCTTGTGTACTGTTCCGGCTTCTTCTCGGCCCTGGGTGTGGCAGCAGTCCCCAACTCAAAAGGAGCTATGGACGTACTTGTCCGGTTAACCTTTTTGATATTATATAGGGGTTATATAGGGATTATACTATCCCAAAAAAGTTAAAGGTTACCTACTCTACTACTAGGTTAGATACCAAAACATTCTGAGTACAGTAGCTGGGCCCTGAAACCTTAGCGCTGGGTACTCGGACCCTAAACCCTAAACCCTTTGGATCCTTTAAGTACGGCTCGGCATGTCGGGTTGAGTTTCCGCAAGTTTGCGAATCTTTCGCCAATGAGAAGCTGACCACTGTGCCGGTATGGTAGGGACCGTGGTGCTCAAGGGGGGTATGACTACTATTTCCTAACCGTTCCGACAATTGCCAACTTTCAAGACTTCACTCCCCGCAGCCTAGTCTAGGGGTTTGAGGTACCTACTATAGACTATGACTCAGACTTGTTTTCTATACATACTGCTGTGTGTCACAGATCCAACTGGCGGATGTCATGTCTTCGTATGCCTCTCTCTTATAATGTGTTTTGAAAAACAGGTTTCCGAAACCTGCAAATAAGCCAGCCTGCAATATGACCAACGAATCGCTGCGCTTATCTGGTTACTAGGGTTTGCGCTTTTAGGGTTTAAGACCTCCGCGGTGCCTGATGATAAACTGTACCCTAACAACCCATGCCAGATTCTACGATTTTTTGTCATCTTATGATCGCGTTCCCAAGTGCCGCAGTACACAAACACAACAACCCTGCTTCCATCGACCTCCAAAGAAACCTAAACTCCGAACCCCCTCGACTCCGACCCCATCGCCAAGCCCGCTATCCCAGAACATAGCCCTAAGCCCTCGAGACTGTAGAGCCTACACTCTACACCCCTAAACCTTAAACACACATCGTTTCATGAAAACCCTACACCCCAACCCCTAGCTTCTAAGCCCTATAAGCCGTAACTATGAACCCCTATAAAGGCTCTGATCGGTTTAGCCGCGGAGTTCCTTGTGTAACAGGGCCGGCTCACCGGCTCCATGTTGGTCCTGCCAGGGTTTAGGGCTCAGGGAGGGTTTCAGCACTCACTCTCGGACGAACCACAGCGAGGAATCCAGTCCCAGGACAGGCGCATTGGCCACTCACTCAGCACATTAGCCGAGGAACTCATTAACTTCTCTCTCCCAAGCTACAGCAACGTTTCTACAACGAAAAGACCACAGGCTGGCTCACTCGTGTGCCGTTTCGCAGGTAACAGCCCGGCCACATCCAGGCCCGCCAAACACCACAGCTGCAGGTCAACATACTCATCCATGCACAGGGTCAGTACGACCCCCACACAGCAACCAAATTCCCAAATTCCCAAATTCGCATGCACATGCCCAGTCTCGCATCGCAATTCCCATGCACGTGCCAGTCGCATCGAACGGTGCCCTCTCACATCAGCAGTGAGTGGGCCCTCCAGGGGCACCCTCTAGCTCCACAGGTCTGTCCCGAGAGGCCCCCTCGACTCGGCTTTCAGTGAAGCTATCCATCTTTCCCGTTGTGTCAGACCAGTCACTTTCATCACCGGAGCGTAGCTCTGGCGACGAAACTGACCCCATTTTGCGTGCCATGTCACAGGCGGAGGGTCGCCCCATGCACATCATCAGTGGCAGTGGCAGGCCCAAGGCCGCGATATACTGTCATTCGCATTGGGCAGATCCCAGGTTCCGACTTGCCAAGGCAAGCAGTTTGCGGTGCCCCTTCCCAAAGCACGCACTGAGGCCAGCAGCAGCACAAGGTTTGCCAGTGCATTGGTTCCAGACCTTGAATTCCAAGCCATGCGGGGCTCACTTCAGTCATCATTGTTGTATACCATGCATGTCCACCGCAGTCGCAGCTGAAGACCCTGAATTCCATACCATGCAGTCCCACGTCAGTCACAGCAGTTACGATCCCAGGTACGAGCTTGCAGGTGTTCACTCGAAGCATGCCCAGCATGGCAGGGCAAAATCGTGTGTCAGCGAGCGTCCAGGCAACATCACAGCATATGGTTTCCATGGCTTCGGCGTAGGCGGGTTAGTGGTTTCTAGACCCCAACTAGGGAGAGAAGGAAGCTAGAGACCCGAAACGAACCCAAACGAACGACGGGGGCCCAGTAGGATAAGACTATACACAACCACCAAGGCAGACCCTTAACTAGGGGGGGGATCCCGAGGAGGGGAGGCCCGGGCACCAACGCGTGGTCGCGGAGCGAGTTTCCATCCACTCCGTGGTAGCCTGCCAGGGCGGCAAAGTGTGAAGGTCCGAAGTTTCGTGGGGGTAGGGACTAAACACTGAACCCTACGACTCCGACACAACAAGGCGCTTGGGCTGCTTAGGGAACAACGGGACACCTAGGGCTTGCTAGATACAGGAAGGGGTCGGGCAGACACGTGCAACAGGACGCTTGGCTGGACCTAAGGAACAGTACTATGGGGCCACGGGAGGGGAACGAGGGCTTCAAAGCGACCACTCGGTCTCCTGAGGGGCGTGTTTGCACAGCGCTGTATTCGTTGATGGCTCAGTCGGCAGGAGAGCTACGGTTGCCACCGATTCCCGAATTCAAAGACAAATTCTAAATTCCCAAATTCTAGCACGTGCCACATGCAGTAAATTCAGTGAAGCACATGCCAACAAATTAAAGTCATGCTTACAGCGCACGGTGGTCGAGAAAAACTCGACTCTTTCCGCGCCGCCCTCCCGCAAAAGTGTTGTCTGCACAACTGGCTCAGGCGTTGTGTGGATGACGCAAAGCAGGTACGTGCAAAAGCCAATACTGAAAGTGTGGAGTCATCACATGTCAGGAGCCTAGTTATGCGAACCTACATCAGGTGCATGGGCCCCAGCATTTGCTGGAGGACATGCTTCGGAATATACACTTGTGCGAGCGTCTGGCAACACGATCGGCATCAAGTAGCCTCCCTGCCTCGAACTCGACATCTGCACCGGAAGGGACTCATCTAGGTTCAGCATTGTTGGGACACTGCTGCTGGTAGCCGTCGGTGGCGGTGGTGGCGTGGGTCCCTCCGTAGGAGCACTGGGAGAGCCTCTGTCCACTGGCTCTGCGTCCATAGCCGCCACGTCTTTTTGAACCTGCTCCGAGAGGTCCTTGAGACCTTCCAGAAGGTTCCTGATAAAATTCATTTTATCAGGCAAATGTTCCGTGTTGGTTTGGATATGGTCCACGGTTTGCTGGATCCAGCGAGCCTGTGCAGAGTTGTCTTTGTTCTGCTTCGACAAATTGTAGGCTGCATTGGCCAGTTCTTTCAATATGTCGTTGAACCTGCCGCCCATAGCTGTCGTGAACTGTTCCTGAGCTCGCTTCATGGGAGTCAGGAACGTGATCATGGTTGCGAAGTCCTCCTTCACGGTCTGTGTGACCGACTCCAGCTTCTTGTCCGAGCGATCGGCTACCCCTTGAAGGGCCGCATCCAGGGTCTTCTTGAGGTCATTCGGCACACTGGCGACTTTGTCCCCCAGTTTGCTGTAGAGTTGTTGTACGAGGGCCTCGAGGTCCTTCTTGGCCTGCAGGAGGTGTTTCTGAACGGCAAGCTGGTGCGAGCGGAAGCCATCCCCGAGGTTGGCGTGCACGGCGTGAGCCATGGACAGCTCCTCGGCCGTCCTCATCAGCTTGTTCATGACCGCCTGAATTCGGGCTTGCATATCCTCCATGCAAGTCTGAATTCTGTCCCTCGTCAGCTCATGCTCCGCATGCATAAGGGCCTGCAGCTGCTGCACCGCGCGGGTGAGCTTGTGGTTTTGCTCGTAGCACTGCTCGACCCTATTCCAGCATCGTAGGCTACCCTTCACCAAGTAAAGGAAGCTGATGAGCACCAGGCCCAAAACCGCCAGAGACAAGTAGACGTCGGCGTAGGTGTCCTCAGGGGCCTCACAAGTGTTGGCGCCAGCACTTCCAGCCCCACTGTAGAGGGCCACAGACATGGCGGTGGGGGGACCGGGTGTTGCAAACTGAGACGTCGAACCAAAATTTCTTTGGAATCCGCACACTGAGTTGGACTCGCCAGACAAGTGCACCCGCAGTTTGGTGGGCAGGCACGGAACATGCTCAGCGACGACACCCTGACTGCACAGAAGAGAAATTCCTGCCAAGCCCCAAACCGAAAACCAAAGAGGACAACCCTAAACTTAACCCCGGTGCCTCGTAGTGGTCGGCCAGGAGGAGCTCACGGTTCGGCACGAAGGTTCGGTAGGGGGAGGAGGGCTACGGCTGAGCAGGCAACGGAGGAATTGCAAAATGGGGAAGTTGCACTAACACGGGGCCTGATGGTTGGGTCCACGGTCCTAGAGCTGACACCGACGCTGCATCCAGACCTACCGTCCTAGTTGCACACACTGGATCCGATTCTACCCCTGCTGCACTGTCGCCTGTTTGTCACAGCCCCCAAAGTCCTCAGTGGCTGCACAGTTCGAGCCTTTGGTCCAGGCACCAGGTGATGCCGCAAATTCGAATTCAACAAATTCACAAATTCAACAAATTCTACAAATTCCTAAATTCTGGCATGCAAAAGGCGCCCTTAGGCTGGGCTTCACAGAAGCTGCAGTTCCGTCCCATCTGGTACGGCAAGACGGACAATCGGAAGGGTTGACGGACTGCCAGCTCTTGCCTCCTGAGATTCGAGCATAGCTTTGACTTCTTGCAGCTGGTCCAACACTTCATTCAGCCGAGACCGAAGGTAGTTCATGTGTTGAACTTCCGCCAGGTCCTGTCTTCTGTTATGCAGCTCCTGGACCATAGCGTGCGCATTTGTAAGTTCACCGAGTCGTCGGCGGAGCTCCAGGCCATGGAATATGGTGTCCAAGCTGTCCCCAAGTCGCTTCTTTTGCTGTAGAAGCTCTCCACGGAGCTCTTGCACTGAGCCCATCAACTGTTCATGTCCATGCAGAAGTCTGGCATACAAAATGTGATGCTCATGCAGGGCTTGCAGGTGCTTGCGGTGGTGTCGAACCATCACTGAGACCAGGACCAGTCCCATCGCAGCAAGGAAAATCATCAGCGGATCGGGCATGCTGGGCCTAGCACTGTACAAACCCGAACACCTGGAAGGTTTAGTTACACACAGACGAGCCAAAGTCTGGGTGGCGAAATGGATTACCCACTCCCACACTCCCTCCGGATCCTAACGACTACAAACAAAGCTCAACTGTCAAAAGCACACGACTCAGGATCAGAAAGAACACAATCCCAATAGTCAGGTTCCGGGCTCGCTGCTCCCATGCACACACTAATTACATCCGACTCCGTATCAGAATTGATCTCCAGCGTGGCAGGACATGTGTCGTCAAGGTCTATAACAGGCGGTTCTCTGTTATGCTGCAGGAGTACGCCAGCCGGCCACGCATGCGTCGAATGCAAGCGCAGTTGTCGGGTCACCGTGGCCCCCCACACCTCATACCGGAACCGGTCTTCCGCCTCCGGTGTAGGCGGTCTGAACCCAAGCGAGGCCAGTTTGAAAAGTCGATCTGACGGCATGTTGGCGTGAATTCGCGGTGTGCTGTAAGCTGCGAGAACAACTCGGTCTCCCTGCCAAGGAGCAGTCCCGTGCAGTATGCTCTTCGCCGAGAACTGGAAGGGGTGCGTGATGTCAACAAGAATCCCTCGTCTTCTGGCCCCCTGATGTTCTCTGACCACATCCCCTGCCTCATGGGACAGCCACAACTCACCACCTCTGTAGTTTTGCGTAAGGGCCATGACGACGCCCGGCACCTCAGAGTTCTTGCCGTCCACATGAGGCTCAGTGGAGACATTGTCGAGCACCGCTATGGATGTAAAGTAGGCTCCGGGAGCCCACTGTTGAACTAGGCGGGTGAGGGCTCTCGTTGTCAGAGGGTACCGGTTGGCGGTGGACCGGAGTCCAGTGGCAACTCGTTGGTAGGCCCCGAAACAGATGGTTCGGCCATCGTACCTCGGAGACCATTCCGAGCGGGGTATCAGTCGCAGAACTCGAAGGGCCTCCTCCTTCGTCACAAACTCTCGTCTCTCGAGAAGATCCAGGGCCTCGACCTC